ATTGATGCTTTTCACATTTATGGGTTTCCCAGAAGCGGAAGTGTCTGAATGAGAGAATACATACATTATATATATATATGTATATATATATTATATATATTATATATATATATATATATATATATAGGGTATATATATCGTTCAAGTAGCTGCAATGTAAAGTAGTAGGCTAGTAAACACAAAAAAAACACTATAAACAAAAAAACAAAACAAACACTATAAACGTAAACTAGGCTAGCCTACTAATGTAGTGTACTTTTTGTCTTATTTAATCAATATTAAACACAACCTTTTCTGGATTTATGACACGGATGACCGTTAAAACGCGTCATCACTGTCCCTGAAAAGGGTCCATTAGTGGAAAGTGCCATGATTTTTCCATTTTGAGAGCACATTCCCAGCCCAGGCAGAGCTGCATATCTGGTCTGTCAGGCTCGTGTGTGTGTCTCGTTTCGGAGCAGAACGGGTTAAAGACCGACTCTGTCTGTGCAGTCCTCCTTCCCTCCCTCTCTCCCTCCATCAGCCTCTTCCCTCGGTTCACTTTACTAGCCTTTAACAAGAGGGGGGCTCTGTTGCCCGGGACTTTTTTCGGGATATGTACCCGTAACTCCTAACCGGATAAGGCCTCCTCCACAAAGCGAAAACAACACAAACACACAGGCAAAACTTTGAGGCGCTTGACTGAGTTGAACGTGTTATGTTTTTGAACCAGATTTCAGAAACTAGCAACACTGGAAATATGCGGAGATGTCGAGGGGAGGACAACTACCGATAGGATCCCACAGTTGGGACTTTTATGTCAAGCAATGAGAGGTAAGGACACAAGGACTTGCAGACGACTACGATTTTGTCTCTCGCGAGTTAAAATAAGATTTCAAATCTTAACGTTACTCTATTATTCCAGCTGAGTCACGCAACAAAATGTATTATGCCGCCTTTCAACATTCACCTCTCTCTCTGTGTGTGTCTCTCTCTCTGTGTGTGTCTCTCTCTCTCTCTCCCCTGCCGCAATACCGCATTATGAAGATGCGAACGCTGCGAAAGCCTCTTTATTCTCGTCCCACGACGTTGAAAATAATTAGGTTTTATTTACTTTCTCAATATTAAAACTATGAGAGAGAAATGAAATGTGGGAGAGCTTGTTCTCCCCACTGATTGAAAGTTGATATTTATCTTGTGAAGTAGTACTAACGTTACGATAAAAACAAATTTATGAGGGAACATTTGGTTAATAAGGCTTATTGCTATATGATTTATCTGAAATATAACGTGAATATACGCTACACTACTTTACAGACAAAAGTATATAGGCCTAAAAACTTTTTATGTGGAAATTCTGTAGGTTACAGGCATCCTTTTCATTGTATGATTATTTAGAAATATTATTAAAGATTAGTTCTTTGTTTGTGCCCTTTCAGTCTACATTATAATATAGTACAGTTATGATCAAAACCAATGCTGATCTACAAACTTAAACAACAACAACGAATACAATAAAAAACCTTGGTAACTGGATAAACCCTATGTATCACCCTATATCAAGTGATAAAACGTGATATTCCTGAAAGTGTGATGTCAAATCACAAACCTTCTAGTTTATGTAGTTAGTTCATCATAGTTACAACTTCATATCCAGATATAATACGTGTGTAAACAAAATGTAGGCTTATTTTATAAATATGCCCATTGCCTATATGATATCACGTTGTTAGTGGTAAAAAATGACAGAATTGTGTACAACGCCTCTTTTTTGACCTAGCCTTCATTAACCCCCCTGATGGGTTGGATATTCAGACCTGAGAAAGGCTTGCAGATACAGATTCATGAGGTAAATCATTGTGTATTGTGCCCAAGTGCCAGCACAGGGCTTGTTTTTGAAATTCCACCCTCTTAGTGCAGTGCTGTGTGATCCAACAGACTCTCAGCAGAAATGTGATGTTAAGCAAACTGCTGTTATTGATTGTCGTCTAAAGCCAGTTCAGCGAGAGCTGAATGTGTCACCACCACGTCAAGGTCATGGCCTGTGCGCTAAATGTATGAGATTAGGTTCTCATTGCTGAATGATGCATGTGGCTTTGGCAAGTCCTTTTTTATTTAGGGTGTGGACTTTATATAAAATTATTAATGATTTTTCAGAGGAAACTAACAATGACTAAAGTGTAGACTTCTGCAATAACGTGTAATCATCAATAACATAAAACAAGCAGTAATATTTCCAGTCTAATAAAAATGAGTAATTATACCGACTGTCATCATTTATTCACCTTCATCTCATTCCAAAGTAAGACTTTCTTTCATCTATTCTCACAAAGTAAGACTACACCCAGTGGCATTTTTCACAATATCTTCTTTTGTATTCCACGTTGTAACGACATAAGTGAGCAAATGATGAGAGAATCAACATTTTTGGATAAACTACCATTTAAGCTTTCAACTAGGCTTTTTCAATCCAACATTTGAGTTTGTCTCGACAGACTTTCATTAGAGTGTAACTGAAGCTGTGTTGTTTTTTTTTCCATGAGTGAGTAATGGATTTCCTATTCCTAATGACTTTATGTACAATTTCTCACGTTCCAACATTGAGATGAAGCGCACTGAGAGTTTAATCCCTTACAGTATGCTTTTAAAATGATATAAGCTCATGATATTTTTACTTATAGTTTATCACATAGAAAAATAACACCATTATTTGCATTGCGTAAGACTACAAACGAAAGTACAAAAATGGTAGACTGGCCATTACACCAACAGTTTCTGTTCAAAAACCCATTAAATTTGTTATGGCCCTCACTCTTGTCATTTTCCTTTTGTTAAATGTAGGTTAGTAACTCCTGCTTCACGTAGTTTGGTTGACTTGGGATGTGTTGTTTGTACATTTTTGTGTTTGACTAAATGTGTCAGTGACCAGGAGGATGTTCCAAATGGCACTTAGATTTTTGTTATAGTTTGTTTGTGGTTGCAGACATGACAGTGTACATTATCTTGGGTCATTTGTTGTGATGTAAGTCCACGTGGCTTTAACACTGATGTAAGCTTATCATGTGAATTTCAAGTTTTGCTGGTTCTAGTTTAACCAGTGAAGTTGGGTGTCGAAGGTTTTGCTGACATTTTCCCCCTTGAACTTTACACTCTTGAAAATAAAGGTTCTTTATAGTGGTTCCATGAAGAATCTTTAATATCCATGGAATATTTCCATTCAACAAAACATATTTATAGTGGAAAGTGGTTCTTTAAAGAAAAACTGTTCTGACGGGTTCTTTTGGGAACCAAAATGGTTCTTCTATATGGCACCACTGTGAAAATCCTTGTGGCATCAAGCAGTTTTTCAAACAGACTCCTCTGTCTTCTTCGGGGCAGACAGGTAGTTAGCCTGGGAAAACCCAGGCAACTTCCGGCAAATTTAGATTTGCTCTGAAAGTTAGTCTGGCTCATTCAAGCCCATTTCCAATCCGTCGAAATCGCGGCACCAATCAGAAACGTTTGGGCGGGCTTTACACGATGATGACAGATTTTGTAGCCTACAATACAAAGATGGATGCCGACGTCGAACATCACTCGTTCAAATCAGCTATCGTGTCTTTTTTAAGCAATTTACTGTAACGTTTCCTTTTTGTTAAAAACCGAGCAAAGAATAACACTCGGAGATGTTTGGAGATGCTCTGATTGGTTTTAGGACTACCCGCAACGTCGGGTGGTGACGCCCCTCTGGAAATGATTTGCTTTTGCCAGACCATAACTCAGTTACAACTGAGAATGATCTGCTTTTAACCAGGCTAACAGCTAGTAAGAACAAAGTCCCTTTAAGACAAGTCATTTCATTTGGCGGCCATCTTTGAAACGTCTCTCAGGCATGCAAGTGCAGCTCCTATCTCTCTCAATAGGGAATCATCAAATTCTCCTAAACTACTTGCCAAGATTCCGATTAAATTTGATATTTGAAATCACCAATGAAATCTGACGACAACTGTCTCATAAATTTTGTTTCTAAACGTTTGAATCATGACAGAAAACAAATATCTTTCTGGTTGGATGAAGCTAATGCTCCTGCACAGTGAAAGCGCGTGTTTCTAGGAACCGGAGCTTCTAACGGCAGCTGCAGTCATGCAGTGACTATCAATCTGCGATTGGCTCTTATTTACAGTAGAAGGCGGGACTTATTCCACCATATTAAGCGTTGCACTTTTCATTCAAAGCGATACAAGTGACGTTATTCTGTAGTCTTTGGTTAGCCTAGCTCCGCCCTCCTACGTACTTTCGCTCAATTTTTATTTTCCTTCAGTACTACGTCTGCGATTGTGGTGTATTCTTTGGGTTTCTCCTGTAAATTTTTTACCGGTCCAATCAGCAAACAGAGGGAGTGGCTGAGAATGTTGACGTTGATGTTGTGCGCTAGTTTGAGTCGTCGTCCATCACGACCAAACTTTAGGCTCTGGGCAGATCCAATAGTTTTAAACTGCAACAGAGTAGCCGCTTGTCAATGGAGCGAGGCCAAACTCTCTGTACAAATGAAATGTATGAGAGTCTTGTGGGACCAGGCTAATCTTTGGTAAGACTCAACCCACACTGGTATCTGCTGGGTACTGATAGTGTTATAGACACTACACACTTCAGCTGTTTTGACTGAATGGCACATCTTTGATACCCAAGATTATTGGCACAAAAAGACCCAAAGAGCAGGATGTTTCTTTCCTCAGCTGTTGCTCATTACTTTGAAGACATGTTGGATGCAGATGATTTGTGTTCTTTTGATTTGCATTTACTATACATTTAACCTATAATACATTTTAATTCAATTGTAAAATGCAATGCAATTAAATGTCTGAAAACACTGCATTCAGTTCACTTCACACTTAAGTACAATCTTAATTAAGATAATGTGTATTTGGCATGCCTTCCAGGGGACATGTGGCCTGAACCAGAGTACAAAACCCCCTACAATTCCTGGCTGGGATAGGAACTGTTGAGAATTTGAGTTGGGATGGAGGAGGGATGCTGGAAAACTGTTGTGGGATGGGGGTGATTCGGCCATTTATATATAGGCCTCTAGCTGATTGGGTAGATTATCTGAAGGTGCTTTGAAGTTTATTTTTTTCTGTAATAAGTACTTTTTTGTTTGTTTTTAAAGAAGTTTGCTAAAATCTACTTTTTCAGAACACAAGGGTAGGCTTTGCCAAAAAGCTACTGAATCTGAACTTCTGAACTGAGGTATTTTTCCAAAGAAGTCGAGGGAATCTAAAGTATGTTTCATTGAGATGAGGCATGTTTCTTGTATGAAATGCAACATTTTTATTTTCACCTCTCTTTTCCTCAGGTTAACAAATCTGTAGCACGAGATTTCTGAACATTTCGTCTTTGTGGCGAAACATCACACTCATTATAAACAAAAGTGCATCCATCGGCATCACCCCACACCCAAAGTCATCATGGCGACCTCTTCGTTACGGCGCCAGATGAAGAACCTTGTGAACAACTACACGGACGCAGAGATTAAGGTCAGGGAGGCGACGTCCAATGATCCGTGGGGTCCTCCAACCTCGCTCTTGATGGAAATCGCTGACATGACGTTCAACGTGGTGGCGCTCACCGAGGTCATGGGCATTATCTGGAAGAGACTCAATGACCATGGCAAGAACTGGCGGCACGTGTACAAGGCCCTCACTCTGTTGGACTATCTGATCAAGTCCGGATCGGATCGAGTGGCCCAGCAGTGCAAGGAAAACATCTACGCCATCCAGACTTTGCGGGATTTCCAGTACATTGACCGGGATGGGCAGGACCAGGGAATGAGCGTCCGGGAAAAGTCCAAGCAGCTGGTGGCTCTGCTCAAGGACGACGAGAAGCTGAAGCAGGAGCGATCACAGTCACTCAAGACCCGTGAGCGAGTGACGGGAAACAGCGGTGCCATTGGTTATGGATCTTTACCGCCCCCCTACCCAGGACGTCAACCCAGCATAGATGCAGTGTATGTTGAGGAGCACAGCAGGCCGAGGGGCTCACCTTCCTCCTTCAACTGTGAGTATGACTGTTCATACTGTTCATGAATGCAGAGTCACACACTCATGGGGCGTCAATTTGTTTTTGAAAAGTCCTGGAGACAGTTGAATATTAGGTTATGTTTTTCTTTCATGTTGTTTGTAATAGAGCTGTTTCTGATTATGAAGGTCTGCATTTTTTCAAAGATCAAAGTGCAGATACATGGAGTTATTGCCTCCCAAAAGAAAGAACTGATTCTGATGTGCCTGAAACAAGTCATCAGTGATTTACAGTCTTAATTCCTGCACAAACCTACGTAGGTTTGTAAAACATTTGGATAATGGCAGTCTGTGGTCTTCAATGGCTGCCTACGAAAAATGACTACTTTGACTCTCAAACACTGTAGTTGTAGCCGAGACTGGACAGACTGATCTCATGAAATGGCGTATCTTTGACACGGCAATCAAATTTCCATTTTTGGCGTGCTATCAACACGCATAATCGCTTTTCAGCGTGTTTATGAACGCCGTTGACTTAATGTTAAATTACTGTATGTATAAATATATGACCTGGGGTTAATGGCATTTATGAGTCTTCCCCTTCCATCCTAGGAAGAATAAATATCGCTCCCCTGAAGTAGATCTACATTTTGCTTCGTACATTTAATGGCGTAGACGTACACGCATACATGCGGATAGCTCAAAATGCGTATCAATAACACGCCACTTGACTTGAAAGTGGTGTGTATGTTTACGTAAAAGTCATGATGTCATGTTGCACTGGAAATGTGATAATACATGGGACAACTTTTTAAACAATGTTGCTGTCAACTGGACCAATTTAACCATTAAAATGGTGAACAGAAATAAATGGAATCCAGAAAAGTTTTAACAGAAATTGGGGAAAAAATAAAACGGAATTTGTGAAAAAAAAATTAAAACGATTTCATAGGGCCATATATTAACAATGGATATCTTAACAGTGTTGAAATTACTTGGACTAGTAGTAGTATTACTACTGTTACTAGTGTTTTCAAAGATCAACTTTAAGTGAGCGTTAGATGACGTCAAAGGTAACCCAGTATTTTTTGGACGCTCAATACTTTCTAAGCATCAAAGTTTTGGTGAAATGGACTTCCAATGAAGGGGCAGAAATCTCTCATGTTTCATTAAAAAAATCTTCATTTGTGTTCTGAAAATGTACAGAAGTCACTTTGTTTTTCAATTGATTTCACTGGAACGGATGGTTACTTCTTTGACTAGGGATTTCGAAAATAAATCAGCTACTGAAGTTAACTAAACCAATGATTAATCTATGTCAACATGGAAAAATGTGTTTACATAGAGAGGTATATCACACATGGCCTTGCGCTTTTAACCAATTGTAAACATGCTTCATTCTTTTGGATTTTTATACTTCCTCATTTTTGTGAGCATGTGATTTCTACAGTTTTAAATTGAAGTGCTTCATGAGAGTGTGGATGACTCCATATAGACTCCACTATAGATGATGCATGTATAACTGTGGACCTGAAACGCATCTACATTCTTCCCATATTCATTCATTTACTCAATAGTTTGAGGCGTACAGTATGTGATTTTTGGAGCCTTCAGGTTAATTTTTGCCGTAAACTGCAATGGTAGTGATTGTGTGATCACCCTTATGTCTTTTCAAGCTGTATATTTCACCTGTTGGACATAAAATGCTACCTGGCTTCTTTTGTTTGGTCCACTGTTTTGAAACTGACATTGATGAGTTGCGCTGCATGTCAAAACTCTTGAAATGTATTGCGGTGATCAAAGATGTCCTTCCCCGGTCTGCATCTTTACAGAGAAACAGAAAACATTTTCTGTTATGTATTCTGAATTCCTTACATACTCCAAAATATGCATCTGGGGAATGTGTCTCTACAGCACTACTAGATCAGCTGAAACTGTCAAATGCTTTCACTGGCTGATGTATTAGCCAAAAAAATCAATTAAAACAATTTAAAAGATTACTTTCTATGAGTTAATCAGCTTATAATTTTGTTGATTTGATAACAATTTGTAATTGACTGACAGTTCTAAATTTAATATACTTTTAATTGTAAAATTTTAATTTTAACAATAATATTTTCTAGACTACAGTACCTCTCTCATATGGTACAATAGACCACATATTCAGTTTCCACAAGGAATTATTTTATAATGTTTAATCCACTGAAATCAAGCCTTTGGGTATGATGTAAGGTGCAATGCGGTTTCACTTTTACTGACAATAGACCAACATGTTTGTCATGATGCCAGGTATTTTGGGAAAGTACAGAATTTTCCCTGTGTTTCCGTGTACACTATTTGGTGTTTACAGGGTCAGATGGTCATGATCCTGAGTGGATGATGTAAAAGGTTGTGATTTGGGCCACAGAGGTGTCCATGGTAATGTTGAGGTATCCGTATCTCTTCACCAGTGCATTCCAGGCCAGACGCCGCCATTCAGAAGCGCTGTAGTGGAAGTGATCGCAACTGGAAAAGCGCAATGGCAGTTTCTGGTTCATCCGCCTCTTCTGGTCCTGGGATGTTTTCTCTGCGGGCACACTGCCTCTTTCAAACAATTCAGATGAGGAAATAGAGACATATGTAGCACCAGTAGCACCAGCATATGTTGTCATGTACAACGATGACATAAATTGAATCATTATATCCCACTACTAAAACTAATACAAACAATTAGTGATGCATTTGAATGACATGCCACAGATGGTTGAAATGCCAGATAAAACCTGTATGGGGGGGGTTATTATAATGTAAGACCCATCGCCTCGTCCCTCTTCTCCTGCCCCACACAGACACCCCATTGTTTCGATCGCAGAGTTAAACAGGCACAGGAAAGTGATTCCAGTCGGGGCATGGAACAACAGTGATTTGGGTGCTTGTTTAAGATTCAGTGGTTGTGCCAGTCCTTTCTCTTCCAAACCAAAAGGTTGAATGAGGCATTTTTCTCTTTTCTTCCTCCCAGCCTCCTCTTCCTCGCCTCATTTGGCCCCAGATTTGGAGCGGGCCCGGCCGCAGACGAGCGGGGAGGAGGAACTTCAGCTGCAGCTGGCTTTGGCCATGAGCCGAGAAGAGAGCGAGAAGGTGAGGTTCATACACACACACACACACTGGGTTATCTGACCAATCAGAGCAGAGTAGGCCAATCACAACAGACTTGGCCATCTGACCAATCAGAGCAGAGTAGACCAATCACAACAGACTTAGCCATCTGACCAATCAGAGCAGAGTAGACCAATCACAACAGACTTAGCCATCTGACCAATCAGAGCAGAGTAGACCAATCACAACTGACTTAGCCATCAGACCAATCAGAGCAGAGTAGGCCAATCACAACAGACTTAGCCATCAGACCAATCAGAGCAGAGTAGACCAATCACAACAGACTTAGCCATCAGACCAATCAGAGCAGAGTAGACCAATCACAACAGACTTAGCCATCTGACCAATCAGAGCAGAGTAGACCAATCACAACTGACTTAGCCATCAGACCAATCAGAGCAGAGTAGGCCAATCACAACAGACTTAGCCATCAGACCAATCAGAGCAGAGTAGACCAATCACAACAGACTTAGCCATCAGACCAATCAGAGCAGAGTAGACCAATCACAACAGATGGGGTCATCTGACCAATCAGAGCAGAGTCGACCAATCACAACAGACTGGGTCATCTGACCAATCAGAGCAGAGTAGACCAATCACAACAGACTGGGTCATCTGACCAATCAGAGCAGAGTAGACCTATCACAACAGACTGGGTCATCAGACCAATCAGAGCAGAGTAGACCTATCACAACAGACTGGGTCATCAGACCAATCAGAGCAGAGTAGACCAATCACAATAGACTGGGTCATCTGACCAATCAGAACAGAGTCGACCAATCACAACAGACTTGGTCATCTGACCAATCAGAGCAGAGTAGACCAATCACAACAGACTGGGTCATCTGACCAATCAGAGCAGAGTAGACCTATCACAACAGACTGGGTCATCAGACCAATCAGAGCAGAGTCGACCAATCACAACAGACTGGGTCATCAGACCAATCAGAGCAGAGTAGACCTATCACAACAGACTGGGTCATCAGACCAATCAGAGCAGAGTAGACCAATCACAACAGACTAGGTCATCTGACCAATCAGAGCAGAGTAGACCAATCACAACAGACTAGGTCATCTGACCAATCAGAGCAGAGTAGACCAATCACAACAGACTGGGCCATCTGACCAATCAGAGCAGAGTAGACCAATCACAACAGACTAGGTCATCTGACCAATCAGAGCAGAGTAGACCAATCACAACAGACTGGGTCATCTGACCAATCAGAGCAGAGTAGACCAATCACAACAGACTAGGTCATCTGACCAATCAGAGCAGAGTAGACCAATCACAACAGACTAGGTCATCTAACCAATCAGAGCAGAGTAGACTAATCACAACAGACTGGGTCATCAGACCAATCAGAGCAGAGTAGACCAATCACAACAGACTGGGCCATCTGACCAATCAGAGCAGAGTAGACTAATCACAACAGACTGGGCCATCTGACCAATCAGAGCAGAGTAGACTAATCACAACAGACTGGGCCATCTGACCAATCAGAGCAGAGTAGACTAATCACAACAGACTGGGCCATCTGACCAATCAGAGCAGAGTAGACTAATCACAACAGACTGGGTCATCAGACAGATAAAAGTTTGTTACAACTCATTATTTTCCTGGAGGCTTTAGTACAGCACCGCATTTCCAGCTAGCATGTGGGCTAATGGTTAGCTTTTGGAGTGCACTGACATGTCGTTGTCTCCCATCAGCAAGAGCTCAGTCGTGATCCGACAGTGTTGTCAGTGTGTGAGGAGAGGACATTAGTATCCACACTTACTGATAATGCAGGTCTAAGTGAAGCTACTATGACACTTAGTGTTTTTCTAGACTGTAGCATTGATCCAATACTCATAAATCAGGCTAAGTGGAGCTGCTAATACTTCAGTCAAAGACCCATCAGCTCAGTGTTTTTAAAACACCACCTTTCAGAAGATTTTTTTATGCTTTTGAAAGAGCCAATTTCATTAAATTTCTCAATTGCATTTATTTGATGAAAAATACAGTAAAAACAGTGATACTGTGAAATACTGTATTATTACAATTTGAATCAACTGTTATATATATATATATATTAAAATGTAGTTGATTCAAGTGATGTAAAGCTGAATTTTCTGCATCATCTTCAATGTCTCACGACTTTATCTTCAAGAAACATTTCTGATTATTATCGATGTTGAAAACAGTTGCGCTGCTTCATATTTTGTGGAAATAGACAGATTGTTTTTTTCTTCAGGATTCTTTGTTAATAGAAAGTTTAAAAGACCAGCATTTATTTGAAATATAAATCTTTTGTAACATTATTATGTCTTTATTGTTTAATTCATCCTTTCTGAATAAAAGTACTCAATTATTTTAAAAAAGTACAGTAGTGTACATAAATACGAACATGAATACAAATGTAAAAGATTTACTTATTGTGCTTTTAAAATTGTCAGCATCCATAAGTGTGTAAGTATGGAACCCCTAAAGGGACATGGTGCATTCCCCCAAGAAACTTTGCAATCGCTCGTGTAAGGGAAACAGGTTAATTATTTATTAATTTATTGGGAATAAACGCATAACACAATCCTGGTGGAAAAAAGAAAACATCTTAAGTATATTTGCAGCCAGACTAATTATCAGTACACTTCAGTTGTGTTAATGATTAGTTAACTTGAAGTGTGCTATTTTGGAACAACTAATTTTGTATTTTAGTTGTAATTAAATTGTAGTAAAAGCATATTTTAAGTGCATTTAGTGTACTTTCATGTGCTAAATTGGAACAACTTCAAGTATACTTAGTACACTTTAAGTATATGCTTGTTTGGGACTAATTACATGTTTGATTAGAGATATTGAAGTGTACTTTATTTGTTATAAATCCTGTCAAACCTGGTTATTTGTCAAACCTGAAAAAGCACTGTGTTTGTTTTATTGTGTTTATTTCTGCTGTTGCTTGTATTTAATTATTTGTGCTTATTTGACAGATTGTTTACTTAACTTTTAATAGTGTTTGATGTGTATATTTTATATGTCGCTTTATTAACATTTGTATTGGCTTTATGCTCAGCTGCAATACTTCCTGAACTTAAGCCAGCTCCTTGTCTCCTGTCTGCCATTATTGGTCAAATTGATTAATTCAGGTGTGCCTGACCTCAGTAGTCACGGCAACAATAATCAGACACACCTGAATTAATCAAGTTTGGCCAATAATAGCAGACAGGAAACAAGGAGCTGGCTTAAAGGATTAGTTCACTTTTGAAAAAACTTTTGCTGATAATTTACTCACCCCCATGTCATCCAAGATGTCCATGTCTTTCTTTCCTCAGTCGAAAAGAAATTTAGGTTTTTGATGAAAACATTCCAGGATTTTTCTCCATATAATGGACTTCAATGGGAACCGGATGGTCCAAGGTCCAAAAGACAGTTAATAACAGTTTCAGATGCAGCTTCAAATGTCTTTAAACGACACCAGACGATGAATAAGGGTCTTATCATGCGAAACGATCGGTTATTTCAAAACTTATTCCAAAAATTTAACTTTTCTAAGGACAAATGCTAGCCTTGCTCTATTCTGTAAGGGCGCGTTTGCAACGTCACGTATTACGTAATTACGTTCAAAAGGTCACGGGCGACGTAGCCGAAAGTACAGAGTCAGTGTTTACAAGTTGAACGCATAGGTTGAACGTGCAAACTAACTCAAACGCTGTTTACAAAAAAAGGAATTAAAAGGAAAAACAACGATGTCGGACGATTTTGATTCTGTACTTTCGGCTACGTCGCCCGTGACCTTTTGAACGTAACTACGTATTACGTGACGTTACAAACGCGCCTCACAGAATAGAGCAAGGCTAGGATTTGTCCTTAGAAAAGTTACATTTTTGGAATAAGTTTTGAAATAACCGATCGTTTCGCATGATAAGACCCTTATTCATCGTCTGATATCGTTTAAAGACATTTGAAGCTGCATCTGAAACTGTTATTAACTGTCTTTTGGACCTTGGACCATCCGGTTCCCATTGAAGTCCATTATATGGAGAAAAATCCTGGAATGTTTTCATCAAAAACCTAAATTTCTTTTCGACTGAGGAAAGAAAGACATGGACATCTTGGATGACATGGGGGTGAGTAAATTATCAGCAAAAGTTTTTTCAAAAGTGAACTAATCCTTTAAGTTCAGGATGTAGTGCAGCTGTGCATAAAGCCAATTGTTATTGCATTTTATGTAAAGAAATTTCTATGGAATTCTGCTTCCTGATTGGCTCTTCGATCCTACACACGCAAAATGTTTGCGTTCCCCCAAGAAACTGGATTGCACTCGAGTTGATTTGGTCTTCACTAACCCCAATCCTCTTCTCTTCCAGCCCGCTCCTGTTGTGGATATGGATGAACAGACACAGCTTCAGCTCGCAATGAGTCTCAGTAAGGAGGCGCACAAGGTACCGCATTACCAGGAGTCACAGCTACACCTGGCCTTCATTCATTCGCTGTAGTTTCAGTAACGCGCATGTACTGTGTGTTGTAAGTGACACTGCTTGTATATTGTGTGATTGTAAATCTGTAGCCAGTTCCTCTTCCTCCTCCTCCTCCTCCTGTTGCTGCTGCTGCTGCTTTGGACATGGATGAAGAGGCTCAACTTCAGCTGGCTCTGAGTCTCAGTAAAGAGGAACATCAGCAGGTAGGCAACTGGAGCACGATCGATAAAGGATTTTGAAGGCCAATACCGATACAAATATTTTTTGGTTTTAAAATCCGATATTCCGATATATCGGCCGATATTTTTATTTTTTATTAAATATTGTTGGATTTCACACGTGTAAAAGAAAAGCTAACTTTTCTGCACAAGATACGTTTGATACTTTTTCTCCTTTGTCTAAATGTTCACTCCTCGCAAGTATAACTTGCATTTTACAATGCAGGGACTGTAACTAGAGATATGCTAGTTATAAATACAGTAATAATTACTTTATTTAGGCAGAAAAAGTTCATTGTGGTTTCCAAGCTCATTAATGTTAACATTAGTGGTCTTCCACTGATGATAGTGGCATTAGCTATAGCTTTGTGGTTAGCTAGTCTATGATGAGCCATAAGTTAACAATAGATAACATCATACTGCAAATTGTAAAACATACATTTTCAATATAACAGGCCAAGGAGAGATGATTGAAGCGTCTTTCGTCCGTTTTTATTTAATTTTTTAAATATTCATTTATCGGCCATTATAACTGCCGATACCGATATTTTGGAAAATGCCTAATATCGGCCGATAATATCGGTCTGGCTCTATCCCACATCTAAAACTATTTCAGCCATTGGAAGACCAACATGTGACATTGAAAATAGGTGAAATCCGTCTTGGAAAAGCACCAATACTTATTGAATGAGTTAAGTTCTTTACTGAGCTATTTTAAATCGTTAAACCCCAGTTTACATTGTGCATTTTCATAAACTCAAACTTCTATAACTTGTTTTCTGTTTCACTTTCTTAATTTGTTTCACTTCTGCCAAATGTCTTCTTTAAAACCAGACAAATCTTACGTCTGAATTCCAAAGCATTTTTGAATTACATCCATTTAGGTTTGAAATGTGCATTTTCATGTTTATAAAAAGAAAAGGGGGAAAAATATACTTTAAAAGAATACAAAGTTCTGTCATGAAACTATAAATGGTGCAGGCTGATTGGTCCTTAACTCAATTAGCTTGCAGTTACATAATTCTCTCTAGGGCACAGCTGATTGGTTCCTGCTGTGTCAGTAGCCAATGAGCTCGCTGCTAGGCCTTCAAATACCTGGTCAGCAGTTGCTTTTCTGAAACATCCAAACTTTTCTGAAGACAGTCGGTTTGCTTCAGACACAATAATATAAACCCCTCCAAAAAACAATATCTACGCTTTTCATCGTATATTTTCAGCATTGACGTGAACCGTGAGCTTGTTGTGCCTGGTTCAGGATTTTTTCCTGCTATCTGTTCTCCTCTTTGCGTCCGTCTTCACCGTTAACGTCCCGTTTACAGACTTCATAATATTTCAACAGAAATGACATTTTGGGAAATTATTGCAATACAGTTTGTGTGCGAGTCCGGAATAGAGATCGGCCAAAATAAAACATAAAAAAGATTTATGGCCGGTGCATCGCTAGGAAAAAGTATGATAGGATGACTGTGCATGCATGTGCTTTGTAGACTTTCTCTCTAAAGTTGTGTTCTTAAGGCTGTCTTCTGTGTCTGTTGTTCACTAGGAGCAGCGAAGTCGCCAGGGAGACGAGTCGTTGCTCCAGAAAGCACTCGAGGAGAGCAAACGAGAAATGGAGGCCAAAGGAGGAGTACGAGACACCTCTATTAACCTGTCGGCTGTTTAGAAGCTCTTCTGAATGACTCCTGTGATGCATTTATTTTGGAAGAGATAAACGTATTTAAATCTAGAGTTACTGCGATGAATCATTCCTATTGTAAACAAGAAGTCAAAGTTACAAATATACATTGAATCACAAACAGGTACAGTCAGGTATTGCTGTAATTGTAGGAAGGGTTATGTATTTGTGGTCAAGCACTTAATGGAGAGGTGGAAATTTCTGTGTCGGACTTATTGTTCTTCGGGCTTTTAGAAGCTTCGAGGTGCTGTACTGCAGTTAGATGTCCCCATTGCATTCGCTTGCGTATAGATACACACTGTATTGACCTAAAAACTCATTCTGAATGTGCTGAAAGTGCTTTTCTGTCCTTTCCTTTGGCAGTCTGCCATGTTGGATCTTGCAGATATTTTTGCTCCAGCTCCTGATGTGCCCTCTGCTGCCAAACTTTGGGATTCATCCGGAGGCCATAGCGGTTTAGCCCAGGCTGGTCCTCTGAGGTCCGACCCCTGGGATAGTCTGGGTAAGATCTGTGATCGAATATAACTGCATCTCAGCTATGTCAACTCTCACACAGTAAAGGCACACCTAGTATTTTTTTGACAGATATGTTTAAAATAATAAAGGTGCGTTTATTCTGTGTAGGGTGTGAGTGCACATGGTCAAAATTATGTTTTAGCCAATAATTGTTAGTTCAAGAAAATGTTTTGGCCATAAATGTGTCCTTACAGTACAAAATTGTATTTTGCATTTCTTTTATTTTCAGTGGAATTTTAAATTGAGTTTTTTTTTTTTGACAGAGCAGGGGATATGTGACAGGAAATTAGGACAATAGGGAGATTGATTTGACCTAGGTTGCCCTAGGTTGCCCAAACACGCAAGCTCAAACAAGATAATGCAAAAAAATGTCCTGCCCAACTGGAGTTAGAAATGAGTTACTCACCATAGCCTGTTTTTACCTGCATTTGGTGCAGAAAGACTCTTTCAGGTTGCGAAATAAATGACAAATATGCCTGTGTGAATATTGACTAGAATAGGCGTTACTGTGACAATGGTTGACTACAAGGACTCCGTTTTTCAGACTTTCAACATAAACTAGAAGTGCCAGTCAGGGTTATTATAAAAAACATTTTCATTGTTTGAAATAAAATAAACATTAGCTGAAATCAATTTGTGTATGTATATATATATATATATATATATATATATATATTGTTTAACTAAAAGTACTAAAACAACTGAAATAAAAAATTAACAAGAACTCTGCAACAAAATTGCTAAAACCTTAAATAAAACTGAAATGAAAGAAAATATACAAATAAAAACTAATTCAACACATCAATACAAATTTAAGTATCTTAATGATACTTAAATAAAATGGGTAATATTATAAAATAATTTAAAACCTCCATAATTCTATTATCTGAATGTTTTTCATGGTTTATACTTTTTATTAGCAGTTAATGTACATGGCCTTCACTAGTTTGTGTATACAGTTTTTTTGTTATTACTTCTAAATAGCAATTTCTATCCAATAACATTTTAGAGTTTGACAATTTTCTTAGAAATTGAGTCATGGGTGACAAATACGCCTGTGAATAGGCGTTACTCGATGACAAACCTCCCCCAAAAAACAAAAACAAACATATTATTTCATCACGCTTGATGATGAGATGGTGAGAAACCTTGTTCTTAAATATAAACTGCAGTTGTTAAAAGAGCAAATTAAAATCCGAAACATGATTTCAGCTTCCATCTTGTTTCTTGTTTTGTCTCATTTTAAATCATTTTAAGCCATCATCTGGTTGAGAACCACAGATTTCCCCTTGTATCTGACAGTATAAAAGCCCAAGACCACTGTTGGTTCAGCCAATGAAATTGGTGCACCTTTAAGCAAAATGAACATAAACGTCCAGCAGTACTGCCTTAATAATGTGAACTCCACACACCTTTTGGATTGTGTTCAATCAGAGCCCAGTGGTCTAGTAGCCCGTGGCCATGGAAGCTCATGGATGGCACCGCCTGCATTAAGTGTTCGTTCCCAGCCTTGGCCACAGACACATCCTGACCCATGGGACGCCCCCCAGAACTCCTCAAGCCCTGTGTCCATCAATCAGACCTGGATCTCCCCGGCACATGGTACAAGCTTAACCACGTCATACCTTATGCAAATAATACATAACACTGTAACACATACTTGCTAAATATACTAATATTGAAGATGCCATTCAATTTTTTTTTTTTTTTTTTACTTTTCTTATAATTGTCCCGGTTCTTACTGTGCACAATACTCTGGGTTCGTTTTCCCTGAAGTAGAAGACTGAATTTGAAATGTGTGTAACTGCTAATTCATCAACATGGATGTGTAGCATAGAGATGACCTCGAGTTATACGTGAACTAAAAGTCACAAAACTCCAGTCAGTGTCTTCATTTCATGGGTCTTTAAATTCTCTAGGAACTGGAGTGGATCCCTTTTCTCCCTCAGTTTCTGACAAACACGGATCTATTGGGCCTCTCAAAACTCCATCGCCTCGTGCAGGAAGTCCCTCAGGCAATCACTGTTCTTCTCAAACTGAATTCTTATTTTTTACTTCATAATCATATTAATATATTATTAATATTAACAATTACTACTTTGCATTATAATATATTTCATTTACTCATTCCATTTTTGTACTTCTTTTTTGTGTCTGTGAATAGTGAATTTGTGAATTTTACGTTATATATCATATTTGCACTACCTTTAAAAATTTTGGGGTTTTGAAAGAAATTAATGCTTTAATTCAGCAAGGATTCATTACATTAATCAAAAATGACAGAAAATACATTTATAATGCTACAGAAGATTTTTTATTCAAATAAATGCTATTCTTTTGAACTTTTTGCTCAAGGAATTTTGAAAAAATCGTTTCCTTAAAAATATAAAGCAGCACAACTGTTTTTAAAATTGATAATCAGAAATGTCTTATGAGCATTAAATCATATTAGAATGATTTCTGTAGTATCATGTGACACTGAAGACTGGAGTAATGATGCGGAAAATTCAGCTTTGATGACAGGAATAAATTAAATACAATTCCATGTATTCACATGGAAAACACTTATTTAATTATTTTATTTAAAATGTAATTATTTTTTCAAAGTATTACTGTATTTGATGGTTCTTTAAAAAATATTAAAGAAAATCGTACCAACCCCAAATTTGTGAATGGTAGTGTACATATATATATATATATATATATATATATATTGAAGAGTTCAGATGCAAAAGACTCTAAATGCCATTTGAAATTTTCTTCTTTAATGATGATTTTTATCAAACTTGTATATTTAAGTTCAGTAATTTCACTTAAATAACAATTAATAGGTAAATATCATTGCCATTTAAGTGAAATCACTGAACTTAAATATACAAGCTTGATAAAAATGACCATTCTAGAAGAAAATTTCAAATGGCATTTAGAGGCTTTTGCATCTGAACTCTTCATATATATATATATATATATATATATATATATATATATATATATATAAATAAATCTCAATTCCTTTTTTATGATTTATACTTGTATAGATGACGACCTCTTTGATGAGGCTATGGATGGAGGTCAGGCAAATATAAATGGCCACGGTAGTCTTGAGACTTTCGATATGTCTTCCTTTGGCGAAGGACTACCAAAACCAGCTCAAACCGGAAGTACTCCAGAGGCCTTTCTGGGTCCCACCGGAGCTTCACTCGTCAACTTGGATTCACTGATCCCCTCCAACCCTCCTTCCAAGAACTTCAACCCATTTTTATCAGGTTAGAATGAACCACTTGACCAAACTACTACTCGTCACGTGTGTCAAAATCCACATTATTTGAATTGATTTTGGACTTTATCCCATTTAGGGCCGAGCGCTCCATCGACATCTAATCCATTTCAGCACGAACCACAGCCCCGCCTCACACTTAATCAGATGCGTCCCAGCTCCACATCTCCTGTACCCACGTCCCTCCCATTTAATGCCTCTCTGCCCATGGCTGCTAGCAACCAGCCCAGCTCCCTTCCCAGTACCTTCACACAGTCTGCGCAGGTCCCGCCGCTGATCCCTGGACACCTGCCTGAACCGCTGCTACCCCTGTCAACCACATCCACGCTTGGAGATCCAGAACAACACAATCAGAACCCGTTCCTATGAAAGACAGTGTGAGCAGATCCAAACAAGCTTTTGAAATGACAATTTAACCACCGACTTGACTTAAAACTGGAACACACTTTTTGTAATGTCTTTGCTTGTTTCACAGCTTCCTGGTTTTGCTCTATGCAGTCGCTCTTAAGAGGCGTTCACACATACAGTGGTTTGCAGTGACAAAAACCATTCGCGTTCAACAACAGCAACCGTTGCTAATTCAATGCGGCAGAGTTGAGAAATGTTCAAGATTATCCACCAGTCGTCATACAATGCGAATAGCGGATAATGTATCCATCTCCTGTCCTGTGAGATACTATAGTAAAGTGTCAGTAATGGCGCTTTTCCACTACACAGTACCGACTCGACTCGGCTCGGCTCGCCTTTGTTTGGTTTTCCACTGTGTAAAAGTTACCACCTCCAGCGAGGTTCTGAGCGAGCTAAGGCGATACTAAAATGTCACGTGAAAACAATGCCGACTCCTAATTGGTCAGAGAGAATCGTCACCATTCACTGCGTCATCATTACACGCGCCAGATGGAGTATCCAGAATATCCCTGCCATTTTTAAATAGTTTGGCCAGAGATAGTTACTAAACTAACTACTATTACTACGGCAACTCGGAAGAATACGCCGTGGTCAAACGAGGAGGTGCAGACTTTCCTTTGTTTGGTTGCCGAAGAGAAGATCCAGCGAGAGCTTGATGGGGCAACGAGGAACGAAAGGCGTCGCTATGACGACCGGGTACTATTTGTGTCGGTACTGTCTGCAATGCAAAACGGAGCCGAGCCGAGGTGAGTCGAGTCCATCTGAGCTGGTATTGGTAATTGAAAAGCGCCAAAAGATGGAGAAAATTGATGTCAGTTTGGTGTGTCTTGGTCTTACCAAAGAACTAGTGGCAACAAAAAAACAACAACTGTGGGGTCGCATCTGGGCCAAAAAGTTGACTCACAGAATGAGTCATTCTGCTTCAGCAAATAACTCTCCACACCAGCAGGTGGCAGTAGTCTGTGTTTGAATTGAAAAAAGGGAAACTTGAAGAGCTAGAACTGGAGATTGTTACAAAAAAATATTTTCTGAAGACCTCATCCCTATGCCCTAATTCCTTCGAAGGGTTTACCCTCCAGAGTGAGAGCCTCGACGGGATGAAGGGTTTTGTGGAACACCGAGCCAATTAAGAAACTGGCATCATCACACAATTGTGTACGCTGCTCACCTGCACAAATAATCATGGGAGCAAAGTGTTTAGCAGTTGTACCCTTCGGAATCTTTCATTTCGAAAGGGTCCTTTTAAGTGGCAAGTTATGAGCACTTCGGTTTGGAACGTCCCTTCGTTTGGGACTTTCAACCAGGTAGTTCTAGGAACTCTGTTATAGGAACGAGCCACCAGGGTGGTTCCACGAGGACTAAGGCCGTGTGTCCACCAAAGCATTTTTTCCACGCGCCTGGCGTATGTTTTCAATTGTTTTCAATGGTAGCGTCGCCTTTTTTTAAACGCCATGAGCGTACCGAGGCGCTGAACGTTTTTTTCACGCTGAAGCGCCGAGCGCCCATCGTTTTTACTGGTCGCTGGGAGATGAAAAATGTTCAACTTTGGATAAAACGCAGCGCTCATCACTGTCACTTTTTACCCAGCCGTCCAATCACAGTGGAGGAGGGGCGGGACTAATACCACACCGACCAACTGTCACAACATTCAAACTGCTGCAGATATTCTGTATCATAGCAACGAAACGTCTCAACAGAAAAAACGCTGCGCTGCCAAAACGCTCTCAAGCGCCCAAAGCACGGCGTCTTCAGCAGAGCGTCTGGCGTTTTCAGCTGGATAAAAAGGCTTTGGTGGACACACGGCCTAAATGTTCCCCTTGGGCCATTTTCCTGGTTGCATTTGCACTGCAAGTAGGAATGTCACGTAAGCCATCACTAAATGGCTCAGGACTTTTATTTTGCATGGCTTAGCCAAAGCCTGAGCACACAGTGCTGACATTTTCCGTCTTCATTAGTTTACGATCCTATCTTATACGTTATTGGGTAGAACCGTTACACATTGAAAGGAAAAAGTATGTGAACTTACCGAAAAGTGGGTACTCTCGCCATTAGTTCTTGTAAAGGTTTGAAAGGTGCGAAAGCCCCCTATTATGGCGGACACGATCGTTCTCACTCCGAAGTTTCATTCGAAGGCGTTTGGAACGCAAATTAAACCCATTTGAAACGCAGCCTTCTATGTGCGCCCTTTTCACTTTGCCATTTGTTTGATTTCATCACTTTAGTTTTTCATCTTGTGCACTGGTTCGCTAAGCTGAACAGCCAATCAGATCAATCTCGATCACCGACAGACTCCGCCAGAAAATAGTCAAATTTATTACTGATTGTTTCAAAGCAACTTCACTATAATAAACGCCCAAATAGGAGTTAATGAAAAATAAATCAATAATGAAATGCATTCAATTGCAGCTTTACAGTTTCCAGCTCAACGCAATCTTGATTCAACACACACTGCAAAGACTAGCCGACTGCTGGCTTGGTGTGTCACGGCCTTTACTGTGACGGCCTTTACCCGTCTATGCAGACATACAGTACAAGGTTAAAATGAAAAGTTGTGTAGAAAATGGTTTACAGACACTGCGTCCCAGTTGTCATCATATTTTCAAAAGATTTTGACCAATAACATCAATCATTCACAACCAGCAATACAGCCACTCGTCGACCTCCAGTCATAAAACCCATGTATGTGTGAACGCCTTTAATTTATAATCATGTGTATGAATGTCAACTATGCATTACATGGCAATACAGATTGATGCTGGCTTTGTGGGAGATGACAAATAAATGACACAATTTAAAAGTTGAGAATGTTTAATCCAACTCCTGCAGCATCAATATCTCCTAAACACCTCATCCTTTAAGTATTATAATAGATTTGGAAAGGATAACGCACTGGTTAATTGTTCCATAAAACCCAGTACATAACTAAGCACAAGTCCAAAGACTCTTATACAGTTTTTTTTTCTATTTCTAGCTCTGCTTTAGTGTCTCCTTATTAGTCTGGAGTATCTGATGACTTTCAATGCTGTGCTTTAATTTGCTGGTATCTGAACTGAACACATCCCGATGCCTCACTCTCACCAGTATGGCAGAAAAAAAAGGGACTATGATTTTGGGGCCAATAATTTAAGTTGCAAAATGTAAAGTATGATGATTTTGTAATATTGGGCATTGACTGTTGAATGAATAGACCTCCAGCAAGAGAATGTACTTACCGTGGTGTTCAGAATGAATTGATGCCACTTACTAACAGAATGTAAGATTGTGAGACTTGCACATGACATGTTGCTCATCAAATACAAGGATGGAGATGAAACTGAATGGCATGTCTGGTTTATGTTTGTTGTTCATACATCATGCTCTCGACCTCTGGCTTGACATGCTTGCACAAACTGTATACGGTACTAGTCGAATGTTTGGACACACCTACTCATAAGTTATTCTATGTTTCACTTTTCAGAAAACTATAAAATATCAAATTAAAGGATGGAAATCATGGAGTGAGTAAAATGTCTCATATAGCCTTTAATATACAGTAGTCAACATTTGAAGTGGATCAAAACCACAAACCAAAATAAAATGTCAAAAGATTTATGTATTTTAATTGCATATTAAATTTCCATCCATTTGCATAACATAGTTTTTACATCGGAGTTGTTTAATCCTCCTCTGTAGAATATAACGACTAATACTGTCTTATATCGTCAGTTGATTTCATCTAAGGCTTTGGCTGCAGTCAATTGTAGGAGTTCTTGCTTTTCTCTTTCCTTCAGTGATTCTGCTTTTTAACAGCGGGTGTTCATAACTAATGTTCAATCACCACTTAATCATCTCATTAACTTAAACACTGCTTCATGGTTCTGTAGTGTGCACACAAATGAACACTGAGCAGTGTCAGGCTATGTTTAGACGGAAACGATTCTGAAGAGAAAACGCAAAAGTGGCGTTGCGTCATCACTTTTTATTCTGCGTTTAGACGAGCGTTTTGTGTGGGAAATCCGCGTGCAAATGGTGACGCAAAAGTGTGTGAAATTCAATGTAGTATGCACTTCAGGCGGCTAGGAGTGCATACTACAACAACGCGCCTGCGTACAACCTTCACAGTCAAGCAGACTTTTGCGTTTTTATGTTTTTTACCGTTTAAACGGAACGCGGCGGTGGAGCGTTTTTAAGATTTCCATTCTGGAGGGTTGTTTCACTTTTTTTGCGTTTTTAAGTCTCAAAAACGCCGTCGCCGTGGAAACGAAAGGCACATCTGATAAAATATTTTTACCTCACCCGTGAGCGTTCTCGAGTAAACAGGGACTCAATTTAGGCGTTTGTCTGTGTACTATTACATAAATCTGTTTCATTTATGTATGACTGAGAAATGAATCTCATTCAGATAATTAATTGGTTTATGTTAAAACTATGTTCTCCAAATGGATGGAAATTTGATATGCGATTCAAATACATACATCTTATATGTTTAGACAAATGTTTTTTTTTTGAGTGCACTTCAAATGTTGACTACTTTATAGACGCATCCTAAACACAGAATGTATTGTTGAATTTCACTGCACTGCTTTTCCATCTTTTTTTAAAAAAAACATGCAGGCATCTTTGACCAATGATGCAGCGTTTAAGTTCAAATTACTTTTAAAAATGTCTCGACACCTTTCATTTTCTTACATTCCACTGATCAAGAATTGGAAAAACTGTTCCCATTCCACTTCCCTGTCTTGCGTTTTTGCATTACACTGCATTGCTTTTCCATTGTTTTCTATGTAAACATGCACTAGAAGGACCCTTGCACTTACACCTCACATCTTTTGCAGCGTCTTGCACAAGACACGTCCTTCCAAAGATGTGGAGCTAAAATAAGTACTACTATAAAAATGAATAGTTTTTACCCGATCCACTGCCCATGTCTTACAAAAAACGTTCGGTCTGAACGGCTCTTTATATGTTGTATTCTTTAACTTGTAATGTGTGTAAAGAGTACCTGAAAATCATACTTGAGTAAAAGTACAGATCAATGAAAATGACTGCATTGCAAGTTAAAAAATCCAGGGTGGTGATTGAAAAGATGATTGGCCCAGTTCCACAGACAGATTAAGCCAGGATTAGGATGTCAATTAATACGTCAATGAGATGTGGATATGACATTTGGTCATTGTTGGAAAAAAATTTAAAATATTAACAATTTCTCTTGTAATCTAAGTTTGTCATGTTACAGACCTCAAAACGTATGAGACTGTGTTTCAAGACTTTTGAACAAGTTATTTTCAACTTCACAAAGCTAAAAGTGCCCCTAGTTAGCCCGACTAGGCCTACAGAACAGTCATGTATCCACAAGTTTCAGAGGGGCGCTCCTGTAAAAAATAAAGTGGGTGAAACTTCCGGTGACGCGGCGGAAGTAGCATTCCAATGGTATTTTGTGTGTTAGTTAGCGAAGAGGCTAGCTGTTTTTCGGATAATTATTTTACTGTTTAAAGACGCAAATCTTTATGAGAGATGTCGTTACGGAGCTCAGGGACAACATGTGCTGTTCACGGTTGTATGTATAACCGGACTAAACTAATTCAGTGACTTAAACGTGATTGTTTTGAACATAAGCTGAAAACGAAATCAGAGTGATCCTGCCAGAGCCCGTCTCTGATCCTGCCAACGACTGTAGTTTCGATCACCTCCCAAAAGACGACGAATCTTCCTGTATCTACATTTGTTTAAATTCTTAATGTTCTATAAACTCTATCAGCATGTGATTGGCTGTTCGCTACTGATGTTACACCTAAACTCAGGATCAAAGCCTGTGTTGACAGAATTCCAAATTTGCCAGTTAATGTAGCCTATTCAAGAAGCACATTTATAATTTTGAATAAAATCCGACCAAAGCACGACTAAGTGTGTATTTTTTATTTTAATTGTTTGCCAGCTCGCACAACTGTCACCATGCCTTGATGAGTATTGATTATTAATAATGTTATTATAATACTCCCAATCAACTACTGAGGAGGGTACTGTTATTTCACCCTTTTGAATTTCGTTGAGGTTGGGTTCCCACATCGTTAGCTAGTTTGGATCGCTATAACTTGAATGACTGTCAACTGTTGAATGAACGAGTGTCAAGCATGTCAAATCTTGTTTACTTCCAACCGGAAGTCGCGCCCACTTTTTGACGCAAGGCCTCATATGGGGCGTAGGAAACTTGTGGATAGGCACACTACGTGTTTTTTTTTAATGCAAAACATTGAAGATATAATAAATAAAAGCCCTGTAAATACTTGCATTTTTTTTTACAAGACTATAAGTGTGTCCAATCGTTGAGAAATCAAAAGTTCTAACGCCTACTTGAACACGTCCGCCAAGTAGATCATGCAGACAAGTGGTCAAGTGCAAAGACCACAAGTGTGGGTATTTGACAAGGTATTGATCACAGCCTAATACTAATTACGGCCATTACGAATTCTGTTGTGAACGAAGTGCTCTGCTCATCCAATCCTAATCAAACACACCTGAACAAGCTAATCAGGTCTTCAAGATTAGGCTACTAGAAAGCTACAGGCAGGTGAGTTTCATCAGTGTTGGAGTTACCCAGACCTATCAGTGTTTCATCAGTGTTGGAGTTATCCAGTTTCAGAAAACTTTTATGCAGCGATTTATTGTGCACGATTCAACAGCAGTACATGTTGTAGTTTTGTGTTCCTCACTGTCTGTCCTGACTGACTAATTCAGCGTGTTTTCCAGCAGAGCTCATTGTGAGTTCACAGGACAAGGGATGACAGCTCGAGTGTACTGCTCGTTGAGTGTCGTTTTATTGTGCCTGTCTGCATGTTTGTGCAAAACACAAGTCGCAGGTGAGAAGATCTTTTAGCTTCATTACACAGTCTGAAGAAAGGCGTACAAAATGACTTATTTTGAACATGTAGATACAGTACATTTAGTTGCAATAGTAAACTTATGAAAAAAACATGACCTGTCCATGTCTTCTATCTGCATTGTGCTTCTATTACACACAGGTTGAAACCGCACTGTCTTTAAAACGGATTGACAGTTTTTAGTGATTCATTTGAGTTTTTCTTGATTAAGCAGATATGCATATTTTCAACTTTGAAACCTATATTTCAAAACCCTGGCTTGTAAACCATTATAACACTCCCTGGTCCCTTTTAACGATCCTCTTGAATCCTCTTCTGTAGAGTGCGGTCAGTGTCCGATGATTCTGACAGTCGTGCCATCCAGTCGAGGATGTACTTCCGATAGAGACTGTGCTGGAGGACATAAATGCTGTCAATTTCCCTGTGGGCCCGCATGTGTGCCACCTGTTTTCAGTGAGTTTCAATTAATGATGGATGCTGGAGGTCTCCCAAAAGAAGCACTGAAAGTTTTCGTTCAGATGTTGCTTGTGAACTTCACAAATAATTGCAAAGAAACTCCAAGTAACACATTGAACTAAACATGAAATTATTAAGTAGAACTACAGTAGCTGAACTCTCTCTAACTCTCTATACCGAACTCTCTCTCTAACTGTAAATGAGACCTTGAGCATTCAGTGATGTTTTCTGTCATGTGTCATCATAACAGCAAAGCCAGGAGAGTGTCCGAGCACCAAAAATGGAGGAGGAAATTGTGACCAGTTGTGTTCCTATGACAGTGACTGTGCAGACAATGACAAATGTTGCAGCAATGGATGTGGACGTCAGTGTATGGCTCCATACACAGGTAGTTGTATTATACTTTGTTATGGAGTGTGTGGGTCAGTTTCCCCAAGCCCCTCACCCCAGTGTGTCTTTAATAAGTCTGTTGACATATCCTACTTCATGACCAATAACTGAAATTTAGCACGGATAAGTTTCACAGATTAGCTTTATAAAATGAATAAAGATGATGAATATTTAAAATAAAGTTCACTCTGAAACACTTACTATTCCTGATTTGAGTTTTGTGCTGAATGCCACTGAAAGGACAGACTAAAGATGACTATCTGTATCCCTCCAGTGAGCCCTGCGGCCGAGCCACCGAAGCCTGCGGCCGAGCCACCGAAGCCTGCGGCCGAGCCACCGAAGCCTGCGGCCGAGCCACCGAAGCCTGCGGCCGAGCCACCGAAGCCTGCGGCCGAGCCACCGAAGCCTGCGGCCGAGCCACCGAAGCCTGCGGCCGAGCCACCGAAGCCTGCCATGGAGCCTGCGGCCGAGCCACCGAAGCCTGCCATGGAGCCTGCAGCCGAACCGCCGAAGCCTGCCGTGAAGCCTGCGGCCGAGCCACCAAAGCCTGTCATGAAGCCTGCGGCCAAGCCGCCGAAGCCTGCCGGGGACCCTGCGGCCGAGCCGCCGAAGCCTGCCGTGAAGCCTGCGGCCAAGCCGCCGAAGCCTGCCGGGGACCCTGCGGCCGAGCCGCCGAAGCCTGCCGTGAAGCCTGCCGAGCCGCCGAAGCCTGCCGTGAAGCCTGCGGCCAAGCCGCCAAAGCCTGTCATGAAGCCTGCGGCCGAGCCGCCGAAGCCTGCCGTGAAGCCTGCCGAGCCGCCGAAGCCTGCCGTGAAGCCTGCCGAGCCGCCGAAGCCTGCCGTGAAGCCTGCCGAGCCGCCGAAGCCTGCGGCCGAGCCGCCGAAGCCTGCCGTGAAGCCTGCCGAGCCGCCGAAGCCTGCCGAGCTGCCGAAGCCTGCCGTGAAGCCTGCGGCCGAGCGGCCAAAGCCTGCCGTGAAGCCTGCCTGTGAAGCTCCAAATCCTGCTGCTGAACTGCCAAGGCACCCTGAGTAGGCCAGACACCTTGGCCACGGTGGTCACGATCACAACGGCCGCCACGACAGTCATGACTTCCACAAATGTCACGGTGGTCACGATCACAAAGGCCGCCATGACGGTCACGATCACCATGATGGCCAATGTAAATCGTGACGTTGTTTTGTCGAACTCATGCTGAAGTTCTCTTACAGATCAATTCAGTGTTTTATTCGTATGGGATGTTCCTTGTTTATCACCAAATAAATCCTGTTTAATGAAATGTTTTTGCTTGATTTGAGTTTTGGAACAAAAATCTGTTTCTGTGGGGAAATTGTGGGGTGTCATTTTTCTGCCTGTTTTCTTTAGACAAAAAAAAATTGGGTATATAACACATTTGCAAATATTACAATTAAAAAATGAATCAAATTCAGGGATTTTTTTTTTTTTTAAATTAATGAACCTGATTGTTTTTTTTTCTGCATTTCTTTCCAGTCTCTTTTCATTTTGGTATTTTTAATTTTCTTTGAGTAAGCGTTGAATGACAATTTTCAATCATTTTATTGTTCTCCAACATATAAAACACAAATCTTGTGGCATTTCACAGCAACACTAGTTTATTAGTGAACTAACTACACATTTACTTAATGTGAATCGAATGGCAAAACATTTGCTCACTGTGACGCAGAACAATGCTTTCTAATATGAGTCACTCGACTTCTTGAATATTTGAAACTGTTCCCACACTGAGTACAGTCGTACGGCTTCTCTCCAGTGTGAACTTGCATGTGTGATTTCAGGTTTCCAGACTGAGTGAAACTCTTGTCACAATATGAGCACTTGTAAGGTTTTTCTCCAGTGTGAACTCGCTCGTGAGATTTCAGGTTTCCAGACATAGTGAAACTCTTGTCACAATGTGAGCACTTGTAAGGTTTTTCTCCAGTATGAATTCTTTGGTGCCGTTTCAGATCACGAGATGTAGTATAACTTTTCCCACAGTCAAAGCACATATAATCTCTCACTTGATTGTGTGTTTTCTGGTGCTGTTTAAAATTGTAAAGCCATAAAAAACTCTTTCCACAGAGAGGACACACATAAGGCTTCTCGTCTGAATGAACTTTCAGGTGTGATTTTAGTTGTGGTGATGACATAAAATCTTTACCACACTGATCACAATTAAATGGCTTTTCTCCAGAATGAATGAGCCGATGAACACTGAGACATGATGCATCTCTGAAACTCTTTCCACACTGAGTGCATGTATACGGTTTCTCTCCAGTGTGAATTCTCATGTGCTTGTTAAGGTCTCCTTTACTTGTGAAACACTTCCCACACTGAGTACATTCGTACGGTTTCTCTCCAGTGTGAGTTCTCATGTGTCTGTTACAGTGTCCTTTATGTATGAAACTCTTTCCACAATGAGTGCAGGTGTGTGTCTTTTTGGCTTTTGTTTTTTTAATTGTAACGTTACGATGTTCCTCCTGCATTTCATTCAGTTCTTGTCTTTGCCCTTTTACTCTCACCTAAAATACACAGAAATACAGTTAGAATCAGTTCAAGTGAACCTTTATTTAATTGCAGAAAACAACAGAGATCAGATCTTTCACTTATTTATTCTGTCATTATTCTGATATTCTGTCATTCACTTGTTAATATAGTAAACTTTGACAACTGCTGTATACAAGGTTATGATCCTTTGGATGTATTTCTCTAACATCCATTTGCTTATTAATTCACATCTATCAAAGCATCAACAATGAAGAATGAAGAATGGACACCAACCTTTTTGTTCCTCAGTATCTTCATGTTTTATTCTGGATGGTTCTGGATCACTCGTGTCTTCAATCTCCTCTTTACCTTCAACAGTCACACAGATGTCAGCTGCTACTCCTGGAGTTTGTCCTTCTCTTGTAGGATGATGGAAATATTCCCTGTATTTATTGGTGAATTGTTGTGGGAGGGGCTTCACTGCAGGTGTGAACTGCGATCACTGTGTTTTTATCCAATCTGCATTTAAAAAGTACAGGGCCATCATGTTTAACTGAGCAGCTGAAAAACCTCTTTGTCTCCAAAAGTTCCCTGTTTTCAGCTCATTCATTATGGTGATGTCTGCATCTTCAGTAAATTGGCACATTAAATCGTTTTATTGGTGTCAACAGGCTGAAACAAACTACAGCATCACCACCTTTCACTTCAGTTTTTGTCTTTGCTCTTTCACTTCCATCGAGACTGAAAACATTAAAACATTAAGTTGTTAGAATGAGTTCAAGGAGATATGGCTGTCAAACGAATTAAAAGTTTGTGTTTACATAATATATGTGGGTGCACTGTGTATAATTATTATATATATATAAATACACACACATCCTTGTATATATTTAAGAAATATTTTCATGTACTTTTTAGATTTAAATATAATAGGGGTGTGACAATTGATTTTTTTCATAGCAAATCTATGAATATTTTGAAATAAACTAATTATTTTATATACTCATAGGCCATTATAATATTATATAATTATATTATATCCATTACTAATTTGCTGTATACTTTTTTGTTTGTTTTTTATTTACTAAACTATTTAATATTGCTACTTCTCACTTTATCTTATATTTACTATTTGCATGCTTTGCACTGTTGTACCATTACTATAACGGATCCTACACCACGTACAACCTACTGAAATCGGTTGATAAATGTATATCTTATTTATCAGTCTTGCCCTTCGCAAAATGGCGGACGTGTTTACGTATCGCGCGGGCCCATGTATAAATAATTCTATTGCTGCGTGACGTCCCAATTCGCTTACTTATACTACGCCCTAAAAGTATGTACTCTTTTTGTGAGGAAAAAGTACATACTTTTGAGTGTGTAGCAAAAGAGTAAGCAAGCTTTGGGACATACTATCACGTCATCTTTAACGGACAGCTCTGTCGCGTGCTGCGTGCATCCATCCACCGTAAACTGCCCTGTCAATCATCTTGTCACAGTTAAAATCCTCCATTCTATCTAATTTTTATTTCCTACCGTTTCGGAGAGCACGTTCATCTGCCAGTTGAGGGTCTTTCATGCTCTCCTCGTGTTTGCAATTTGATAATGATGCATTAAACGTAATGGCTAACGTGTCTTTACAAAAGATCACAATGCTGCTGCAAATGCAATATAATGTGGACAACATGGAATAAATTCATTTTCGTCAGGTTAGATACTGATAATTAATCACTCAAAGCTCTTTATCTAAACCTCTCCACACAACCGCGGGGACTCGTGCGTCCTCCGTATCGACTACGAGTCTGTAGTTTTTTAAAACTTTTTACTCGTGTTTGTAGTTCTAACCATAGGGTTCTAACCGAATCCTCGTCCAACGCGCAATGGTTTGTGGGCAATATCAGCCGTAGGTGCGTTCCATTCGATAGGGTCCCTACACAAGTGTTCACTGCTCCCTACTCCCTGAACACGGTCAGTTGAAGTGGACTTCACTGACTTCCTGTGAAGTGATGTATCAATGTTCCCTTATTCACTACTATGTTGTTTGCAGTGCCCTTCGAACTGAACATGTTCGTTCCCTTTGAATTGGAATCTCACTTAAGATGGCAAAATACCCTGTGAAGTCCACTTCGCACCTAGAAGAGTGTGCATCGATCAACACTTCGGATTCTGACCGGAAAAAGTAGACCATCCGGGTATCTTTGAAACACTCATTTCAACATACTACGGTTTGGGACGTACTAATTCTATTTTCGAATACTATTTAGGACGGATAGTATGCGAATTGGGACGCAGCATATGAGCCAGTCGCATCAGACAGGAAGTGCAATAATCGCTCCAGTCTTCTCCGTTGAAATCATGGTTGAAATCAATGGGGTCGCTGTGTCCATTTCTTTAACTGTCTTTCCCTGGTGAACTCTGAGTGTTCCTTCCTGTGGTTTTGTTTTCCCGTTTACGTGTATTACTCTTGGACTGTTTATTCTCTTCGGGATTATCGACTATCCTGGATTGATTTATACTGTGGACTGATTTATGTAAGTTTGCTGCCTGAATTTATGCCTGTTTTCAGATTACGAGTTGCTTTGTTTACTGTTGTGTTTGCTGATAATGATGCTTGTTTCCGCCACAGAATGGAAAAAATAAGGTAATTGCGACTTTTATCTCACAATTCTGACTTTTTCTTCTCACAATTGCGAGGTTACATCTCGCAATTCTGACTTTATTTCTCAGAATTTAGAGATAAAGTCAGAATGCGTGATTAATTCAAGTCGCGTGTTATAAAGTCACAATTGCGTGACTGATATAAAGTCAGATTTGCAAGATATAAAGTCAGAATTGCGTGATATAAAGACTTGGGTAAAGGTGATCTTATATTCACACATTAGCCTTTTTTGCTTAAGAAGAACGTTCTCAATACGGGCAATAAAGCACATTTTTGCAAATTAGAAGCAGCTACATGATCTTGACAACAAAGATGGTCAACTACAACATTTTCCACAATCGAAACAAAATGGGCAAGTATGTTTTAATGGCATAACTACTTACTTGCGAATGTCCACTGAATGTCCAATGTCGAATGGTAAGATAGGGACCGTCTAAAAAGTTGTATTTTTTTTTCATTGTGTGCAAACAGACAACTGCATGTAATTCACCTAAAATATTTTTTATGTTCCTACGGCTGTAGTGCTTTCCTAATGACCACTGTGACTAGCCTACAGGTGAAATTTTGACAATACCCTTACTGTACGTACCAAAATTTATTTAAAAAAATACTGCATTTCCCCTAAAGTATTCTTTTCGTGTTTCAAAGGCTGTAGTGCTTTCCCAGTGACCTGACTGACTTGCTACAAGTGAAATTTCCACAATAACTACCATTTAATTTCCATAATAACGTACCATTGTCAATTTTGTTTATGAAAAATTAACTGTAAATGAACGTAACTATTTTTCCGCGTTCCAAAGGGCTGTAGTGCTTTCCCAGCGACCACACTGACTTACTACAGGTGGAACTTTGACAATAATTCCCTTACTGTACGTACAATAAACTAATAAGTTCAAGGAATAAAAATACTGTAATACTGTAGCTATTTGTAATGACACGCCAGGCGGCTAATGCTGAACATGTTGTTACGTGTAAATTAGATCCAGATTCCAGAGGCATCGTCTTCATTGCAAAAGTACCATTTTTATTGTCCTCCACACAGATGCACAGTACAACAAGGTCCACAAGCCCTCGAGGATTCCCAGAAATTAACACGACAACAGCATTTAACCAGAGAATGTGCAATTGAAGAGAATTGGCACTGGCTGGTTACTTCCGGTTTCTGGACTGGCTGCAGTAACACGTCTCTGTCCATGCGGTCAAATGCAGAATAAATGGGAGTCAATGGGGTTTCACCCCAGAAATCCACTTTTCTCAGGATGTAATTTTTTGTCAAGTAATTTTAAAGTTGCATTTAAAAGGGAGGGCTAAGATAATACTCTCAGCTGAAAATTGCATTTTTAAGTTCACTTATCTGTTCTAAAAATCCGTTCAAAACTGTGATGACGTCACACAATAGCAGAATGCTAGAAATCAAAAGGACCTAAGTACTCGTTCATTCGACTTTTGACCTAGAATCTATATTGAACTTGCGGAATCAACAATAAAATCTATGTTGATTTAACGACAAGCAGGTGAAAGAGACACATTTAGCCGTTTAGCCCCATAGACTCCCATTCATTCTGCACTCGCCCGTGATCACCTCCAGTGGAATTCTAATGGAACTGCAACCAAGATGATGCATAATGGGGCTAATAGGAAGTGCCAAGGCTCTCCGTTAGACGGGCTCTGATTTAACAAACTGCCGTAGCGGTCATCCGGGTTTAACCCCCATAACCCCCCCCCCCCCCCCCCCCCATCCACCAGCACCATCTAGTGGCCCAACAAAGATAAACACAAATTTGGATCCTACACTAACAATTTAATGTTTTAATGTTTTCAGACCAGATGGAAGTGAAAGAGCAAAGACAAGAACTGAAGTGAAAGGTGATGATGCTGTAGTTTGTTTCAGCCTGTTGACACCTGTAATCGTTTTAAATGACACATTAAATCGTTTTACTGAAGATCTCAGACATCACCATAATGAATGAGCTGAAAACAGGGAACTTTTGGAGACAAAGAAGTTTTTCAGCTGCTCAGTTTAACATGATGGCCCTGTACTTTTAAATGCAGATTGGATAAAAACACAGTGATCACAGTTCACACCTGCAGTGAAGCCCCTCCCACAACAATTCACCAATAAAAACTGGGAATATTCCCAACTCCAGGAGTAGCAGCTGACACCTGTGTGACTGTTGAAGATGGAGTTTATTAAAGAGGAGATTGAAGACACGAGTGATCCAGAACCATCCAGAATACAACATGAAGATACTGAGGAACAAACAGGTTGGTGTCCATTCTTGATTCTTCATTGTTAATGCTTTGGTAGATATGAAATAAACATCAGTATTTGGATGATAAACGATAAAGATCATAGCCTTGTATATAACAGTTGTCAAACATTTTTATTAACAAGTGAATGACAAAACTCTGTTGTTTTCTGCTATTAAATAAAGGTTCACTTGAACTGATTCTAACTGTATTTCGTGTATTTTAGACCAGGTGAGAGTGAAAGAGCAAAGACAAGAACTGAATAAAATGGAGGAGGAACATCATAACTTTACAATTCAAAGAACAAAAGCCAAAAAGATGCACACCTGCACTCAGTGTGGAAAGAGTTTCTCACAGAAAGGAAACCTTAAAACACACATGAGAACTCACACTGGAGAGAAACCGTATTCATGCACTCAGTGTGGAAAGAGTTTCACATTCAGAGGACACCTCAACATACACATGAGAATTCACACTGGAGAGAAACCGTATACATGCACTCAGTGTGGAAAGAGTTTTTCTCATTTATCATCTCTCAGTCTTCATCTGCTCATTCACTCTGGAGAAAAAACATTTAACTGTGATCAGTGTGGTAAAGATTTTATCTCACCATCACATCTAAAATCACACCTGAAAGTTCATTCAGATGAGAAGCCTTATGTGTGTCCTCTCTGTGGAAAGAGTTTTTCATGGATGAAGTATTTTAAACTGCACGAGAAAACACACAATGAAGTGAGAGATTATATGTGCTTTGACTGTGGGAAAAGCTATACTACATCTAGTGGTCTGAAACTGCATCAACGAGTTCACACTGGAGAAAAACCTTACAAGTGCTCACATTGTGACAAGAGTTTCACTATGTCTGGATCCCTGAAATTACACGAGCGAGTTCACACTGGAGAGAAGCCGTACGACTGTACTCAGTGTGGGAAGAGTTTCAAATATTCAGCAAGTCGATTGGTTCATATTAGAAAGCATTGTTCTGCGTCACAGTGAGCAAATGTTTTGCCATTCACATAAAGTAAATGTGTAGTTAACTAATAAACTAGTGCTGCTGTGAAATGCCACAAGATTTGTGTTTTTATATTTTAGATATTAAAACAAAAAAGGGTGAATGGAAATAATTCTGGGATAACACAGTAACTTTCCACTGTAAGGTCATGTTTACATATGATTTTTTTATTTATTTTCCTCTTATTCTAGAGCATTTGATGTTTTTTGAACTTTTCGAAATTGTAGTAATACATTTACTTGACATAACAAATTGTTATATTTGATTACTCTAACAGATTGACTATTTTCATAATAGTCAAATATAAACATATATAGCCTATATATAATGATGCACAGTCAGATATCATCGAAAAAACTTTCATTGTATATAGTCAGATGAAATAACGAGTTAATACATAAGATAAAATGTAAAATGAAAGAATTCCTTTGCCAAGAGAAGAGACCAAACACGTGTGAGACCTTCACCTCTAATCGAGTAGTACCGCCATTGGATCGAATTTAGATGGCCTTACAGCTTTACCTTTCACTAAACATATTTAGATATATCGAAATCGAAGATGGCCTTTAAGTTTTGCCTTTCGCTAAACATATTTAGATATATCGAAATCGTCTAGCGATTTCCCGTACATCTAAATGGTGAAAGGTACGAAATCTCAGTGTAAACAACGCGTGACCGCTCACTTCCGGCGTAAAGTCTGGAGACGGTTCAGTTGTTCGGTTCAGTTGGACATCTGATTCAGATTAGAGGTACAAACTACACTCACCGGCCACTTTATTAGGTACACCTGCCCAACTGCTCGTTAACACTTAATTTCTAAGCAGCCAATCACATGGCGGCAACTCAGTGCATTTAGGCATGTAGACATGGTCAAGACAATCTCCTGCAGTTCAAACCGAGCATCAGTATGGGGAAGAAAGGTGATTTGAGTGACTTTGAACGTGGCATGATTGTTGGTGCCAGAAGGGCTGGTCTGAGTATTTCAGAAACTGCTAATCTACTGGGATTTTCACGCACAACCATCTCTAGGGTTTACAGAGAATGGTCCGAAAAAGAAAAAACATCCAGTGAGCGGCAGTTCTGTGGGCAGAAATGCCTTGTTGATGCCAGAGGTCAGAGGAGAATGGCCAGACTGGTTCGAGCTGATAGAAGGGCAACAGTGACTCAAATAACCACCCGTTACAACCAAGGTGGGCAGAAGAGCATCTCTGAACGCACAGTACGTCGAACTTTGAGGCAGATGGGCTACAGCAGCAGAAGACCACACCGGGTGCCACTCCTTTCAGCTAAGAACAGGAAACTGAGGCTACAATTTGCACAAGCTCATCGAAATTGGACAATAGAAGATTGGAAAAACGTTGCCTGGTCTGATGAGTCTCGATTTCTGCTGCGACATTCGGATGGTAGGGTCAGAATTTGGCGTCTACAACATGAAAGCATGGATCCATCCTGCCTTGTATCAACGGTTCAGGCTGGTGGTGGTGGTGTCATGGTGTGGGGAATATTTTCTTGGCACTCTTTGGGCCCCTTGGTACCAATTGAGCATCGTTGCAACGCCACAGCCTACCTGAGTATTGTTGCTGACCATGTCCATCCCTTTATGACCACAATGTACTCAACTTCTGATGGCTACTTTCAGCAGGATAATGCGCCATGTCATAAAGCTGGAATCATCTCAGATTGGTTTCTTGAACATGACAATGAGTTCGCTGTACTCAAATGGCCTCCACAGTCACCAGATCTCAATCCAATAGAGCATCTTTGGGATGTGGTGGAACGGGAGATTCGCATCATGGATGTGCAGCCGACAAATCTGCGGCAACTGTGTGATGCCATCATGTCGATATGGACCAAACTCCCTGAGGAATGCTTCCAGCACCTTGTTGAATCTATGCCACGAAGAATTGAGGCAGTTCTGAAGGCAAAAGGGGGTCCAACTCGTTACTAGCATGGGGTACCTAATAAAGTGGCCGGTGAGTGTATATAAATACTATTTGTTTTCTCCCACAAACCACTTGTTTCGTGTCTTAGGCCATCAATGTGTACTTACATTTACGAGTCATTAAATCACGTTTAATTTGGACTTCTTTGTGCATGCTCTTTGAGGTGGATCCCCTAAAACTGCATTATATGACTGACAGACAACACCGGTTTGACCGAAAAATGTAAAAATTGAAAATCCTGTGGAAACAAAGACACCTACATCTTGGATGCCCTTGAGGTAAGCTAAAACATATCAAAAATTAATTTCAAAGTGAACTATCCCTTTTTAATGCCCTGTAGATGGCGATATTGCTGCATTTTTAGCAGAAATAGGCTGCAGAATGATGACCATGCTAAATGTAAACATTACATCACAAATGTATTAATGTATAAGCAAAATGTATATATATATAGATATATTTACTCAGTAAAACTACAAAGTAGCCAAAAAGATACTTAAAGATACTGAACCTGATATTTTTTTCTTCAATTTGGGCAAAATGGTTTAAACCCCAAATAATTTATTTTAAAAGCAATCGTCTGTGAAAAAAAACTAGTTCCATGATGCCATCTAATGTTTATCATAGAGGACCATAACAGATGAGAAGCTCGTTCCAGGGACGAAAAGTCTTGGCCAAGACCATGCTCAGGAAAAAGGGAATTGTGAATATTGAACTCAGGGACAAAACTTACAAAATGAGCGAGTCCATCATGAATCCATTTTTCAAGGAAATAAACTTTTAAATATAATTTTGGTGATTTTTGGAGTTTTAAAATGATTGACTACAGGGGGACTTTAAATAAGTCACACACCACTGATCCTAGGTTGCATTCACTACATTTCAAGTTATTTCTCCTGTGGAACACATTGGATTTGAGAGCTTACAGTGGAGGGAATAATCCAAGCGTTTAATAGTTGTGTTTTGACCACTTTGGATCATGATTACAATATGCTTTCATTGTGTAGAAAAGAATCTATTCCACAGAGCACAGGACGTCACACGAGAGTCGTCAAAAGCCCGCCGGTTCTACATTGAAGCTGTTCCTCAAATGAATGTTTGTGACTGACGTGGGACTTATTAGAGCAACTGTATCACAGCAGCACCGCGATGACTGGAAATCACAACTATTAACTGTGACCTGTGATATAATATTAGCCCCCCAGTTCTCTGCATCCACATCTCTCATGTCTCAGAGCGGTTTAGAAACAGCCAGTCGAGCACATCCTGAAGGCCCTGTCCCGAGCGCCCACTGATCTCTAGTGTTGTGATTGACTGAGGCGCAGTTCGAATGATGTCATCCATCCTGAACAACGACTTCAGCTCCACAAGAGACATGGTGCACGGAAGATCCCTGAGGAAAGAAATGTATTAATGGAGTGAGGACGGAGCGATAGGCTTAGCATGACTTACTGGAATTACTGAATTAAATCAACAAGGGTGTTTTCATCCACCTATTTTGTGATATCTCATAAAAAAAGACTGGATGGAAACTGATGCGCATATATTCTAAAAATGTGCATTAAAAAAACATATGCGCTCAATTGAGGCGCATACAGTTTTTATTTGATTAGACTTCAACAGAAGATGTGATTGGATAACTGGACTAACCAGCAGACCAATCGCATCACAGCATCTCAAATGTTGGTTTGATCGTTATGAAGTCTGCCATGAATGATTTGCTTTAATTCCCTAGCAGAAGCGTCTCACACGATTGCGTTTCCCAAACATAAGGCATCTGATCGCAAGACAACACGACCGCGTTTATTGAGTAAACATTCGCAGCGGCGTCGCCGATTTCAGCAACTTCCATTTATATTCGATATTTTGTGCCAAATTCCCAGGAAATAACGATTTTGCTTTCTTGAACACATGTGATGGAAACGCTGCTTTAATTTGCAAATGTTTTATGCGAAATTACAATTTTGCACATACGTTAAAAGATTAAACTTTGGATGTAGAGGTAGATAGTGTGTGACCTCTACTGACCTCTTGTTGAAGAGTATGAGCACAGCGGCAGCGTGAAGCGGCTCCGCAGAGAGAACAGACAGCAGCTGGACGCAGGACGATGAAATCTGGCCAATGTTGCCACAGTCCACCACAAACTACAAGGCATAAAGAACATATGCATATCAATAGTGATGGACAACATAATCATCCTGTATGGTCATACAGTCTCTCTCCAGGACTCTCAAAACAATGAAGAGAAAACCAGCAAACAATCTTCACGTCCAGTGGTTGATAATCGAGGGATTCAACAAACAAATCCATTACCTTCTGCCATCTGAGTTAATGAGATATTTACTGCCAGTAATATGTTTGAAAACGCTTCATTGTTCAATATGACAATCTAGTTTTCACACTTTTATTTACTAGTAAATTCATAATCAACTCACAACACATATGGGAATTACTGTAAGTAGTGACAAAAAATGATAAGCAAATCAAACCTCCCTTAAACCTAATAGTACAGAAGCCAAAATAGGGCTATAATATATTTAAACTAATTTCTCATTCTCTTATTTCTTGACTTGTTGATACTCACTATAACGGATGTACAATCTAAGTAGTATTTTGGCCAAATGGGCCCCATACAGCCTCCCAACTCTCGTATTGTTATTTTCTTCCTCCGAAATATGAGGTCCGTGAGGTTGGTACCGACCTTGAAAAAAAAAAAAGTAAAGATATTTAACACAATTAATTTTTTCTAATCCCCTTTTTAACCAGTCCCCCATTTACTTCCAACACATGCACATTCAAAAAATAAATAAATAATAAAAAAAAAATATTAAATATTAAACTAGAATTTTTTTATTTATTCTTTTTGTAAACATTTTATTTTTATTTCACTCCAATGCATTATTTAAAATATTTTATTGCGATTTAAAGAAACTATAAGAAAATAATAATACTAATAAGAAGAAGAAACGTCAGACATCATCTTTATTTATGTTGTTCTAACTTTTGTAGTAGGTTACTTTAGTTTTAGATAGCAAGCATATATCAACTTAACGTTACTTCACTAAAACACACTGTTTACTTGACTAAACACATTGTAAAATATTACAGAAAACTTTATTTGCTAGCGGAACAGCATTAGTGTGAAGAGGAGAGCAGCTCACCGTGGGAAGAGTGACGGGCGCTTCACCCAAATCCGCATGCGCGTCCAACTGACACAACTGTTAGTCCAGATAAAGGAGTCATATTCATTGACAGTGGGTGAGAAATTATAACAAGAAACTATTATATTTATAGTAATACAGTCTGTCTTATGTAAAGAGCTGGCAAAGGATATTCTGTAGTCGTTTCAGTAAAAGCGTTTTTCCGACTCCAGTTGCACCGAGCAATAAACACATCGCCTCGACCTCTCAGCCTGCTAACAGTTAACGTTACTGTCTCAAAATAAAAGCGATGTTTTAAAGATTTCTGTCCTACATACAGGCATTGCATGGAGAGATTTCCTGTGTCGCCACGGCAACGATGCTATTTACAAAATAAAAGTCTCCATGTTTCCTGTATAATTATTTTTGAGGATTCATCGCCCCCTCTGGTGAGCTGTAGCAGATATGCCCCCAAGCCCCTGTGAAAGAGTGTTTTGTTGTACTAAATGTACATTTGTTGTGAAGTTTACTTCAAATTAAAAAAAATATTTTTTTAAAACTGCAGGTACTTGCAGTTAATATAATATGAACGGAAAAGGGCCATCATAACTATGTTTCTTAACACACTTAAATACACTTAGCCTATAGGCCTACAAATAATTACAAATTTAGTTTGACTTTAAAGTACATATGTTGAATTATGCTGAATCCTTCATAATGACTCACATTTATAGCTGGATGGATATTTTGTGTTTTCTCTGTTTTTCCCCATAAATGTCTATTCCATGTATCACTTCTTGGAGGATTGTCCTTAAACAAACATTTATTTAACAGGAATGGAGGAAACATGAATTTTTACCCATGCATGAAGTAACTGGATGAAATGATTGGCTGAACTCCAGTGATCGTCACTCTTTCAGAGTTTCTCTTCCTCATATATGAGTCTCTCAGTCTCTCTTATTCTCTTCATCTCTCCACTAAACTCAAACTGCTTCACAGGGAAGATGCTGATCATTTTCTACTTCACTCTCCTCACTCTTCTGTCATGTAAGTTATTTCACTATAAACATGTTGTTCTCTCAGGGGTGTCAAAGTTGATTAAATTAATTATATTTATCATGATTTTTCAGGTGTCAGATCTGTGAAAGTGCTCACACAGAAACCCTCTGTGCTGACAGAACAAAAAGGCAAATCTGTGACTCTGGATTGTAACATTGAAAAGGATGAAGGTTATGTACACTGGTATAAACAGAATCCAAATGCAGCTCCTCAGTTTGTGTTGAGATTTTATCATTCACACAGCTCTCCTGACAAATATGGAGATGGTTTTACATCCAGCCGCTTCACATCTACAGCTCAGTCAAAGATTGACTATAGTCTGATCATCAGTAATGTGGATGTTGGTGATTCTGCAGTGTATTACTGTAACACATATGACAACTCAGTTAATGAGTGGATATCACAGTGATTCACAGCATGACAAAAACCTCCTCACTGCTCACATTCACTTCTGCTTTTACACACATCTCACTCGTTCTTGAATTCAACACACAATATGTGCAGTTACAGTTTACAGTTACATTAGTATATTTATGTCATTTAAATCAAGTGTAACTCTAGAGATGGACTGTCACCATAGAGGCATGTTGGACATTTATATATTTATTTTTGATTAATTTATTTAACAGTGGGAAAATTAAAATGTATACATAAGTTCACTTTGGATATCTGTTTTCTATATTATAACACTGCTCAAAAAAATAAAAGGAACACTAAAATAACACATCATAGATCTGAATGAATGAAATAATCTTATTAAATACTTTTTTCTTGTTTGTACTTTTTAAGTGTTGTTTAAGTGTTCCCTTTATTTTTTGAGCAGTATATATTAAACAAATATACAGCATATCTGAAAAAAGAAAACATGTGAAAGACATGAAGAAAAGAAACCTGATTATTTTTTAAATTCTTGTACAGTTTTTCTCAGTCGATTGGACCCATTTCTCTAAACTCAGTTCACTGCTCTCAAAACAATAAACACTGTCATCTAAACACACTCGTATCTCATAGCCCAACAGTTCATGAAGCTCTGTAGTTTAAAATGTAAATACTATCATCAAACCTACAGGCGTGTTATCTATTGACTTCAGAACATATTCAACACACAAATATACGAGTGAAAATGCATTTTATCATAAAATTCTTAAATGAGGAGTTTTGATTTGTTTGATGGTAATGTTTAAAAATGACTTGCTCTTATTGCATTCAAAACAAACTTGGTCATCCTCGATGTTCTTGAAACTAAATTCTGAAAAATGTTTACAGAACTTCCTTTTCTTTCTTTGTCAAAATTACAAGTGTACATGTATAATACTCATAAAAGTGTAATGTAATATAAACACGTTGGATCTGTTTCAGCTTTCTTTAAGAAGCTTTATTTATTACATGGTCAATTAGAAGGATTTTCTATTACATGTGAAAGTGTGTACCTTCTACATCTCTTTCATCCCTTCCTTTCTGTTCATGTCTTTTTGCAATTTCTCCTCTTATTCTTTCCACTACACCGCTGTCCTCCACTTCACCCATCTCTTCATCCTCTCCTTTTCTTAAACTCTCTCCTCCTCTCTTCTTCATCTCTTTCTACCCGTTTCACTCTTCCTCTCCCATTCCTCAACTCTCTTCCACTCCTCCACCTTTCTTTTCCCCTTCTCATGCTTATTCTTATTTTATTATCATTATTTTTTTGTAATGTTTGCCACTTTAGAAAATAGTTTTTATCATAAATGCAATTGTGATAGCAGAGTAAACAATTAGAAAAGCTGCATTTCCAGTGATGTGTGTTTTATTAACCATCAGATTGGCCTACTAGTTTGGGGCCAAATTAAATCATGCAATGTGCAATAGAGAATATGACAAACTTACAATCTGTTTATGACAATTATAAAGTGTTCAGATCACGGTGTTAATTGTTAAGAGCTGAGATCTGAGTTTTGTGTCAAATTGTTTGAGAAAAACTTTAACCAATTCTCCTCAATGATGAAGTGAGAAGCTCATGTAGTTTGAATGATGTGTGGACATGTCTACTGAATGGGTGGGCGTGTCTATTGTATGAGGTGGGCGGGTCTTTCAGTGGCTCCTCCCTCTCAGAGATCTTGACTGTCTTAAAGTTTCTCTCTCTGATCATCTCAGCATTATTCTACAGCTCTGCTCATCTTTACACGTCACACGGACCAAATCACAAGATGATCTCAATAATCTGTGCTTTCTTTACTCTTCTGACCTGTAAGTTTCATCATTTCTGATGTCAGGTTTTTTAAAGTGTTTTGGCACAATCTCATTTAAGGATGTGTTTATTCTGCAGGTGTGAGTGGAGTGACTGTAGTGACTCAGAGTCCATTAATCACAGTCAATAAAGGAGAAAGAGCCAAACTGGACTGTAATCTGGGGACAGTAACTAATGCTGGTGCTAGATGGTACAAACAGACTTCAGGAGGAGTTCCTCAATATGTGTTAAGATTTCATCATAGCTATAGTTCTCCATCATATGGATCTGGTTTCTCTGCTCCTAAATTCACATCAACACATTCATCTCAATCAGATTATAGTCTGATCATCAGTAATGTGGATGTTGGTGATTCTGCAGTGTATTACTGTCAGACATATGACAGCTCAGTTAGTGAGTACGTATCACAGTGATTCACAGCATGACAAAAACCGCCTCACTGCTCACATTCACTTCTGCTTCTAGACAACAGATGATAAGAGCACTACTTCACTTCTCTGAATCACGATGATTAACCTAACTTACTAACTAAAACTTTAGTATTCTCACCTGTAGGTAAATCGTTAGAAAAATATGTTTATCAGTACGGCCATCGAATCTTCTAATAAATAGCGAGGTATAAAGACAGCCTCTTATCATTTCTCGTGGTCAGTTATCTTTCGGCGTCCCTTCTCCTCCTCTTCTCCTCCTTTTGTAGGCTACCATATTTTTCCTGTGTAATAGGAGGCAATCGGAGCTCGAGGAGAATGTCCTCTCTCAGCCCCTCTACAGCAAGCCAAATCCATTTACCACTTACGCTGAGATTATATGGGCTCACAAACTCGTGACATCTGCAGGTCTTCTGAAGCCTGTTCTCTGGTCTCAGGTGTAAAGACACAAGCGACCACCGTATGTTCCCTTCACTAACAGACTTACAGTATGTGATGGACTCAGTTCTTCAGTTTTGTTTGAAACACCTGACAAACGGCATCTCCTTCCCAAAGTGAATTCCCTCAGCGTTAACAACAGATTACTCTCATCTTCGGCCGCTAATAATCACGCAATCTCATCTACACATGAACAATCATAACAAAGCAAAGAATCAATGACAGCAATTGGTGAAAAACATGACACACAAACACTTTATCTCGTGTCTTAAAGCTAGAAATTCCTCATACTAATGAAACTGCATAGAAACAGCTGCTTATGAACGTGTTTCTTGACATCACAACACTTAATCACTGTAAGAGCTTTAATGACGAGAGTTGTGGTTGACTTTGAATTGTTTTGGAGGTTCAACAAGGTCCATCACAACATGTCATAAAATATTTTATTTTTCTTCTCTCTGTATCTTTAGGTTCAGTGTTAAAATGACAGTGTGAATGCGAATCAGGACTATGTATTGTTTTCTTTTTTTGATCCGGACCGAAATAACCAGGAAACCGAACTACAAGTGTGAACACACTGAGACAACAGCCGGATTCACTGTAGACACCTCAGAAGAACAACAGCCATATGAGATTGTGTTTAACAGCACTTTAATACTGTGATAACTCGTCACTCGAACAACAAACAGCCTGGAGACGTTATGGCTTTCAACACAACGCAGCAAGATTTATTATTTTACTATTGTTGCATACGGGTAGCCTATATTTCCGTAAGTCACGCAGGACCTGTTTTATTGGATTATTCTTGAAACCGGAATATTAATACCACGTGTCTATACGCACTATTTTGCCATCGCCGAGCATGACCGGGAACGAGAGAGGCCCGTCACCATGGCAATGAACCCGATCGATCCACTTGTGTCCAAAACTAAAGTTCCTCATCCAAACAGCATCACCAACTTGAAAACTCCTAACTTGACGTTTGCCGTCTTGATCCTGCTTTTGTTTAGTTTGTTTGTCTCGTACCTTCTGTTGCGAGTCTGGATGCGATGGATCAAGAGTGGAACACAGTTTACATCCCGACAGCGTCTCTGCAGGACTCGTTCCTGTGGTGGACTGAGGTGATCCTGCAGCAGTCAAATACAGCTAATATGAGGACTAAAACAGCAACATACATGTGTTTGTGTGTGAATCTGAAACATTTCTCCATGAAATACATGTGTAAACGACACAGTCCGCTGAGGTTGAGTGAGTGTTTCACTTCTGTTTGAGTCTCTTCACACACTGAGGAGGTTTTTGTACGACTGAACATATGAAATGCATCACTGTGGTATTCGGACAAGGAACAAAACTCATTGTGACTGGTAAGTGACACTGGATTTTCATTTTTTTTTTATATTTTCACTGTATTACAGTAAATATAGTCTAAACTTCATTATAGATATATAAACTCATTATTGTAGTTAATTTAGTTAATTGTGTGAATTCAGTCAGAGACAGTTTTATCAACCGCCTCCAGTAAACAGAAATACACTGACAAGACTTTAACTTTCATCTGTGCTTTTATCTGGTTGTGCTTTCATTCAATTAATAATAACAATAATAATAATTATTATTATAGAACATAATTTTTCATCAATTCGTTCATCATTGTTCAAAAATTTACTTTGTGTTTAATTTGATGTATTTTTAAAATTCTCATTAAACTAATTACTGCATGTACAGTATCTGTGAAACAACACGAGAAGTTGACCTGCAGTGTGACGTGCTGTATCTCATCTAAAACTTTTTGCAAATAATTTTTTTAAAATAAAATTATTCATGAAGCTTTTAGTAACTCAATTTGCACCTATATGTCACGCTGTTGGACAGTTGAAAATGAGCTGAGAATGAGCTAAAAATGGTAGAAAAATAGTGCCAGCATCTAAAATATGCACTGTGTCATATAAACTCACATTTCAACCTAAAATCCTGATCTAGAAAATAAAAATCCTGCAAACTACTCGCATACATGCACTATTTGACTTTTGTGTTGCAAGTCAATAAAGACATTGAGACGCATGTATTACACATGAATAATAATAACATAAATTATTTATCCAATTATGTGAGAAAAGATGAATTGTTGACATGGTGATGTGTGAAATTTTAGATGTCAGAAATGTCATGTCAGGGGTCAATATGTCAAATGTGTGTCTGAGATGCAGATGTTTCTCCATGTTAATGGTGTTGTTGATGATACAGATGCTGATGTTGATCCTCCTGTGCTGAACATCCTCCGTCCATCCAGAGAAGATCTGACCGGCTCCAGTAAAGTCACTCTGGTGTGTCTGATCAATCACATGTCTGTGGCTTTTGCTGATGTGCGCTGGCTTCTGAACGGGAAGTCTGTTACTACAGGCGTCTTCACCAGCTCTGCTGAACAGCAGCCCGATCAGAAATTCAAGATGAGCAGTTATTTAACCCTCGAGAGCTCAGAGTGGGACAAAGACCCAGAACTGACATGTGAAGCGTCTGTTGCCTCAAAAACCACCAGAACAAACATCAAGAAATCTGAATGCAGCGACTAAACTCACACAATCTGATGTGTTGTTTGAGTAAGAATATCTTCGGATGTAGTGTAATAGAAATCATGAATATAGAAACTATTAAAAATAGTTCAAGAATGTAACCTGAACTGTGTCCTTTCCTACAATATTTGGGCTTTAATGATGATGTAAGATTTACAACCTGTTTAATAAAGTGCATGTTAAACAAACAGTTTTCTTACTGATTTTTGCAGAGAAATTAAGCATGTAACATTCAAAAAGCATCAACTACTTCCTTACTAAGTCTACAATCTACAATCAATGGAAGAACAAATATAATAGAAATAGTATCATTATGTAAATACTCAAATAAACCATGAATTCAATACTCAAATCAATCAAATATCAGCTCGTCAGTGGAAAGAGTGAATTAAACGAGTTACTGTTAGTAAATATCATTTGTTTAGAGCACAGCAGAGATGAATGTTGTCTGAATATGGAGACGATCACATGACTGATCATGAACTAGAGTGACTCAATGACAGATGAAAAATGACTATTATTTGATACAGTAAAGTTATGATCTAAACCATGAGAAACAAAATGATGGCCTGACATTGATGTGATTCGACATCATGTGAATATGGATTATAAGTGGGTCTTCTAGCAGATGCAGTGAGCTGTGGAGATTTACTTCAGGACAGGAAGTTCATTCTGACACACCGGAAACACCTGCAGTTATAATCGGCTCCATGTAAATCACCAGTTTCTCTGTTTCTCTCTTTTTATCTGTTCATTCAACCAGACAAGAGCATTAACCAGCAAATCATCAGGGAATCATCATCTGCACATGAACAATAATAAAGGAGCAATACAATTAATGAAAAACAAGACGAAAAACAAAACAAACTTAAATGAATAATAGTTAATTATATAATAGTTAGTCAATTTGTGACATTATTTTTTGCTCTCAGTGTTTCTGACACTGATTTAAGACGGGTTTGAAATATTTCAGAACATCAGAGACGTTTTTCAACTCTTTTGTAAATCAAGTTTCCTCTCACCAAAAAAAGTACAATCAAACATGTTTTGAAGACTTGCAATTTAAAAAAAAAAGTATTACAACCTTAACATGTTAATACATAAGTTTAGGTAAATATATTGTATGTTTTCTGATGATGTGTTGATGATGAATGATGATGTCACAGAGAGGCTCCTCCCTCTTCAGTCTCTTATACTCGTCTCTGACCGCTCTTCTCTGTACAATCTCACATCACACACTCACAACATGCTGACAGTCTTCATCATCCTCATCATCACTCTGTCATGTAAGGCATCACTGCAGTTTAAGATGCACATCTAAAATGATCATGAATATTGTGTCTCAATAATGGTGTGTTTGTTCTCAGGTGTCGGTGGAGTGACTGTAGTGACCCAAAATCCTCCATTAATCTCAGTCAATAAAGGAGAAACTGTGTCATTGGTCTGTAACACAGGCAGCTCTACTGATGGTGGCCGCTGGTATAAACAGGTCGCAGGAGGAACGCCTCAGTTTGTGTTAAACTCATTCCATGGCTGGAGCTCTCCTAAATATGGATCTGGATTCTCCTCTCCTAAATTTACAGTCTCTTATCCTACTAAGTCCGACTGTCATCTGTCAATCAGTAATGTGGATGTTGGTGATTCTGCAGTGTATTACTGTGGCACATGGGACAGCTCTGCTAAAGAGAACGTATCACAGTGATTCACAGCATGACAAAAACCTCCTCACTGCTCACATTCACTTCTGCTTCTAGACAACAGATGATAAGAGCACTACTTCACTACATCCACGATGCATTTCAAACTAATCACAGATGATGAGAATATTCTCCAATTTCTTAAATATTGTATCTTTTTTTCCCCCTAAATATGGATCCAGATTCTCCTCAATAGTCCTCAATAGCACAATAGTCATAAATATAGACGAGGAATGTCATATAAACACTTTGGATCTGTTTCAGCTTCTCTCAAGAAGAATGCATGATTTATTATATGGTTCATTTGGATGATTTTCCATTACATTTGAAAGTTTGTACCTTCTACGTCTCTTCACTCCTCTTTCATCCCGTCCTTTCTGTTCATGTCTTGCAGTTTCTCCTCTTATTCTTGTCACAGTGTCTGGTTGTGTTCCCTTGTTGTCACTAGAGGTCCTCGTTATCACTGTGTCCTTCACTATTGACTTCATTTCCCAGCATTCTGTCTGTCACTTGCACTCAGCTGTTCCCCGTAATCATTGTTCCCAGCTGTTCTGTGTTAGTCTTGTTAGTTCTGTGTATATATTCCCTGTCTGTGTTAGTTTGTGTACGGATTCGTTGCTGAATGTCACTAACACTTCCGAGGTCTGGGTTCTTGCCTGTTCTTGTTTTGTTTCTTGTTTATTTGTTTATTGGACTGCTAAAATGGATTTTGACCCCTGCATGGATGACTATGAGTTGGATTGCCCTGATAATATATATGCTACATTTGGATCCACCTGTTTCCCTGTGTGTTCCCGTGACAATTCTTTCCACTACACCGCTGTCCTCCACTCACCCATCTCTTCATCCTCTCCTTTTCTTAAACTCTCTCCTCTTCTTCTCTTTATCTCTTTCTACTGGTTCTAAACAATGACAAAAATAATTTAAGAAAAAATGAATTTCCTGTGTTGTGTGTATTATAAACAGACCAGTTTGAGGCCAAATTAAATCATTCCATGTGTTATCGAGAATATGAGAAATTACAGAGTTTTGTTTTCTGTGTTTGTAAAAATCAATGTTTTGTGATTTTTGTGAATTGGCTTTATGCACAGCTGCACTACTTCCTGAATTTCAGCCAGCTCCTTGTTTCCCGTCTGCCATAATTGGACACATTGATTGATTCGGGTGTGCCTGACCTCAGTAGTCACGGCAACAATAATCAGACACACCTGAACTAATCAATTTGGCCAATAATGGCAGACAGGAAACAAGGAGCTGGCTGAAGTTCAGGAAGTAGTGCAGCTGTGCATAAAGCCAACTCAATAAAATAAGCTGCACATGTTTTCTTCCTGATGTATTACACTTTTTGTTCGGATGTCAATTGTGAACACGTTTGTGAAGTTTATACTCAATTTTGAGGAAATTATGCATATGATTTCTAATTTGTATGAAATAATAATAATTTTATCTATTTAGGAACATTAAAAAGTGTTCAGATCACTGTGTTAAATGTAATCTGAATTTAAAGAGATGTGTCAAATTGATTGAGAAAAACTATCATTTTCCTCAGTGATGAAGTGAGAAGCTCATATTTTGTTTGTCAGATGTGGGCGGGTCTATTGTTCAGTGGCTCCTCCCTTTAAGAGATATTGTACGAGGTGGGCGGGTATATTGTATGATGTGGGTGTGTCTATTGTTTAGTGGCTCCTCCCTCTCAGAGATATAAGGTGTATTCGACATCGTCTGCGGCTGTAAGCGATCGGCGAGAGTTGGCGCGTGCAGGCGGGGAGGAGCTGCAGAAGGAGACGTGAAGTCGGACACTTTCTGGTTCCCGTAGTGACCGCTCATGTGGTGTTTGCTTTCTTCACCACAGCTGATGTGAAGTAAATGCAATATTTGCCAAATACACAGATATTTCAGACACATTTCATTCAATACTTTACTGCTTCATACATCATCTGTTTGAACTAGAATAAAGTTCAAAATAAGCTTATATCAATAAAGTGGAGTCAACGATTTTTAATCACTTTTATTACATGACACAATATAACATCGCGACTACATGAAAAGACTGTTTATTGTTATAAAAAACTGATTTGTGAGCTTTAGTGGAACTAAAGGTGTGAGAATAAACACGAAACGCACGTGATCGTTGTCATGCGGTGAATCCGGCCAATCGTGGAACAGTTGTGACATCATCAGAGCTTGTGCAGCCGCTCTTGGGAAGCTGCGCTGGCTGAGTCCTCCGGCTACTTTCGAAACGCTCTCGCTGTACTTTGATAGCATACATGTACGTCACAGTCAGGTGGAGTCAGCGCTGCATCAAGTCGGACAAAATTTCTAACCGGCATGCACTACTTCAAGTCAGCTACCGATTGGTCTGCGCAAAGCTGCATGAAGTCGAACAAGCCTATTGTATGAGGTGGGCGTGTCTATTGTATGAGGTGGGCGTGTATTTCAGTGGCTCCTCCCTCTCAGAGATCTTGACTGTCTTAAAGTTTCTCTCTCTGATCATCTCAGCATTATTTTACAGCTCTGCTCATCTTTACACGTCACACGGACCAAATCACAAGATGATCTCAATAATCTGTGCTTTCTTTACTCTTCTGACCTGTAAGTTTTCATCATTTCTGATTTTTAAAGTGTTTTGGCACAATATAATTTAAGGATGTGTTTATTCTGCAGGTGTCAGTGGAGTGACTGTAGTGACTCAGAGTCCATTAATCACAGTCAATAAAGGAGAAAAAGCCAAACTGGACTGTAATCTGGGGACAGTAACTAATTCTGCTGCTAGATGGTACAAACAGACTCCAGGAGGAGTTCCTCAATATGTGTTAGTGTTTTATCATGGCTGGAGCTCTCCATCATACGGATCTGGTTTCTCTGCTCCTAAATTCACATCAACACATTCATCTCAATCAGATTATAGTCTGATCATCAGTAATGTGGATGTTGGTGATTCTGCAGTGTATTACTGTCAGACATATGACAGCTCAGTTAGTGAGGCCGTATCACAGTGATTCACCGCATGACAAAAACCTCCTCACTGCTCACATTCACTTCTGCTTCTAGACAACAGATGATAAGAGCACTACTTCACTTCTCTGAATCATGATGATTAACCTAATTTACTAACTAAAACTTTAGTATTCTCACCAGGTAAATCGTTAGAAAAATATGTTTATCAGTACGGCCATCGAATCTTCTAATAAATAGCGAGGTATAAAGACAGCCTCTTATCATTTCTCGTGGTCAGTTATCTTTCGGCGTCCCTTCTCCTCCTCTTCTCCTCCTTTTGTAGGCTACCATATTTTTCCTGTGTAATAGGAGACAATCGGAGCTCGAGGAGAATGTCCTCTCTCAGCCCCTCTACAGCAAGCCAAATCCATTATGCTGAGATTATATGGGCTCACAAACTCGTGAAATGTGCAGGTCTTCTGAAGCCTATTCTCTGGTCCTCAGGTGTAAAGACACACTTTAGTGAAGTGACCATCACATGTTCCCTTCACTAACAGACTTACAGTATGTGATAGACTCAGTTGTTCAATTTCATTTGAAACGCCTGACAAACGGCATCTCCTTCCCAAAGTGAATTCCCTCAGTGTTAACAACAGATTACTCTCATCTTCGGCCGCTAATAATCACGCAATCTCATCTACACATGAACAATCATAACAAAGCAAAGAATCAATGACAGCAATTGGTGAAAAACATGACACACAAACACTTTATCTCGTGTCTTAAAGCTAGAAATTCCTCATACTAATGAAACTGCATAGAAACAGCTGCTTATGAACGTGTTTCTTGACATCACAACACTTAATCACTGTAAGAGCTTTAATGACGAGAGTTGTGGTTGACTTTGAATTGTTTTGGAGGTTCGACAAGGTCCATCACAACATGTCATAAAATATTTTATTTTTCTTCTCTCTGTATCTTTAGGTCCAGTGTTAAAATGACAGTGTGGATGTTAAGCGAATCAGGACTATGTATTTTCTTTTTTTGATCCGGACCGAAATACCAGGAGAACCGAACTACAAGTGTGAACACTGAGACAACAGCCGGATTCACTGCAGACACTGACACCTCAGAACAACAACAGCCATATGAGATTGTGTTTAACAGCACTTTAATACTGTGATAACTCGTCACTCGAACAACAAACAGGCTGGAGACGTTATGGCTTTCAACACAACGCAGCAAGATTTATTATTTTATTATTGTTGCATACGGGTAGCCTATATTTCCGTAAGTCACGCAGGACCTGTTTTATTGGATTATTCTTGAAACCGGAATATTAATACCACGTGTCTACGCACTATTTTGCCAGCGCCGAGCATGATCGGGAACGAGACAGGCCCGTCACTTGTCCTTGCCAATGAACCCGATCCATTTGGGTCCATAACTAAAGTTCCTCGTCCAAACAGCATCACCAACTTGAAAACTTCTAATTTGACATTTGCTGTCTTGATCCTGCTTTTGTTTAGTTTGTTTGTCTCGTACCTTCTGTTGCGAGTCTGGATGCGATGGATCAAGAGTGGAACACAGTTTACGTCCCAACAGCGTCTCTGCAGGATCATTCCTGTGGTGGACTGAGGTGATCCTGCAGCAGTCAAATACAGCTAGATGAGGACTAAAACATCAACATACATGTGTTTGTGTGTGAATCTGAAACATTTCTCCATGAAATACATGTGTAAAGGACACAGTCCGCTGAGGTTGAGTGAGTGTTTCACTTCTGTTTGAGTCTCTTCACACACTGAGGAGGTTTTTGTACGACTGAACATATGAAATGTATCACTGTGGTATTCGGACAAGGAACAAAACTCATTGTGACTGGTAAGTGCCACTGGATTTTCATTTTTTTTGAATATTTTCACTGTATTAAACTTCATTATAGATATATAAACTCATTATTGTAGTTAATTTAGTTAATTGTGTGAATTCAGTCAGAGACAGTTTTATCAACCGCCTCCAGGAAACAGAAATACACTGACAAGACTTTAACTTTCATCTGTGCTTTTATCTGGTTGTGTTTTCATTTAATTAATAATAACAATAATAATAATTATAATAATTATTATTATTATAGAACATAATTTTTCATCAATTCGTTCATCATTGTTCAAAAATTTACTTTGTGTTTAATTTGATGTATTTTTAAAATTCTCATTAAACTAATTACTGTATGTACATTATCTGTGAAACAACACGAGAAGTTGACCTGCAGTGTGACATGCTGTATCTCATCTAAAACTTTTTTGCTAATAATTTTTTTTAAAATAATTATTAAACATGAAACTTTTAGTAACTAGTGTATTACTCAATTTGCACCTATATGTCACGCTGTTGCACAGTTGAAAATGAGCTGAGAATGAGCTAAAAATGGTAGAAAAATTGTGTCAGCATCTAAAATATGCACTGTGTCATATAAATTCATGTACATTTCAACCTAAAATCCTAATGTAGAAAATAAAAATCCAACAAACACATACATGCACTATTTGACTTTTGTGTTGCAAGTCAATAAAGACATTGAGACGCATGTATTACACATGAATAATAATGACATTAAATATTTATCAAATTATGTGAGAAAAGATGAATTGTTGACATGATGTGTGAAATTTTTAAGTTTAAATGTAGTCAGAGGTCAATATGTCAAATGTGTGTCAGAGATTGTGTGTTGATGCTGATGCAGATGTTTGTCCATGTTAATGGTGTTGTTGATGATACAGATGCTGATGTTGATCCTCCTGTGCTGAACATCCTCCGTCCATCCAGAGAAGATCTGACCGGCTCCAGTAAAGTCACTCTGGTGTGTCTGATCAATCACATGTCTGTGGCTTTTGCTGATGTGCACTGGCTTCTGAACGGGAAGTCTGTTACTACAGGCGTTTTCACCAGCTCTGCTGAACAGCAGCCCGATCAGAAATTCAAGATGAGCAGTTATTTAACCCTCGAGAGCTCAGAGTGGGACAAAGACCCAGAACTGACATGTGAAGCGTCTGTTGCCTCAAAAACCACCAGAACAAACATCAAGAAATCTGAATGCAGCGACTAAACTCACACAATCTGATGTGTTGTTTGAGTAAGAATATCTTCGGATGTAGTGTAATAGAAATCATGAATATAGAAACTATTAAAAATAGTTCAAGAATGTAATCTGAACTGTGTCCTTTCCTACAATATTTGGGCTTTAATGATGATGTAAGATTTACAACCTGTTTAATAAAGTGCATGTTAAACAAACAGTTTTCTTACTGATTTTTGCAGAGAAATTAAGCATGTAACATTCAAAAAGCATCAACTACTTCCTTACTAAGTCTACAATCTACAATCAATGGAAGAACAAATATAATAGAAATAGTTTCATTATGTAAATACTCAAATAATCCATGTAGTCAATCCTCAAATAAATCAAATCTCAGCTCGTCAGTGGAAAGAGTGAATTAAACTAGAGTTACTGCTAGTAAATATCATTTGTTTAGAGCAGAGCAGAGACGAATGTCGTCTGAATATGGAGACGATCACATGACTGATCATGAACTTGTGTGACTCAATGACAGATGAAAAATGACTATTATTTGAAACAGTAAAGTTATCTAAACCATGAGAAACAAAATGATGGCCTGACATTGATGTGATTCGACATCATGTGAATATGGATTATAAGTGGGTCTTCTAGCAGATGCAGTGAGCTGTGGAGATTTACTTCAGGACAGGAAGTTCATTCTGACACACCGGAAACACCTGCAGTTATAATCGGCTCCATGTAAATCACCAGTTTCTCTGTTTCTCTCTTTTTATCTGTTCATTCAACCAGACAAGAGCATTAACCAGCAAATCATCAGGGAATCGTCATCTGCACATGAACAATAATAAAGGAGCAATACAATTAATTCAAAATTACAAATTGTTACTAAACAAATTTAGCATACAAAAGAAAGCAAAGTCAGTGCTCTTAAATTATGTTTCAGATTTTGATTATTTCAGAACATCAGATGCTTTTTTGTAAAACAATAAACTTGCAGTTGTTACTTGCATTTTATACTTCTTATTTTAATAAGAAAATACTATTGTTATTCCCCATTGCTTTAGCACACAGGCTCACAGTTTAACGGTATAAATACTGTTCGTTTTCTCACACAAACCTCTCGTTTCGTGTCTTAGGCCATCAATGTGTACTTACATTTACGAGTCATTAAATCATGTTTAATTTGGACTTCTCTGTGCATGCTCTTTGAGGTGGTGACCATAGACCTCCATTATATGACTGACAGACAAGAACGTTTTGACCTAAAAATATCAAAATTGAAAATACTGTGGAAACAAAGACACCTACATCTTTGATGCCCTTGAGGCAAGCTAAAAAGATTTTAAACATTAAATTCAATCCCTTTAATAGCACCACAGTGGCCCATAGGGGGTTCAAACCTGCTACCTTGGTGTTTTAAACAACTGCCTCACTCTGATAGTTTTTATCCCCAATTTACCAGAAATATACTCATAGCCCATGACCCCAATCAGGCTGAAGAGATTAAAAGCAAAGCCAAAGAATGGCCTCATCCGGGATTTGAACTCGGGACCCCTCGCCCCCTAAGTGAGAATCGTATTTGAATTATATGATGCCAATACGGGTATATATTTATATGGTTTTGGTTCTGCAATTAAAGAAATTTGGCAATGCATTTGTTTGCATTTTCTTTCATAGACATGCATGACTCTCTCTCAGGATACACCTGCACAATGTGCCTCATCATTTCAGCTTTATGTAAATCATGATGTTCCTCTGAGCTTTCGGAACTGAAACACAAAAACTGAGTCTGTTAAAAAGTCACCAGCTGCACAGAGAAAAAAAAATATTTCAAATACACAAAACCACATTGTAATTAACATGATTTTGTGATATCTAATCAATGCAATCACATCCATCACATTTCTAATAGGCTACTCATGCATACTATCAAAAATGTCTTTCTGTAAACAACAGACCAACGCATCATACATTTGACTTAGTTAATGATGACAGATGTCATTTTTATATTAATTAACCATTTAATATGCAGCGCTTCATCAACATGCACCAAGTAAAATTCAACCGTTTTCCGTGCCATCAAAGACAGAAGAACTAATCCAGAAACCCACGCTTACATCCATAAGAGATTGGGATTTCACTCATCCTACAACAAGTGCATATACAAGAGGGTTGGCATTGACACAAGTGTGTATTAAATGTGGCACTGGAGCATGTTTTATTAAAGGAGTCTTATTTCTGCCAGAGGCACTGAAATGTTGGTCCAGACGATGGCGTCCATAGCTCTCTGTGGTTTAAAGTTCATTTGAGAGATAATGACATTTCAAATGAATATATTATATATGGGTCTATATGCATTATTTTTTAAATGTTAATCTTACAGAACAAGTCTAATGACAGTAGGACAGGACCTAAATAATACCAACAAAATATTTTTGGTTTGTGCTTACATTTGAACTAACCTTGCTTTTTGATAAAAAAAACCATAATACATATAATAGTTTCCTTTTTAGCTTCACTCCCATATGCACTATATGTACAAAAGTATTGGGACACAAATCTTAATTATTTAATTCAATTCAATAATTTCAATCAAAGGAGGGACTCCATATTTGAATGTATTTATAATGCAATGTCAGTACAGTCCCGTTGGTGCAATGCTGGGTGTCCCAACACTTTTGTCCATATAGTGTATATTTATAAGAGGGACAATGAATTGAAGTAATTATCATCAAAGAGAGTGCATGTGAATTCTAATAATGATGTGTGTTATAAATACTGCAATATCAACGCGTTCTCATCCCAAAGCGCCATATAAGACGCTTTTGCAAAAGCGTAAATATCCAACGCACATGGCACCCTTTAACGTCTAATGAGACGCTTCGGTTAATGGTTAAGTTTAGGTATGGTGTAGGGTAAGGGTTAGACCACTAGGGGGCGCCTTCTGCCCAAATATATCTGCGTCTCATTTCACGTTAAAGGGTGCCATGTGCGTTGGATATTTACGCTTGGAGAACGGGCTCGCAATATTCCATGAAAATAAAAACTGTCCATTAAGTCAAACTATAAATCAAACTATGTTTTTGTCAAGAATGTCAGTCTTGTTTCAGCATGAATTATCTACTAAAATCATTACTTTAAACCTCAGTTGTCAGCATATGAACAAGGTTCACGGTAGCACAGCGAGTTTTGTCAGAATAGTTGTGGCACTAAAGCCCACATCCTGCTCTGTTGACATAAAAGCACACAAATGTCTGTGCTGAAGAGGAGCAGCGTCCTTCGTGAGTTTTCAGCAGTATGCTCTGCCCCAATTGTCCAGTATTGTGGAGTTGATGCAGGACGGTCCAGTGCCATTCACATACAGAGCAGCGTGTTGGTCTGCTTGCTCTTGTAATGAAGTGATGTACCATAAGTCTTCTGGTGCGTCCAGCTCCAGAATCTGCTTGATGCGCAGTTTCTTCTCAATGGTCCTCCGCTTGAACTTAAACTCAATGATGGTTTTGGTGTAGTGGTTTAATGCAGTGACCGCCGAGCCCATGCAGGTGCCGAACGAGCCCCATGCCAGACTGAGAAAAAGTGGAGATGAGATCAGATTTAGTATTCTATTTTTCTAATTTTTGAAGCTTTAAAAACACAACTGGCACATACTGAAAATGTACGGTAGTTTATCCATACCAATAAATACTGGTATATACAGTCAAACCAAAAATTATTCAGACACCAGATTAAAAACAAAAAAAGTCATATTTTTATACTGTTAGCGAATGAACTGTGATAATGTCAGAAATGTTGAAGGTGTCTAAATACATCATATAATAATGAATACAAGTTCACATTAATTAGTGTATGTAGAGAACTAGATTTGTGCAAAAGACATTTTCAACTATCCTGATAGTGCATCTGGCTTGACAATTATTAATGTACGTCTGCTGGCAAATTAATTTCCAAAGTGTCATACATGAGACTCACAGATAGGACCAGCTGTAGTCCCATGTCTTAGGTCTCCAGTCTTCTGGACCCAGCTGAACAGCCAGCTGGAAAGCTGTGGTGAACATCATATGTGCAACCATCCCGAAAAGGCCTGGGCAACAGAAAAATTACACCGCGTGTGTTGTCATTTTTGGCTTTGTCCACAAGATGTCAGTATGAGTTTTAGTATAATGTCTATTCAAAGAATAAACTCTGCCCAGTTGCAAAACCATATTAATTAGTGTATATTAATAGGCGTAGTAGCAAGTACTTGACCAGCCGTGATAGGGTTCAGAGGAGGCAGCTTCTCCTCAAAGAACACTGGATGAGTAGAAAACTACAACGCAAATATTAAGAAATATTACATTAAAAATTGTGCACTGTCCTCCCCTGGTCCTATTAAGTCCCATTGAGTTTTAACAAATAAACAAAAAAATAAATAAAATAAAAACATGACGGCTTAAATTTGGAAAAGGTCACGTTAGAGGAGGAAAAGTCACGTGAGAGGAGGTAAAGTCTCCATCGCAATATGATTGGCTATTCCAATATTTGTGCGGGAAAAAAATCGTGCCTATCAATCTTGCTCATGCCACGTCGGAGAATATCAGTCTGAAGAAATATGTTAACGGAAGACCAAGTGAAAAGTAAGTAAACAACTCACCCACTCAGATATCAGCGCTTTGTCACGTCAAAAACGATCTGTAAGGGCTTTTTTTTTAGTGAGCAATCAGTTTTATATGGTGAAATTAAAAGTATGGGCTACATCTGCAGTGTTTACTGAGTCTTGATGACCGATGATCCGAAAATAAGTCAACTATTAAATAGAACAGGTGAACATCAGGCATAAAGTATCCATTATGGGATAATTATGATAATAAGCACTGTCTTTGTTTCATTAAATAGAACATCAACTGAATTCCTACTCTAAAAATACGAAATATAATTTTATCGGTTGTTGTTATCAATATATTTTTGTTTGATAGTGCGAGTAACTTTATTTATTTATTTATTTATTTTAAACGCCCTGAACACCACAAATCAGTCCTATTGAGATCAATGAGAATGTTAATGGATTGCTAACACAGTCACATCTGAATTAAATCTGTGAGTGAGCTCAGCAAAGTTAAAATAAAGTGCCTGCAACATTCATTACACCTAGAGTGATTACAGCGCCTGCGCGATCTGGTCTGAAAATAAGGTAGAAACACTTGATTATTGTGACAGAAATGTTATATTAGCCAATTGATTATAAAATGAAACCATTAAAGGGTGGTTTACTGCTTTTTTTTCTTTGCATGATTGTGTTTATGGGGTGCAATATAACATGTATTCGTGTTTTTTCTTTTTTTTAAAGTCTTATTTTTCATAAATTTGGTGTGTTGTGATTGGCTAAATTGTTGTGCACGTTGTCTGGAAATTTCACGCCCATTACCTTTACGGCGAAGTTGCATATGTTCCTGTCAAATGTAAATAATGCAGTATCAGTATGAGCCAGAATCAGACACAGAAAGCGGAAATGAAGAGAGGCAAGCAGAACCTCCCTAAAGACAGCTCTTACTACAGTAAACCTTTCTGAATGGTAATTTGCCTATATTTTTAATTTCTAACTTTATACACATTTGTGGCTAACTGACTGGCTACAGACAATGGTTTACGTTCCTGATCAAATCGAAAAATAACACCATAAAGTATATACATGAAAAAAACATTTGCAACATTAGTACATATACGAAATTCAGTCCAAAATGTTTGTATGCGTTTGTAAATAGCATAATTAAGTGGCTATAAAGCCAGTGCTGGCATTTGATAAAACTAAAACATTACGTCTGAAATTGTACATATACATTTAAAATGATTAAGTCTTAGCCTACTTGCAGGTTGTGGCCCAACAACTGCTGTCTCTGGTTTTAAAGTTGGAACTGCTTCATCTTTTAGTAAAAGTGTCTTGTTGAGTTCGTGGAGATTCTGGAAGCTGTCTCTCGTAAAATGCGCAGCACAGAGAGCTATATTACGATCGTCATTTTCAGGAACATAATCAAACATAAATTATATTCATTGTTGGCGAACTACAGCGTCCGTTGGAAGCCTGAACACAGAACACAGCTGGATGAACATAACACACTTTCGACGAACTGCAGAAATATGGCCATGACCTTTTCTGCATGTTTCGGAGAGAGGGTTGATGTAAATGAATGGGTTAGTGACGTATAAAACCCGTTGTTGTCCCATTCGAGTTGTTTTTGTAGGCATTACACTTCCTGATTTTCAAAACACGATATCTCTGCTTACATTGAACCTTCAGCGCTGCAACTTTGCAGATCCTATTCATGCACCAACAGCAACATTACACACTATTTAAAATGAAAAAGTGAAATCGCAATCAACCCCCCACCCTTTAATAATGGAACATTTATTTATAACTAAAAAACCCAAAAGCAAATATTTCAGAAGCCGACCACACCGCTGCAATGTGATGAAGCTGCTATTTAGTTTTTTTTAAGTGTACTGTACTGTAGTGTACTGTTTCTTCTAATGGCAGGTGCTGGTTGTGCATCAAGTGTGTTGTTGAGCATTCCTACAACTAGGATTATTGTGAAACAAATAGGGGGAGGGAGGATGGTCTCGGCTGGCCGTGTCACGTACCAAAACCACTAACCCCCCACACCAATCCGATTACAGCACAAACCACCAAATCCCCCACACTGTTGGGACAGACCAGAGAGGCTTCCCGTCCAAAACAACCTCCCTCCACTGCCACAAATACACATTCACTGCAAGACAACTTTTTCTTAATCACAATCTTTTCTTGTTTTCAGTAAAATATTGAAAAACTTTTCATTAAAAAAACCTAATATATTAAAACTTTTCAGAGATTATTTATGCTTAAATTAAGATGTATTTCCTTATGCATTTTTTATTGTTGTTTTGAGTGTAAACCTCACGAAATTGTTACAACAATGCAAAGCTATATATATATATATATATATATATATATATATGAAGAGTTCAGATGCAAAAGCCTCTAAATGCCATTTGAAATTTTCTTCTTTAATGATGATTTTTGTCAAACTTGTATATTCAAGTTCAGTAATTTCACTTAAATAACAACTAATAGGTAATTACCATTGCCATTTAAGTGAAATTACTGAACTTAAATATACAAGCTTGACATAAATCATCATTAAAGAAGAAAATTTCAAATGGCATTTAGAGGCTTTTGCATCTGAACTCTTCATATATATATATATGTAAGCAATAAGGTACGAGAGGCTGTGCTGTATTGTGAATAAGTGATGGCTGAAGGGCGTTGTTAGGCACGATGCAAACTTTCATTAAGTGAAAAAAGCCTTCCTTTCGCTAGAAAAAAATAGTCCCTGACCGTGAACCGTAACAACGTTGCAATGTGTAATAAAAACAACAGGGGAACTGCAATGTTGCGCATTGATAAGTAGACCCCCCCCCCCATGCTGTGCCGAAGTTGGCCATTTGGGGGCGCAATGATATTTTTTCCTTACTAAGTCCTGAAGTGCCTTAAAGGAGCTATATGCAAGAAATTTATTTCAATTACTCATAAATTTTCCCTGATATGTAACTAGACATTAAGAAATTATGTTCTTTTCAAATACTTAAATCACTGACAACAGTAGTTCGACCAGGAGACAGTAGTGTTGCGGCATTCGGGTTGCCAGCTCTTCTGTAGTTTCCGCAGCTGCAGATACAGACGTGTCGGAATCGGATGAAAACAATGTCTAACGTTGCAAAACCCCCCCAAAAAAAACTCGATATGAATACAAAATAATTCATGACAAAGTCCAAAATAAATAATTAACAGAAAAAAAACCTCAATGTGTAGGACTCGTCACTTGCCATTAGAAGCTTCTTGTAGCAGCCTACGTTCCGGCTGGATCCTGCAGCATATCTGGCAACCTCGAATCAAGGGGGAATGTAGGATACACCCTAATTTGAAAGTGATTGCAGTACCAGTTTTGGCCACAATCTTGCATACAGCTCCTTTAATTCCTAAGTCTTTTTCTGCTGTGTAACATCAAAAAATGGCCACAAAATATTTTTTTTTCCCTCAAAATAATTTTTCTTTTTTTATGTATGCCCCAATTTTGATTTTTCACCCCTGTGATGAACAGCAGTGCTCAGTCTCTGGGGCATCTCTGACCCATCACTGCTCTCTGTAAAGTGTCGGGAACACGGGAAGCGATTGGATTTGTGCTGTATAATCTCATCTGTTTCACAGCTGGGGATGACTGGCAGGAGTTGAGCTTGTAGGATTTTTTTTTTTTTACTTTTCTGGCTACTTTTCCTCAGTCTGTCTGTGCCAAAAATATGTGAAAGCATAAGATTTCCCATTCTCTCTCTCTCTTTCAGATTTATACATTTAAAACTAACAGCAGGCTATCTTAAACTAAATGCAATTAATGGTTTATATAAAAAAAAAGATATGCCCTTAAATATGTACTGCCCCAGCTGTTCTGATGCGTTTTATTTATTTTTTTACCTGAGAGAGCGGTGCACAGAGCTGCAAAGGCATTGAGCTTGAGTCTGTTTATCATGTTAAAGCATGAACACATCTCTATGACCATCATAGCTCCACCGGTGAACAGCAGACCAATGTACAGACACTCAGCCACAATACACAGCCAGAGCACTCCTGAGAGAGAGAGAGAGAGAGAGAGAGAGAGAGAGAGAGAGAGAGAATGGGAAATCTCTTCATGTGTGACATTAGCATTTACATTTATACATTATTCCATACATCATTGGCATACATTAAGAACATGCTCCTTTTCTACCATTGTAGACTTTTACACACATACACACACACACACACACACATATATATATATATATATATATATATATTTTTTTTTCCAATCAAAAAAGTTGTGATTTGTTCTCAGTAAAATAAATAAATAAACAAATATTTTTTGGGACTTTTTATACTTTAAAATGTAGCTATTTCCATCTCAGGTGACCACCACAAGGTTGTTTGTGTATTTGATCACCATTATTTGTGGTTTTTGGTCCACTACAGAATGTTTTTTTTTTTTTTTGTTTATCTGTGTTACACCGATAAACTGATGCACCTTTAGGCTACTTAATTCTCAGTTACTGAACACTGTAACCTTTTCCAAGGAGGGCTGGGTACCGAATTCGGTACTTTTTAGGTACCGACCGAATTGCCTCGGTAGTACAGAGTATCGAAGCATCTTGTTTTTCGGTACCAAATTTCAGTACCTAAGTGGTTAATCTCATCAACGTCAGTGAAACAATAAGCATGCAGCATGCTTGGCTGTGGCGGAAAACAATAGTTTACGCGGCTGTCCAGAGACGCAGCTCGTCGCATGTGAGGCTGTAGTGTGTGTGTGCGTTAAAGCGTCCCAACCCAGATAGATAGAAAATATGTGGAAATGATCCAAAGTGTACCTATGTACCCGACTCGATGCCAGAAGCACGCGATGCAATATTTTCGACAAGATAATTGCCGCCAAGACCGGTAACATGGTAACATCTGATAAGCGCACATGGTAACCGGTAACATCTGATAAGCGCACAGACACTTGAGAGTTGAAAGTTTATTCGTCTTCAACTGCAAGAACTAGAGCGCGTCACAAATGAACCAAAACTCAGCATATAGGATACTTGCCTCATAGACATGAGAAATAGGCCTATAGACGGTTACATACTAATTAAATAAAATTGGTATTGAAAAAGGTATCGTTCAGGAACCGGTATCGAAGTCAAGGTATCATTTTGTTACGATACCCAGCCCTAATTCCAACCTCTCATGAGCATCAAAGCTTACATGCACAAAAATCTGATGACCTTGTCGATGGAATTATTTGGGTGGTTTTACTGTGTGAATTTAATGAACTAGCAGATATAACAGAATTTGTTTTAGGTAATTTGTGTTTATTGTTCATAACATGTAACACGTATTACTTACCCACCTCTTTCATGATCTGGTGCAATCTCTAAAAAGCTTCTACAGGTAAATCCTATAAAGAGACAATTCTGGTAAACATTGGCTTCTGGCTGCAAATGTGCATTAAACACATGGATTCACATTCCTTAAGAAGTTTTACAGAATTTATTTTAGGTTACTGTTATAAATAATAAATTCATTGTTAATTCATGCTTGTTCGTTATTCGTAAACTAATGTTCCTCTTCTTAGGTTCACTTGATGGTACCAGTTGAAGCCTGTTTAAATACGCCATATGGGAGTGTGCAATTGATTTGGTGCTTTGTGCTGCTAAACGTTCAGTTTGTATGATTGGTTGCTCATGACTGATACTGCTTGTCAGCTCTGCTGTGTGGCATTACAGATGATAGAAGTTTGTTATTGTAGTTAGGCAATGTGGTACCCCACTCCCAGAAACTGACCTAGTCCAAAGGCACACTAGCACCCACATAGGTGCATTAAACTAAGGTCGGTAATCAAGTTAAACCCATTTTTAAACTCTTCATTTCTCTTGTAGTGGTTGGAGACGGTTCAGGCTCTCTCACTACGACACATTTTCTGGTGACTATGGTTAGCTCCATCACAACCTGCGTCTTTGACGAAAGCAGATCATGTGATACCCCATATGACAGTGTTTCTCCTGTTTTTTCCATGCTACAAGACTTTTGGAGTTCATGCTTTGCTGAGAGACTGATGTCTCTCACCCCATCTTGCAAGGTGGAGACTTTTGCCAAATGGGATGGTTCTTCGAACCATTAAACTGGGGTACGTCGTCTAATTCCGCCGGGGTCCACTTTTTCAATGGACTGCTCCCTATAGCTGCTGGTTGGGAGTTTCTTATTTGGAGAGAGGAGCCATAGAAGAAGTGTCTCCTCCTCAAAGGGGGTCTGGTTTTTATAGCATATACTGTGCCAGATTTACTAACAGCTTGCTCCAGCACAGTAGTTAATAAAACTACTGTCAGGATTTACTAAAGACGCAGTGAAAAAGGTGTAGACGGTCATTTTTGCAGCTGACCTTCCCTTTCAGAGTATTTAAATGAATCAAGCAAGGTGGTTTACTCAGGTTTGCGGCAAGTCAGTTTACCGGTTTTTGCGCCATTATTTAACACCCCTGAAAAATCATGTCTTAAACCAAAGGCTAATTTGCGCTGCTCCTGGTTGTGTTGGTCGTTCTGAAAATGATGCGGCTCTGTCTGTGTTATTTAATTTGCGTGTCTTCCGTATATCACACGCAGAACTTTCCACTCCCATCTGCAATTTTTAGAATTGTGCTTTCACATTAATTTGTCATTTTTAGTAAATCTGGCCCACTTTCTGGTGTTGAAAAAGTATATGGGAGTCTACACCCATCTTGAATTCGTATTGATGGACCTACGCTCTTCAAAATTGCAGTTTCTGGATTCTGATGCTGAAGCATGGTGAAAATTCAGGAGGGAGGAGGGTTTGTCATGATAGATCTGAAGGAGGTTTGCTTTCTTATTCTGATCATTCAGAGACACGGGAAGTGTCTCAGGTTTCCTTTTTGGGGAAAAGCCTCATACATTGCACAATTATATCATTCATGAATGTTGCTCTGGCTCCAATGTGGTCTACTAAAGCTTCCTACTAAGTCTGAAAGGGCGAGCATCACTCTTGGCACATACAGTAGCTCATAACATCAAGTAAACCTATTGAAAGGAACATCTCGGTTCCCTGAACAGAGAAAAGGATGCATAGCTTGCCATGCTACTTCTTTATTGCTTTCTTTCTTCATTCACTTCATTAGTAAAGACCCCAAGACCTCAGATGGTGGTATCAGATAAGAGAGAGTGGTGATTCATTGTTACTTCACATTAATTGTTTCATTAACGAATGTTAAAGCTATTAATGTTAAGAGATCTCAGAGCTTTTTTATTGTTAGTTCATGTTGGCTATTAACTAAAGTTAACATCTAAGCTATTCTTATGAAATGCATAGTATGCTATGCACAATCAAAGATTAATGCTGTATGCAGATTTTGACCATTGCTAATTTTAACAGTAAGGCGTATTGTAAAGTATTATCACATCCATTTCTCCATAGTCCAGAGTCAGGTTTGGAGAATGAACTCCTACACTTCACATTAAAACACCAGTGATTTTTTTTTTGTAGGCAGTCCAACCATGAGAAAGAGCCAGTAATGCCGTCTTACCTTGTAAGTCTGTGGTTTGTTCGCAGGAGAACCAGATTCCTGCGTGAAACTTCCTCATGAGGAACTTCTCCTCTCCGGTCTCATATATGTACTGCACCAGCCGTGTGTCGTTGATGTCGGAGCTGTTAAAGCGGATGCAGTACGTCTGCTTGACTTTCATCGGCCCCATGCAGAAGGGCTTGACCACCTTTCTGGTCCCCTCACACCAGTAGCTGGTGGTGACGGCGGAGATCGCCATGGCTAACGCCACGTAGTTGAGCGTGAGAGCCAGAGATGCTCTCTGAGCACGCTGTATACCCATAGTGCTCCAGGAGGCACAAGGAGATGAGTAATCCTGGCTTCGAGGTCCTTGCTTCAGACATTCAAACTTTTGTTTTGCAGATGCGTGCAAAGGCGTCCCATCTGTACTTTCTTCTTTTTGATAGACCAACTGGAGCTTTTACAAATGACAGCTGCTCTACTTCATGTCTAGCTCTAATGCTATCAGTCTCTTATGTTTCGCTCTAACTTATTCTACCCACCCCACCCACGGTTCCCTTCCCCCCCCATCCTTTTCACTGTTATCATTTCAAAGGGCAAATTGCATGAGACCTTGGTTTTGTTCTTCCATCTAAACCTGTAGCTTATTTTTGTGAGCATAGCAATAAAACAGATTATCAATCAGATTATTCTTCAATCTGATGCAGGGCTATCTGCCAAATCTCAGTGGGAACTTCCTCCATTTTCAAGACTGCCTCAGTGAAACATGTCAATGAAGTGCAACAATGGGTTTACAGTAAAGAAGAAAAATCTGTAACATCTTTTATGCTGCGAAGAAGCTCTTACACCTGTTTGCACATGCAAAAATTCTTGCTATACACACGCGCGCGCACACACACACACACATAAACACAGCAAATCCTATCTGATTTGACAGCTGGATGATTAATGTGGGATATTTCATACAAATGGCTATGGGAAATATGTTTACAGGCTGACAGATGTCAGTAACACTGCACTAAGCCCACAAGGGCTTTTGCTGTAAATTATTATTTAATATTATTCAGGAATTCATAAATTATCTTGGAGAGAATTAAAAGGGTTCAGCAGTTTTTGCGATGTTTAGAAAAATCTCCACACTGTTCTTTTAAAAAACTTTCACAATGTAAGTGAGTGGTTTCTGGGGGTGTCGTTCTGCAAAAACCATGAAAATACCATAAACGTAGTCTAATTCACTACGCACTAGTATTTGGAAGTCGAAAGAAACTGAGGTATTGTGTTCTACGCAAGTCATTTCGGGTTTTGCATAACATGAGTTTACTTTTTTTTAAGTGAACTAATCTCTGTAAGGCACTTCATATCACAAGCGTATTATAATACAGTAGGTTAAAATAATTGTCTATGTGATTTTTTTTTTTCTTTTTTTTTTTCCCCCAAAAGTAATTTCATGAACTGGTGAAAAGAGATTTACAAGGATGGATCCTAGAGGATAAAAGGAGGGAAATGTAGGGGAAAACAGTAAATTACTTTCCCCCCTTGCTTTCCGAGGTGTTGTTCAACCGAACATACCAAGACTGGATTAAGGCTCATGATATCAAAGAACAGTGGAGGATGTTTATGTAATATGGAATCCAGAGGTTTATCTGTTTCCGGATATTTCATTCTATGTCACAGAGATATTTATTTCACAGAATGGCATTTTATTGCTTGTACCTACTTTTGTTAAAGGATTAGTTCACTTTTGAAAAAACTTTTGCTGATAATTTACTCACCCCCATGTCATCCAAGATGTCCATGTCTTTCTTTCCTCAGTCGAAAAGAAATGAAGGTTTTTGATGAAAACATTCCAGGATTTTTCTCCATATAATGGACTTCAATGGGAACCAGACGGTCCAAGGTCCAAAAGACAGTTAATAACAGTTTCAGATGCAGCTTCAAATGTCTTTAAACGACACCAGACGATGAATAAGGGTCTTATCATGCGAAACGATCGGTTACTTCAAAACTTATTCCAGAAATGTAACTTTTCTAAGGACAAATGCTAGCCTTGCTCTATTCTGTGAGGCGTGTTTGTAATGTCACGTAATACGTAATTACATTCAAAAGGTCACGGGCAACGTAGCCGGAAGTACAGAATCAAAATCGTCCGACATCGTTGTTTTACCTTTTAATTCCTTTTTTTGTAAACGGCGTTTGAGTTAGTTTGCACGTTCAACCTATGCGTTCAACTTGTAAACACTGACTCGGTACTTCCGGCTACGTCGCCCGTGACCTTTTAGTAAATACAGTCACAGTTACATTTGGAACAAAAAAGGGAAGATATTTCGAAGAGTACTGGTAACCAATCATATCACTATTTGGTCCATTGACATCCAAAAACAAACTGACCAAAAAATTCATTTAAATTCATTTAATTCGTTTTGTTAAAAAAAATGTGCCGTAAAAAGTGCCGTTTGGATGGCCAGGACGCCGCTTTTTACGCCGGCAAAAAGCGAAACGCCGTAAAAAGATAAAAAGATAAAAAAATATTTCAGTGAATCATATTTTTCATAGGCTTGAACAAAGTATTTTTTGACCGAAAGAATATGGCAGAAGTATTCAGTGTTTGTTGTAGGGGGTGAAATTATGTAACAAATAATCCATATGATTACCATTAGATTTCTGATGATTTTGGTGATTTCTGAGAACATAATAAACACAGATTACAATAATATTCAACCTTTAGTGCATTCATATTTGTGTATATACTGTATAGTAAGTCTTCCATTGTCCTAGAAACTACAAACTCTAATGCAATATAGATTTAGGATAAGTTATAATAATGATAAAAAATAATAAATTAAAAATTCTGGAATAAAACTTAGGTGATTTGTCTACAAACCTCATTTAAAAAGGAGTTTCAGATGCTTTAAGGATTATCTGCGCTGGCATTTGATGAGATACATGTCCTACATATATATACAAACTACATTCAGTGCCCTATATAATAGCAATTGCTCAAAGCTTGCTTGTTAGATACGTATTGAGTTGCATTTTTGCAAGTATTATAATTTAGTCTTTAAAACAACATGCGTATGAACTATGCAAAGCAACCTAAAATAACGAATCAAAGTAATCAGAAATGTATAATTTTTAGAACCAAGCAAAATTATTTTGAGTAAAACACCCCAGTAGATTTAATTTAGTTAATTTTTTTTGCCAGTTTTGTGATGATTCAGTTTTACTTATACTGTATGTTGCACTTATACTGTACCTCAGACAACATTAATTTCAGAATTAATCCTTCAATATCTGTGCATGGTTAAATGTTGAAGTGCATGAACAGAGATTGTAATCATGACCACGCCGCCCACTTGATTGTGGTTTTGCGGTAACCTCCTGGAAAGGGGAAGCTAAAGCATGTAATCCTTACCTGCGTATCCTCCTATCCCAAACGTAATTGCTTTTTTTGTTGTTGTTGTTGTTGTTGTTATGTATTCTATACTGTAAACGGCAGTATGGGTGTTAGCAACGTGATTAAGAAGTATTCCACGTATTTATCCACGTAAAGCGTCAAATTAATTCCGGAAAACATCAATTGTTTCTGAACAATTTTGAAATCACAATGTCACCATTAGATAATCCTGTTAAATGACTGAATCCATAAATCCGATTTGACCTCTCTCAGGCCAATCCCCAACAGCGGAGCTCATATGAAAAATAAAGACATCCCTCATCCCCCCCCAAAAAAAAACATTTAAAGGATGCCTATCATTAAATTCTCGAGAAGGTTCTGGTGTGGATAGGAGGCTGGATACTGTTATGGTTTAACTGCGGAGTCTGTGTGGCCTAGATTTGACCAGTAGTCTGGGCTTCTTCAGTGCAACAGTCACATACGTATGCATATGGCGTCAGACATAAGCCCTGGCTGTTTATCAGTGTTAATGAAGCGTGTAATAGATCTGCTTGACATGATATAATGAAATAATCCCTGTGCACGCTTACTCACCACTACTGTCACAGTGTCAAACTGGTTGTAGCCAGTTCTATCTACCATGTGAAAAAAAATATATTTTTCAGGGCCTTGGTATTATTTATTTGACTTCCTGGAGAGCGTTAACACTACGACTATTTTGTGCTTTCAGCATTGCTTTTTTATAGTTAGGCCAATACTGACTGAACCCATATCGTAGGTTTGTGCTCAACTTGCTTACTGTATTTCAGTGATGGTAAATGGGGCGCAATGGCAGTGCTTGGAAAACATGTTTGTCATTGTTTTAGCAATTCCATGTGACGCAGTACTGTTAGTAATGTAAAAGACAGAAAAGAAAGAATGAAAACATTCAAGGAAGAAGGACAAAAAATGCTTCAGCTGCATCCAGGGGAACAAATGAGATTAAGGGACCTTTTACTCGATACCGTTTAGAAAATATAAAAGAAAAGCTTTTTATTCATCATCATCATCCAATTCTAAATTTGGTTTTACAGTGTGTGAGTAAACGAAAAGGCTTGGACTTGGTGCTGATAGCCTGGATGCCAGCCCGAACTCCGCCCACAACATTTTTTGGTCAGGAAGTTCGGTCTGGACTCGATCCATTGAGGAGTAATTATGACCAGACAAGAAACGTTCGGGCCAATCAAATTGCCAGGGTGGGCTTTATACGATGATGGACAGATGATCTTCAGGAACGTAATCATCACGTTATCAAAGAGCGCTTAACTGGTTTCCCTCAGAGATGAATGCAGCTGGAGAATTGAGATGTATAGATTCCGCCGTCGCGTCTGTTGTAAAATAAATCGACAGCGCATTAATTTTAATAGACAAACAGAGAACTGCAATCAAGGCATTTGTCGATCGGAAAGATATTTTTGGCGTCCTTCCTACATGATTCTGGAAAAGTGTAACTTATCAGCTGGCTCTGACGGTCGTTAAGAAGATGGTATGTAATGAAAAGCCTGTGGTCGTTGTGGTTTCTCCTTTGGTCGCACTCATGGAGAAATAAGTAAAAGAAGCAACACTCGTTATTTAACTTCTAAAATAAGTAAGTTCTGAAGTTGAAAACTGCGCTATGCAAAGGAGTTGACTTACTGCGTTGCTCTGATTGGTTGTAGGTCTACCGACTATCCAGTAGGCTTGCCGCGATAGACGGTGTTGACGGTGTTACCGGTTTTAAGCCCCATCACCGGTGACATCACTTTCCCACCGTGACACCGCGATGTCTTGACTTTTTTTTTTAAAGTATTCGTTTTTGCTAAAATATTTATTTGAATGAATTAAAAATAATAATTTTCAATTATTTAGTTCTGAAGAGAGCATTATAATTAAAAATGAACTGCGCAACGCGTGCCGTCACGTCACAGATCAGCAAGCATCAGGATTCCATTTAGCACGTGTGGAGACGAGAACGAGTCAAATTACAGAAAAGCAAGATAATGGCGGAAGATTTGGTGTCAAAACGCAATGCAAAAGCGCCTGTTTGGCAATATTTTGGCCAATATATATTAATGTTAATAAATGCCAATTTATAGTGTTTTACTTTTTTTTAGAGTGCTGTCATTTATGTAGGCTAAGGTCCTTTTTAAAGTTTTTATTTTATATTCGTCTCTTTTTATTTGGTTTTATCTTATTTAAACTTTGTTTAATTTATTTAGGCCTATTTTGTTTTCTTATTCGTTAATAAACGTTTTATTTTTTTTGGGCCCACAGTTTGCCGATTTTCACTTTTTTCAGCCTATGCATGGGGTTATTTTTATTCGTTCGTTATGCTAATAAAAGTTCTGTCTATATTTTATTCGTTTATTATTCTAATAAAAGTGCTGTCTAAATAAAAGTTTATTGTCAGCGAGTTTTTTATTTTATTTATTTTTTTTTTTTTGTCCATTCCAGCAATTGACGCTGAATTGCAATTGACGCTTATTTCGAAAGTGAAAGTATGTCATTTATGTAGGCTAAGGTCCGTTTTGAAGTTTTTATTTTATATTCGTCTCTTTTTATTGGTTTTATCTCATTTAAACTTTGTGTAATTTATTTAGGCCTATTTTATTTTCTTATTCGTTAATAAACGTTTTATGGTTCTTATTTGTTTGGGCCCACATTTTGCCGATTTTCACTTTTTTCAGCCTATGCATGGGGTTATTTTTATTCGTTCGTTATGCTAATAAAAGTCTATAAATAAGTTTTATTATCAGCGAGTTGTTTTTTTGTCCATTCAAGCAATTGACGCTTATTTCGCGCACGCATTTAAAAGCTATTTAACCCCCCCGCCCTGCCCTCCACGGTGACACCGGGATTACTGGTGTTGTCACACGTCGATTAACCGGTGGGAAATTTTCCTCACCGCGGCAACCCTACTATCCAGGTTTTTTTTCCTGGTTTGGTTAAGACACGCCTCATAATCAAAGCCCTACGGAGCGGTTTCAGTCTCACATTCTCACTAGAATATGAGTATGACGAAGTCAGGCTACCAACGCACAGGACAATGGTGACAATTTAGACAAATATGCCAGACTGATCTCATGAAATGGTGTATGCATGACACGCCAATTCGTATTTCTATTTTTGGTGTCCTATCAACACACATAATCGCTTTTCAGCGTGTTTATGAACACCGTTGACTGAACTTAACGGGACCCATGCAAACTCACAAACTTCAGATGTAATTTTGTTCCATTCTTGCTGCAAACAAGTCTTAAGGTGGGCAACAGTACAGGGTCTTCGTTGTTGCATTTTGCGCTTCAAAATGTGCCACGAATTCTTTATTGGAGACAGGTCAGGACTGCAGCCAGTCAAGTACCCATATCTTCTTCCTCCGCAGGCCAGGACTTTGTATTGTGCGCAGAATGTGGTTTTGCATTATCTTGTTGAAATATGCATGGACGTCCCTGGAAAAGATAGGCAGCATATTGTGCTCAAATCTCTGTCTTTTTCAGCATTAATGGTGCCATCACAGAAGTGCAAGTTACCTTTGCCAGGGGCACTGACACAACCCCACACTATGACAGACCCTTGCGTTTGGACTTGTTGCTGGTAACAGTCTGGATGATCCTTTTCTTCTTTGGTTCAGACCACACGGTGTCCATTTCTCCCAAAAAATACTGATTCATTTCACCACAGTACACATTTCCATAGTGTGATGGTCCATCCCAGATGTCTCTGAGCACAGAGAAGTCGACGGCGCTTCTGGACACTGTTAACATAGGGCTTCCTTTTGGCACAGTACAGTTTTTACTAGGATGTGTGGATGTAACTATGTATTGTGGTACATGACAAAGGTTTGCCAAAGTTGTCCTGAGCCCATGTGGTGATATCGCTTATAGATGAATGATGATATCTGATGGAGTGCCGCCTGAGGGATCACGGTTGTTCATCTTAGGCTTGCGCCCTTGTCTTTTACGCCAACATGACATCATGACTTTTGCGTAAACATATACGCCACTTTTGAGTCAGGTGGCGTGTTATCTCTACGCATTTTGTGCTATCCGTGTGTGTCCGCGTGTATGCGTATATGTCTACGCCATTAACGTCCGCGTCATTCCGCGAGTCTGAACACGCAGTCAAATCTCCCGTCATAAATGCCATTAACCCCAGTGACGGTTAAGTTTAGGGATGGGGTTGAGGTAAGTCATATCTTTTTTTTACCTAGGATGGTAAGGGAACAGTCATAAATGCCATTAACCCCAGTGACTGTTAGGTTTAGGGACGGGGTTGAGGTAAGTCATATATTTATATAACGTTAAGTCAATGGCGTTCATAAACACGCTGAAAGGCGATTATGCGTCTTGATAGCACGCCAAAAATGGAAATACGAATTGGCGTGTCATACACACGCTACTTCATGAGATCAGTCTTTTTACGCACTGAAATTCCTCCACATTCCTTGAATCTTTTAATTATGTTATGCACTGTTGAAGGTGAAATAATCAAATGTCTTCCTATCTTTCTTTGAGGAACATCGTTTTTAAACATTTCAATAATTTTCTCACGTATTTGTTGGCAAACTGGCGACCTTTTTTGGATGCTGCTTTTGCACCAAATCATAATTACAATCCCCTGTTGACCGCACCTTTTTCAAATCACATCATTTAAACGTGCATCACAGAATTGAGCAAAGCATTTGAGCTTATAAAACTTAAACTTTATTTATTTATTTTTTTAAATGAGTGATCGTTTCGCTTGATAAGACCCTTATTCATCGTCTGGAATCGTTTCAAGCCCTTTGAACAGTTTGCACTGAAACTGTCTTTTTGACCTTGAACTGTTTTTGGTTACCAGTAAAGTGCATTATATGGAGAAAATCCTGGAATGTTTTCATCAAAAACTTTAATTTCTTTTCGACTGAAGAAAGAAAGACATGGACATCTTAGATGAAATGGGGGTGAGTAAATTATCAGCAAAAGTTTTTTTTTTTTTTTTTTTTTAAGTGAACTACTCCTTTCAGTACTCTGTTTTGGTGTAAACAGACCATAAAAGCAAAGAATTAAAGCACAGCAGACACACTATATCAATAAGATCAGTTTCCGTATTTTGGCTGTCAGATCTGTCGTCAGTCATAATCTGGTTAGTAGAGCAGTACTGACCTCTATGACTTGAGGCAACACAAATAGGCAATGTGTGCTAATGAGTTTAGAGAGGTCAGTAGCTCAAGCCGTTCACCATCCAAAACACAGCACACCCACCCAGCAAAACCTTTTCGAGTGAATGGAACCAATCTACTATTATGATTGGGAAGCAAATCAAGTAAGGATCATGTCATGAGGGATGACGAACAAAACCTATGATTAAGGTCATTAGCCGTCCAACACTGGTCAGACAGAGAGAAAATGCAACAATCCTATTTAAAACACATGGGACATCTAAAAAAAGTTTATGGGATGCAAAGATGTTGGAAGCAAGATGGATACTAATGTCAGGCCCCATGACTTAATTAAATTCACTTAAGACATGACATAAGGAATACTGGTTCTGGGTCAAAGCTTCTACTCCTTTTAATTGAGAAAACAATTTCAACAGGTGTTGAAGAGGACTTTATTCATATCACACATTTAAGCTACGCTTTTAAAACCTTGTAGATTACATATGGACTTGTAGATTATATATGGACCCATACCATACTAGCATAACATGAAACTTTACATTGTTCATATTTAAGTAAAATAACGACAAAGCAGCTTGTGCAGTGTGTTCCTATTCATAAATGCACCTCTGGGATGTTTAAGGCGTTAAAGTAACCCAGAACCCTGTCTGTTACTGTAATTACCTAGTCCCATTAGAGTTATAGCAGATGGACTTGTAAGTTGGTGGGTCTTATAGGAAAATGAACCCCCATGTAGAAACTAATTCTCTAAGCAAAATAGCAGCCAAGTTGCTCAACACACTTGATGACACAAGTCATTCGATAGCAAAGTGCGGAGTTTTGTTCGTCATCCTTGTATTGTTAGACCATGTCGTAAAGGAGCAAATCAACATAATGCAGTACTCATCAGAAGTGGTGTTACGTAACTAACTAATCTTTCAGAAAGCCTGTCTGGATTTAAATAGAGATATATAATCCCATTCAGCACTTAGAGGAGTTGTCAGGGGGAGCCAAGCCCAAAGAGGGGCCAACGCTAGCACTCAGCACAACGCCATCCTGTCGTTCTGGTAGGAAAAAGGAGTTGGTAAGCAAATTTACAGCTTGAGAATATGGGGAACAGTAAGAGTGGTGCTTTGTCCAAAGAGATTCTGAATGATCTGAAGTTGAACACCAAATACACGGAGGAAGAGCTCTGCACGTGGTACGCCAGCTTCCTCAAAGAGTGTCCCACTGGACGCATCACCAAAGAACAGTTTGAGGGCATCTACGCCAGTTTCTTCCCAGATGCAGATCCTTCTGCCTATGCTAGGCATGTCTTCCGCAGCTTTGACACCAACGCAGATGGAACCTTGGACTTTAAGGAGTACATTGTGGCGCTGCACCTTACCTCGTCAGGCAAGACCACGCGCAAACTTGAATGGGCGTTTGCTCTGTATGATGTTGATGGCAACGGGACCATCAGTAAAAACGAGGTGCAGGAGATTGTACGGGTAAGTATTGGTCATATTTGTCTTTAACATACAATACTTTTTTAAAGCATTTGGTGCGGACTGAGTATGGAAAGTGTGCAAGGTTTAGGGGGTTGTTTGCAGCTACTGCTCCTGGCATTTAGCAGCAAGTTGTAGTATGTAGGTAACAGTCCAACATTTGTGAACAGATGGCTCAAGAAGCTCAGGATAGATTACACCACCTCGTGTCATACAAGTTTCAATCACTTAAGCATATCCAATACCATTAGGTGTCAATGTGCCAGTTATTATTTTTATGTTAAAAGCGACATCATTTGAAATATTTTGTATTCTTATGGGAACAGTCAATATTCAACATGATTCCGGAAGAAGACCAAAAAAACCTTCCAGAAGATGAGGACTCGCCAGAAAAGCGAGCAGACAAAATTTGGACGTTTTTCGGAAAGAAAGATGATGGTAATAACTCCTAATAATGTGTGCTATTGCTGTAGATTACGTGAATCCTGCCGTGTGCTCATAGTCCATGCATTTTCACAATGTCTCATTGTCTTCACAGATAAGATTGAAGAGGGGGAATTCATTCAGGGTGTCTTGGAAAACAAAGACATCTTGAGGTTGATACAGTTTGATGAGCCAAAGAAGATTCAGGAAAAACTCAAGGAAAAGAAGCATTAATGTCCACATTCCCATGAGACTAACCGGAACTTCGTTTCTATTCATTTGAAACCAAACCTACACAAACCAGACTGCTTCTCCAGGTCACATACTGGACGCATACAGATACCTATCCACAAACATGTCAGAGTTATAAGCCAGACAAACCTAGCTTTTCTCATAATACACACAGACTTCTGTCCTGGACCACCACCACATCTACCCGAAGGGCCTCTAAAAACAATGGAAAATTTCAGAGTCCAATCAATAAGAGCAATTAGGCTCATGTTAACAGTCCTATCTAGCGTATACAATCCTCTTAGGATCTGAAGGTCAGGTAAGACAAATCCGCAGGGTCCAGTTCTCCTCTTTTAGATCCCTTCAGGGTTAAGGTGGTTTAAGCGCTCAACATGCATTCATTTCACAGCCGACTTTTTGAAGAGCAAATTTCTTGTACTGTGTTTTTTAGGATGTACAGTGATGGTGATGACAATTTTAGAGAATTTTTACATGGAAAAGTTTAGGAATTCATATCTATTCTAAGTCCATTGCATTACTGATCAAGCCACCAATGCCAATTAGCCATATAAAAACTCAGTTTTACGGTGTCCTTGCTACATATGTTACATCTACTTACTGTAGTGATAAGTAACAGTAAATTATGCATAGTTCCAAGCTACTAACTCAACCTAACCCTTCCCTATAGTAAGTGCATGTTGTTAATTGATATTACTCATAATGTGTAAGTACTCTGTAACAAGGACACCTTAAGTGTAATAAAACATCTTTTCTGTCCATTTTAAATCAAAGATTACTCTTGTAGTGTTGGAACAACGGTGTACATGACAGTCGCAATTGACTATGGTTTCTGTCCATGTGTTTGTAAAATAATAGAGCAGCCTAAAGTTTTAGAGTATTGTATTGTCCATGTAATTTTCTTTTCCAATCATTACAATTCAATATACTGTATATAATTATATTTTTAATTGATTTTAATGCAAATAATTGTTAATATCATGTAACCACTACTTGTTGTCAATGAACTACTTTTATACATGATATTATCACACAAAAACAAAGCTGTCTCAAACTGGGTTTTGAGCTTGAACCCAATTAACCGATTGAGTTTGGAGTGAGATTAGTGTCTCCAAACATGTTTAGACTTACTAAACTTGAATACTAGAAAGGGCTCTCACCCCAAGTATCTTCATGTTGACACTGCTTACGGCAAAATCTCATAGGACAAGCCTGAAACGCAGGGGCTTACCTCTTTCTTTTCTTAAAGCCGTCTTTGGCTCAGGCTAATGCATGGCCTGGATTCAACACTAGGACACCGAGCTGCAAAACAATGAGCTCTAAAGCATTGTTGCTTTTGACTCGAAGAAGAACAGGCTCACATGCAAAAACACACAGAGGATCATTGTATCTAGTAGGATACAAGAGGATCTAGTTGAGTTGCATTAAACCTGAATTACCTGGTTTTGGATGTGGCCTGCCTTTGTTTTGAACCAGCGGGTCAAGGTTTGGCTGGTCAGTTAGAGCAGTCAGCCTCTCCTCACTTTGCAGGCAAAAAAATGTCTTTCTCCATTGACAGCCATTCAAATGTTGGCATGCATTCTGAATAAATACTTCAATGTTGCATTATGTTATGGTAGATATTTCTTCAGTGAACATTTATTAGGATGGCTGCTCAAAAAAAAAAAAAAAAAAAAAAAAAATTAAACATGGAAGTGCAGGCCCATAAAACAAAGATGGCAGCATGTGCTAAACAGAAATGCAATGCTTATGTAGCTCAAAAGAAGAAACCTCAGTGGTGATAAACAATTAGAGTTGTTTTTATTATTATAATAGACAATGTAGTGATTTCGAGAGCAAATTCAACAAACATCAGATAAATGAATTTTATCAACAAAGACTATTAAGTTGAGAACAAATAAATCAACATTTACAATATTATATATATATACATATATATATTTATATTGTATATATAAAAGATCTAGTTAGGAACACAAGACATTCAACTGAACAGTTTTTCAGAATACACATAATACACACCATTGACATCAATTTTCAATACGACTTCTGCAACATGTAGTTCTAGAATAGCTTGGGCAATGCAGTACAGTAAACCTTGTTACATGCTAAACAGCAAATGTAAACCAGTCATACCCTATGTTAGGTGAAAAGAGAATGATTGTTAGTAACTCGATATAAAGGAAATAACAAAGTAAACGATAACCTGAACGCATTCCTTTCATGGTACACTAATCCATTTTAGATTTCATTTCACATTATCGGACATGCTTATGTGCGTTTTACAATGTTCTTATAGCTGAAGGCTTAAAATCCAATTAAATGTCCATCATGTATTCCTGGTGCGCATACTGTGAGTTTATCTCAGGCAACAAGTACTATAGCATTTTTGAATTTTTAAAAACAAATTCTATGCTTAATTTGTGTATTTATCTAACTCTAACCACTAATGTATTTCTTGTCATACTGACCAATAGTAAAAATAAATACAAATCTAAATAAAAGCACAGATATTTTTTTTCTTTTCCCAAAGTGTGCTTTGACTTCCTGTGCAATATAAATATATCAAATTTCTCAATATTACTGTATAAAGTTTGAAAATTGAAATGTGTCATATATCTTCCAGCATTATACGGTTTGAACAGTGTGATAATTAGCTGCCTATGACAATGTGCATTCAGCAGAAAACGGTGGCATCCATCAGTGAAATGTTTACGTATCAGATTATGACGAAGACTACAGAGAGAAGAGCATGAAGTTAGATGATCCTGACGACAGTCACAGACAAAAAAAACGCCACGCACATATTCATATTTACAGTTATGTACAAACACATAACAGAATAGATTGTGAACATTCCAAGGCAATTTACCTTTAGGCACTAAAAGGTGTACATTATAACCCAAATCATTATAATTCACATATGATCCACCTTTGATTGACACCAGAATTCTACAGCCAAACCATATAATTTCACCATTAAGAAACAGTATCGTTTAGAAGTTGCTTTTGTGCGACTTACAGAAGATATTTGGATGCCATCAGAGTAAAACTGGCTGCATAAGAGGATTTCTTGGCTTTAACTGGGAAAAATTATATGACTTTGCTATCGAGTCCTGTCTAGTTCACACATCTTCCATGAACACAATCAATGGACTGACCAGCACCACTCAAATTACACATCAATTTTTTCATTAACCATACAAGAACTAGTCCTACATTTAGACAAAACATGCTTTTCTGTAAAATTAATCTGCAAAAATATGAAAATATATCAATTCCATACTTCGACAATGCAACCTGTCCCCTCTTTCATAAGGAAGGCTGTAGATTTGCCAGCAGTTTATGTGTAGTTTGTGAAAATAGCATTAAAAACTTTCCATTGCATTCCTTGTTGCAAAACAAAACTTTTTCTCAATACAATAAAAATTGAACAATATAACCACTGAACAATGATATGCTTTAGCATTTCTTCCCCATAACTTTGATGCTGGTTATGCTAAGGATGGATTGTTTTTAAAGTCTTTGAACATTGGCATGGCATTCAGAAGCTGTCTGTTCAGACTGAACAATCATCATAATGTTAAGCTGCGTTCTCACCACCAGCAACAAAGCGACGTGATCCCATTAATTTCAATGACGAGCTGGCGATTTCAGACGACATGAGCAACAGCGACCATTGACGACCGTTTCACCTGGTACAGTGACCATTACAGATGGTATTAAAATGCGCTTTGGTCGATTGGACCACAAGTAGACGAGGGAGACACAGTCCTGTTTACACCTGGGGCCTTATTTTAACGATCTAAAACGCAAGTATCAAGCGCGACGCGCAAGTAACTTTATGGGCGGGTCTTGCCATTTTACCGGCGGGATAAATTACTCCTGCACCTGACGCAAGTTTAAAAGGGGTTAGTCTGAAGTAGCTTAATTATTCATAGGTGTGGTTTGGGCGTAACATGAAATAAACCAATCAGAGCGTCATCCAACATACCCTTTAAGACCAGGTGCGCATGTTGCATTGCAGATTGTTATTATTATGGCAAATTTACCAGGAGCGTTCACAGCTGAGGAGACGGGCAGTGAAAGATGTATTGGGATGGGTGATTTTGTTTTTTCCTGGTTCTTGACGGACAAACTAATTTGTCATGTGTCTTGTCACTATTGGGCAAACAGATCTGATCCGTCATTTAGGCCTATATTTTTTTTACATCTTCATGGAGACCACAATGATTTCCCTCATGTGTTAATATTTTTCCTTGTTTCCTGTGTTGATGAGAGAATCAAAGTGTATGCGCGTTGTGCACCCACTACATTATAGCCAAGCATGCGCACTAAAAATAGCATGTGAACAACACGTAACGCGCTACTGACTTTAGACTACGTTTTTTCTGGTCAGTGGCGCAACTGTTTTCTGGAACTGCAAAATAGCATTAGGGAATATTTGCACCAAAACATGCCTCCTTTTTGCTCCGATCCGCCCAGGGAGCGCAAGTTCATTCCCTAGTTTACCGACGTGCGTCTGTGCAGGGAAAAGCCCGCTTTGCGCGGGTGCAAAATAGGAATGATACATGTGTCAGTGTACAAAGTCATTTGCGTCAGATTGGGCCCCTAGTGTTTTAATCCGCCTCTTTTGTCCACTTTCAAACACTTCTGTACTGATATGGGCTTTTATCAGACCTTTTGAACTAATAGATGAAATAAACTTGTGCAATTTACATATGAACGCGCTTAGAGACGACGTAAAAACACACGGAGAACAGCTGCTTTTGTTCCTGCTCTGATAGCATAAAGTCTTTTCGTATTCGTCATTCGGTGGCTCTGTATTGTCGTCTCGAAATGCTTGCTACGGAAAAAAAAGGCTGAAAATCAAACCCGATACAAATTTATTTATGACGGGCGAAGGTTTCGGAGGCAGTGTGTAAACGTGATTGACAGAACGTAAGGTCGTTTTCGGACTCAGTGTGCAAGGACCCTACGACCACGCCAAACGCTGTGAGTGTGTGTTAGAAATCAGGAATGGCGAGAGAACATTGGGCTTGGTACGTTTTTCATCTTCAAACCAAACTTGAATCTTCAGCCGTCGAGTAGGCGGTCTGTTGTGACTGTTCATATGCATTCGACCACATGCGAGTTTACACAAGAAAGCAATTCAGTCGAATGCGTTTTCAACTTCTTCTGGAAGTGGTCAGAAGCGGACAAGCTCAAAACGTTTTAGACCCTGTTTACACCTGTATTTAGCGCCATTAACTGGTGATCCGATCGACCAAAAAACAGCACTCACCGTTTCTCGTTCGTCTTTAACATAAACATTTTATGTACCGATTCCATTTATATTTAGTCTTTTAATTCCCTCCAAAATGTTTGTTTTTAGTGGCAAGTAAACAGATTCGGTGTCTAAAACATGGAATAACACCTCTGAATGTCATTGCTACTGAGTCGCTGGCAGTGTGAACGCAGCTTTAGATCCACACTTTAATTGAAGGAACTATAAATGTCCACAACTAGCTGTGTACTGTAGTTCAATGTGTTTACACTATCACTTTAACACCAAAAAGATTGATAATATTGATTGAATGAAATTTGTTTAACAGGCATCCACCCCTACAATTAAACAAACAGGTGTTTTACTGTACAGTTTTTGTTCAGATCTTTTTCAATGGAGCCCTGACTATTTTTTTTTTATGTTCATGTAATAGACCTACTGGGAAGTCTTTAGTAGCAACTTAAAGTTATTCAAAGGACATGCAGGAATATATGGATGGCTACTCACTCAATATCATAATGCGTCTGCTGTCCTTTCCTCATACTCATTCCACATGACATTAAGAAAATCCTCTATAAAGCTTTGATTTTGTAATTATCTGATATTTTCAGTGGAAATCCACAAAACAAGCAGTGCTTCAAGGGGTGATACCTGTATGGCTTTGGCTGAGAGGTTGAAGTACTCAGGTAAACAGGCATGCAGGTAGATTCATAGATAATGTGTTTGTGTGTGTGTGGTCGGTCTAGATGTCCATGTCCACAGGTCTCATATCTCCTGTCTTGTGTTCCTTAACCCAGAGCTCTCTGTCTTTGGCTGGATCCACACTCTGCAGGAGCTGGTCCACCGGCTCCAGTGTCTAAGAAACAAGAGCAGTCAAAAAAGATGATGTTCAGCTACCAAGTACACTGCTAAAAAATGCACACTACAAAAGTTTGGGGTCAGGGTTTTTCTTTTTTTAAAGAAATTTTTACTTTTATTCAGCAAAAATAGATCAAAAGTACCAGAATAGACCGTACCATGAGTGCAGCAGGCGTAATGATATGACGCAGCGCCTGAAAATAGTCCCCAGCTCGGTAACTTCCAACGTGACCGGGACTAAGTTTGTGTAGTTATGTTGATATGTTGATGGCAGTGAAGTGTATAGATTATTGCGCAGGAATGAGAGTATAGTTCCTAGCTGTATCAGCCTAGAAAATCACAACTTTACATTATCCATCCATCTTAGTACACGATGTAACTACAGAAGTCAAGTTTTTAGGAAAAATATCGAAACTCTTTGGTCATTTTTTTTTTTTTTTAGAAATGCTAATGGTCTTGTCCACTTCAAGGATGCACAGTATGCTAAGCTATGCTAAAAGTGGTACCGCCAGAAACGGAGATCGGCTGAATGGATTCAAAAAAGGTAAAACTCAACAGTTTAACTCTGGGGGAGTTGTAAAATGAGCCTATATCCAAAAAGTGGAGTATCCCTTTAAAGTGATACAGTAGTTCACCCAAAAATGAAGAGTCTGTCATCATTCACTCATCCTCAAGTTGCTCTAAACCTGTATGAATTTCTTTCTTCTATTGAATACAAAAGAAGATATTTTGAAGAATGCCGGTGACTAAATATCTGCAGGTCCCCATTGACTTCCATCGTATGAATGGCGATGTAGAATGAGGACCAGAAACTGTTAGGTAAATGATGTACAGAATTAGCATTTTAACTTTTCCCGTAAGCCGACATCTGTGTTTTATATGGGACGTGGACAGGTGTACTATGGGAAAGGCTGCATGCTCTCAGCTATTCTCAGAGACAGACTTCAAATGTGCTCACTCGAACATCTTTATGTGTTTTCTAACCACTTCATGAAGTGTTACAGAAAACATGTCCATTAAGGCTGAGATCCTGTTTGGACGCATCTGTTGAAACACACTCAGACTGATGGAGTGTTACTCTGTTTGTACGGGTTTGTGAAGTTGAGAGCGCTGGCAGCGTCTCTTCTGTGAAGACAGCAGCTTTCTCTAACACAACCCCAAGGGCTCTGGAGCCGGTGTTTACACTCTGATTTGCCCTGAAACATGAACCCTGTTCATTTACAATGTGTCTAGTTTGCATGAACCTATCATTCAGCAAATCGTTTACTTTACTTTAACAGGCAGACAGAAAAATGAAGGCATCCGCATTTACAAGAGTTGCTTTCAGAGTTAACTGAGTTTCCATTTAATACTACACATTTATTTTTTCGCACCACTGGTGTTCACTTGTTTTGAAGGATTTTAAAAGGAAATGTAGATGGTAAAACTTAAGTTCTATCATCATTTACTCATCCTCATGTTGTTCCAAACCTGTAAGACTTTTGTTCATTTTCGAAACCCAAATGAAGATGTTTTTGACGAAATCTGAGCAATTTCTTTCCCTCCATTGACAGTCTACGCAACTACCACTTTCGAGGCCCAGAAATGTAGTAAAGACATCATTAAATGTTTGTGCTTTGGCTTTGTTTGAGCAAAAAGCCTAATTTACCACTTTATTTAGAAAATATTAATCTCCAATGCACCAATGAAGATATTCACCAATGATCGCGTGCGTGAGACAACAATCGACTACTGTGGGCTATACGACCGGAAACAGGAACCAAATAGAGGTATGTGAGCTGGCTGAATTAACATCATTTTTATTCATATCTTTCGCATCTACTGCAGTCAGATTGACCGTGGTCACTCTTAATAACACCTCTCACATGGCTGTGCACTCGTAATGACAAATCAAGGATGTTAAGAGGTTAAAAGCAGGTTTAGAACATGCTCCATGAAGTCAACAGGGTGCGAATTTTAAAAAGACGATAACACGGTGTAGGTAACATCGATTTTTGTTGTTTTTGTATGTACTGACATCACTCCAAATGTACAAAAAAAATTAGCTCAATGTTAAAATTGACCAGAGTTCTCCTTTAAGTATCTGGATAATTTCTGGATGTCAAACGTTTGTGGACTATGTTGATAGTTACTGTATTGATGTGTCTTTGCTCTGCTAGAAGACTTGTGTGAACTTACTTTTACATCCATTAAAATGAAAAATCCCCAAAATTCTAGTTGAGTAAAAGACATTGAAGCAAAAATATCTTGGATATTCTGAAATTGTAAGCTTATAAACTGCGTACATAAAGCTCATGTAATGAGATTTTCTGATCATATGAAAAAGCATTTGAAACCTGCTCTAATGAAATTCGAATGCACTACAGAGTACGATATGAATATGAAGCTTGGGTTTTGAAATGGCGCTGAGATGAGGGTTTGTTACCCAGAAGAACATTCTGCTTTTACTCACACTTTGGTTGAACATGTCGGTCTCATGCCGCAGCGTGGTGTACTGACGCAGATGCTGCTGGATCATCTCTATTCGCTCCACCTCCAGCCTCTCCAACTCCTTCAGAGCACAAACACAGACAAGCACAGGTCCAGCATCAGTCTGTGCACGGCCTTTAGAAACAAAGTCACGGTGTGGTTCTTGACTCAATCTTAAAGAACTTCTTATGCTCAAAAGGTTCTATATAAAAAGAAATGTCTTAAATGATTTTAAATGATAAATAAATTAAGTTATTTCATTTTTCTTTCTACTGATAATGAGATGTTTAATATTACAATTAAAACAAAATAAATTAAAATCCAATTTTAGGATAGGACCCCAACTGTGTAAAAGAACCCTTCTGTTTAGAACCGTCTCTTCTAAGAGTGCATCTTTGTCTTCTCAGTCAGGAACATCATGAGCTGATGGCTTAGACAAAAATACCATTCATTTCAGTGGTGGAAAGTAACTAATTACAAATACTTTCGTTACAGTACTTGAGTAGATTTTTTTCATTTTTATTGAGTATAATTAAATTGTGGTACTTTTACTCTTACTTGAGTAAAATAACAGTAAAGTATTCAACTTCTCTACATTTATATTTTTTAAAAAGTACAAAGTACTTTGACAAAGGTGCCGACCTATTTTTACAGTCTATGGTGCCGACGGAGCAACAGCGCAAGCTGACATTTGACAGACACTTTTCAAAACCACTGCGGTGGAGCCCTGCGCTTCAGCCAATAACAGACATATCTGAAGCACTACAGCCAATAACAGACAGGTCTGACTCGGTTGCAAAACCAATCAAAACCTCCAGTTCGGGTGGGGGGCGGGGTGTTCAAACCGCGCTTTGACATTCAATCACTGGCGGCTGGCGCTCGTGTTTGAATCAGTAGCTCTAACGTTTCAATTTTTCAGTGAATGTAAAGTGAGTATTCTGCTCGTATTTAATTATGGCAACTACTACCATTGATAATACCCGAACACTGAGCAGTTGAAGACGAAGTAAATAAAAAAGCTCGGCTCATAACATGGACTCGGTTTGCAATGGACGGAGCAAGAATGTAAGTGTCTAAAATACATGCACACAGTTCAATTAATGGTAAAGCTCTTCCTGTTTAACAATACATTTAAACTAGATATACGAAGCAAACTTTGTACAAAGCTGAAAAAACAGTGAAATAAGATCGCATGATTAATCTGTCAATCAGGTGCATGTAAAGTGTAGTTCGTTCCTATATCAACAGTGGTGGGCTCCCAGCACATTTTCGGTTGGCTACAATGAAAAAAGATCATTTAATTTAACATGTTAACCATACCCCACTTAATTTTTTTTTTTTTTTTACTGGGAATTTTTTATTCATACTGTTTTATTGTTTTTCTTACCTTTTTTATCGGACCTCTCAATTAACCTTCTTTGCTTTCAATTATGAATGATTCAAATCAAAACATTCAAATGATCATACCAACACTTACTTTTCAAAATTAGTAATAAAAAATTGCTCTTGACAACAGAGGAAGCTAGTAGTCTATATGTGGAGCACCTTTATCATTGATGGATGCACTTTTTTTGGGCTTCAAATTTTCTTCAGTCATTCACTGCCATTATAAAGTTTGGAAGAGCCAGGCCATTTTTTAATATAACTATGATTGTATTCGAATGAGAGCAGAAAGTCATATCTTCTAAGATGACTTGAGGGAGAGTAAATTGTGGGCTAATTTTAATTTTCGGGTGAACTTTCCCTTTAAAGACATCATTCTTTTGAAAATACCTGAAAGTTTGATAAACTCAGATATATTATAGCTATTATGTGTTTGTCTTCATGTTTCATCAGTCAAAACATCACTATTTGCAAGTTATTATATCCATATAAGGCATTTCCTGAAATGTGTAAGTTTAATACTTCTATGCATCAGTACTGGGCCTTCAGTATGAATGAAACAGATGACATGAGAGTGTTTAGCGCTCCATTTCGCTATATCTCACCATTTTGGGTAAAAATAGAAAAATACTAAAGTACTTTGTAACGCAATTACTTGAGTAGTTTTTAAGCAAACTACTTATTTACTCTTAAATATTATATTTCAGTACTTCTACTTGTACTCAAGTAAATTTTTACTTAAGTAGCAATACTTTTACTTAAGTACAATTTGTCAGTACTCTTTTCTTTATGGTGAAATTAATTTTTCACTGTAATGTTTAAACCTTTCAAGATACCTGCCATACAGGACTTAAAGTCCCCCTTTAGTCAATTATTTTATCCCTTAAAACTTATTTCTGATCAACAAAATGGCATATTTAAACGTATTTTTTTTTCTTGAAACTTTTTTATGTCATGCCTTAAAATAGCTCGGATGTAACTCTACACTCTGCCTCATTTAATAAACGCTGTTCGGGGAATATGCAAATTAGCTCCGCCTCGACTCACTCACACCAGCTCAGAGATTCACTCGTTGGCGATCACACGTTGATCTGATTGGTTACAAGGTAGTTTGTGACGTCAGAAACACCAGCGATTTTAAACCGTGTTTTTGAGACTGTCTTTCGTTCACTGCAGTTTTTAGGAGGAAACACTCAGCAATGCTGTTTACTCCGCACATGGTTCGCCTCACAAAGAAGATTCAAATGTATCTGCATAAATATGCATGATAATCTTGCTCAGGGAAACGAGAGAGAAACATCGTGAAATAATTACCAGGCTTGTGGTGACCATCTCCTCAAACCACTTTGACTGAGCCTGGTTGTAAAGGTCCACACAGCGCATCAGATCATCACCTGATAAAACACAGAGACAATCATTACAATCGTGCAGTTACGTTACAATAATAAATAAAAACGTAGAGTGGTTTATGCATGAAATAAAATGGAAGACAATTTAACTTCACCTAAGCATTTGATTTTTTCTTAAACTTGATTTCAAAATTATAAACATTGAAAATATGTAATAAAATACAATGCATCAAGCATACCTTGATCTTAATGTCTGTAACTTTTACCTAATAGCGATTTCGCTTTTCAACGGAATTAATCTAGTTTAAATGCAATTTGGATATTTTAACAGGTAAGACAAACAAAGATGCTAAATATTTTTCTTATCTGTGTGCAGGCACATTGCTTGCCACAAGATGGCAGCCACAAATTACTATTTGTATTGCCTTGCGTTCTGTAACAACAATCCCAGTTAGCATTCAAACTCCAAGCTGTTTACCCACAGCTGCTTTACACTTAACTGCATATAATTAAAGGTAAAAGGTAATTAAAGGCAGCAGATGTGTGCGAGAGAGACAGTGAGTATTGACATCTTGAAAAAAAAAAAAAAAAAAAAAACAGATTGCTCCATCTACATGTAAATGAGCTGTAAAGGCTTTAAAGACATCTGCATTAGTGATTTGAACGGCCACGATTATTGAAGGAAAGCGGCGTTTGAGCACTGCTTAATGTTTGGCCGTTGATTTATAGCGGGAAGGGAACTGTGACTCGCTCTGTGCGTGGGAGTTTGGGAAAGAGAGAGACGCAGATAACATCATACAGTTTTTTTTTTTTTTTTACTGAGCTCAGCTGCAGTGGAAAACACAGTAAAGCTCTTGGCAGCATCACAATTAAAAACAATCTCCTGCAGTCCGGCACTGGAAGAGATCTCCGCAAACAAAGGAAATCAAAGCTGACTTTCGATTTACACTATATCAAATGACTTATTGTAATTGGTGTAATTCTAATCAATAACAAATGAGTATGATAATATAAACTCGATTTTTACGTTGAAAGGCGAGGGTTAAATTTGCAGACATTTTAATGCCAGAGACCACCTTCCTCCTAAAATATATAGGCAATTCGATATGTATCTATTGACATACTACAACATCACACAAGTGTGTTATTATAAAGGCATGTTGCCCTTTACTGTATATTGTGACTGTACTAAAAAAAGCCATGGTTCTGATTGAACATCATAGTATGCCATGTTAGCCTAGAAATCTAGACGCACACTAGCGGCAGCAAAAATAATTTTGCAGCCAGTGTGTTCTAGCAACTCTCCGTTGGCTTTCGAAGTAGAAAAACCAAACTCTGTTCAGGCCAATCACATTGTGTATAGAGTTGGTGGGCGTGGCTTAACACAAGGATGGCAGAGTTGTGACAGTTCTGCGCCGTGATTTTCCAAAGGTGATTTCCCTGCAACTTGAAAACAAACAAGATGCTGTTGGCGCACAGCGGTCTTTCGAATCGGCTTTGGCCGCGACTCTGGACGACTTGGAGTTGAGAGAACGTCACTTAAGTCATTCTTAAAAAAGGAAGATATGTTCGAAGTTTTGATGACCGGATACGGAAAAAGTTTAATACACCAACTAGCTCCGCTGGTGGGAAAACTCATGGGACTCACTCAGCCACAGCCGTTCATTGCACTGGTTGATTGTAGCGCTAACCTATTGTGTGCAGAGGGATACTGAAAGACAACCATTTATCCCGCCCCTCGGACTGAGGTATGCCAATTGTGAATTCCCAGACCTAACAACTTGATGTAGGTCTGGCTTGCCAGGCTAGTGCCATGCACCATGGCATGGAATTCCATGATAACGTAGTGCTACCTAAATTAAAAAAAACTGTGAAATTACCATTTCCGAACTTTTCAGTTACAAAACATGTCAATATCATGGTAGCCTACTTTTCATTAAAGTGAGTGCATGTTGTGTTTTGGAATTGAATGGTGAATCATGAACTTCTCTCACAGAAAACACTCAGTGTGGCTGTACAAGAGTCAGTCATGGTCATTTGGCCCTCTGTGCTAATAGGGACAGCCCATAAGAACTGAACAAGCCACCGTTAGAGTCCTCAATAATGCAGCCGTCACTCAGGCCAACAGGTTGTCCCGAACCTCGAAGGGTGAGTGTATTCTCCCCCGTGTGAACCTCCGGGCTGCCGTTAAGGATGTGTGAGTGTCCAACTCAGGACAAATCCGGCATTGATAGAGGGCATCTGAGGAATAAGACTCTTGGCATGCTGATCGTCCGCTCCCACAAACCCCGTTTTCCCACTGCAAAAATAGATCATTACTCCATGCCTTTCCCAACTCCGTCTGGAACCAATACGGCCTGGCTCCCCTCAAACAGAGACTCCTGGGACTGAGCCACGGTCCTCTTCTATCCCCATCCTGTTTGTCATGCCTCTCTCCACAGCTCAAGAACACAGTCCCATCTCCACACGCTACAACACTGGCAGCCGAGTGGTGCCCTGCGCAACATTTCACCACAAAGAAAGCTCCTTACTCACTGATGCCTACGGGTTCGTTTAATTTGCAAAGCTATCTAAAGTGGAAGACAATGGTTGGAAGTTTTTAAACCGAGAAACTACTAAGGAAGTCAGAAAGTGTGTATGCTACAGTGTTATGACAGCTGGAACAAATTGAGGGACTGATGACTTGAGGATTCCTATAGTTCTGATGGGCTTTTTAATGAACTTCTTAACCATATTGCATCACATTTGATATGCAAAATTATCAAGTTTGCTGAAAAACTCTTTATACAAGCTGTCAGAATTGTATGTTATTCTGGCCATTTAAATATCAGCAACTGCAGCAAATTGCACGTTTTTGCTCAGTTTCCCTATGAATAAGGGCATATACAATAGCTTTGTATAAAGACCAGACTGAAATTATCCGTTATTATGCCACTTTGAAACTTTCCCATCCGCTGCAGTTCTCAGATATAATCCTGAATTCTGTGGACTATCACCCCACTTGAACTAGCATTGTAACTCCACTTATTTTCCCGGGTTTAGTAACATCTTACTTAGATCATAGAAACGTGTCTTCAGGTTTATTGTGTGTAATAAGATCACTAGTTCGGTCTTAATGAACTGATGCTCTGACCTGCTTGTGTGGATTTCCGTCGGGCTTTTTTAATATCCTCCTCTGTTTTGTTGCTCAATTTGATCTCAAGCTGCTGCGTTTTCACCTCAAGATCCTTCTGTCTGTCTGCGAGAGCCTTCCGCGCCTGCAAAACACAACAAAGAAGTCATGCGAAGACCAGATTATATGTGACAACTTTCCACAAATAGGGCCCAAAATATACCATAATACTTTTCCTTCTTCAGCAAATGATCAGAGAAAGTTTGACCTTCAGAAAATAAGAAAACAAAGTACCATCAACCTCAAAAGGTCTAACTAAAACTTGAGAGAGATTTTCAAATCAATTGCGATGGACTTAGATTTTTTTTAAACACTAAATCAAGACATTGAACAAAGGTTGAAACCCCGATTTAGTAAGTAAATGAGCATAAATTAGATGGAATGTAATTTCTCACAGTTCTCACAGCCATGTTGTCTGGAGGTTGTTAGATTATTAGTAGATGTTCTCTGCTGTATTCGGTCATATCAATCCATAGATCATGTGAGCTTCATTGTCTGCAACCCTATTGATAGCTGCTGCACTGCGACAGTTTAACCGTGCTAAACTTCGATGCATTGCCCATGGTTACTGTTGCTCATGTCTCCAGAAATGGCAAATTCTCATTGGAAATGAATGACGGATAAGAGCCTGGGGTCACTGCTGATGTTTAATAAGAGGGATAAACAAGTGAATCACTCAAGGCATCATTCTGATGTGTTTTCATTTCTCATCCAGCCATCTGCTGTCCATACACAAGTTGGAACAGACATGTCGACACACTGGCTTCAAGACATTTGAGAGCCATTTGTACCAGCAACACAGTGACTTGAAAAGAAAGTTGAAACAAAATTTTCGGCAATATATGGCCTATTACGGTCATTTCAGCAAATGACAGCCGCTTTCTGCCAGAGCGGAAAAGGAAAGATTTGCACAGAGATACGAGATAGAAAAAGATGGCTTTTCTCAGTCTAGAAAGCTTCAAATTCAAAAATAATTTCACATTTCTTCTACATAAATGACCCATTTTAAATACACATTCATCTTTCCAGAGGTGGAGTGACTCTTCAAAGGGATAATTCACCTCTGGAAAGATGAATGTGTATTTAAAATGGGTCATTTATGTAGAAGAAATGTGAAATTATTTTGAATTTGGAGCTTTCTAGACTGAGAAAAGCCAGAAAATGTATTTTTGGCTTATGTGGATTAAAGACAACAACTCCCAGAATGCACTTACTTCGCTGCCCGAGGAGGCCACACCTACCGGTAACAAAGCGCAGTAGTTAAACAACAAGTCTAGGCTACTAGTGAGTCTCCGTGATGAGTCTGCCTGAAACTGTGTTTCGAGATCGCCCAAAATGTCTGGGATTCGGCTTTTGCGTTCTACAGTCACCATTCATCATGTTTACTGTGGCGAGTGAGGGCCGCGGGAGAACGGCGTGATTACCGATGAGCGACACCTGTGAGACGTAAGTTACCGGTCTCGTATCTCTCACAGAGAAGCGGGAATTTTCTTAGCAATGTTAAAACGCACATCAACCGATCACTTGTTTAGCATTCATGTAAACACTACATTCAGATTCACCAATCGGAATGAAGTCAGTTAGATTGAAACAAAAGGTGTGCATGTAAATAATGAATGGCGACTGCAGAAAGTAAAAGCTGAATCCCGGACATCGATGGCCGGACATGTCCAGGAAAAAGAGGACGTAACCCCTAAAGTTACTACTCAGATTTCTCCACAGAACGAAAGCCTGCTAGCTTAGCTTCCAAAAAAAGATGGCTGACACTATGTGTAATCCCAATCCTCCTCAATGCATCTGTCTGCGTATTCAGTACCTTCGTCCATATTTTCAAAAAGTTTCTGCCGGTAAAATCAAACGCACTGGCACTGATCTGTGATTGGTCTGTTAGCCCATTAGGTCCAACCCCCTGGGCGGGTTTGAAAGGGTGGGATCTTGTGCTTGTAGTCTTTACAGAAATCACCCTCTCTTACACTTCCTCGTACAATGACGTAAAATTACGATTTTTTCGTCATTGTTGGAGGAAGTGAAAAAGGTAAATAGCGGATTTCTCTCGTCTCGGGGGAAAATGAGAGAGTGTTGAACGACCATTCAATAGTATGACTGGGTTTCATACAATGGAAAGCTTAATGCAAATGGGTGGAGTGTCCCTTTAAGATTTGACAAGTGCACATTCAAAGGAATTATGCACACTTAGGGTTTAAAGAAAACATTTATAGAGTTTGCACCTTCTCCACTGCAGCATAACGGCTGACCAGCTGCTTCCTCAGGTCAGCGATGTGGTGGTCGTATTTCTTCATGTCTTTTTTAAAGTTGTCCCCTCTGAAGGTCAGGAAAGGCTTCTCGACTTCACTCTGGAGCTGGAGACAAAATCCTTGAAATCAGTTGAACAGCGTCTGAAATGTGTGTGTGTTTCTCTTTGATGACATTTACTTCATTTCAGCACATACAGTATATGGATCAAGCCCAAAGTTTCTGCTCCGGTAATGATGATAATGATGATGTTCTTTAAGAAAGAAGGCTTTTGTTTTCCCGTCTCCGTAAATCACGTGTGATCTGAGGGAATAAGACTGCAGAATCACCTCCATCTTTCTGCAATTAATCACCCACACTGGCACTAAATGGAGCACGCAAGTGTGAACTTGGGAAAGCACAGCGGTGGAAATAGACAAATCACAGCTGAGAAAAGCTGTGTAGCTCATTACATACAGGCAGCTAATAACATCTCTGAGGGGAGGCTGTTGAGTACGCCACAGAAATGAAATAAAGGCCGGATACTTCATCATACCTGACAATGCATCCAGTTTCTCAACTGGATCTTACATCACCTCTATTGAGAAATGTGATCATAAGAGAGAACTGAGAACTGCCCACCTTTGAGGAGAACTTGAGATGGACCTCGGCTTCATCAGCTAGACTCTTCTTGACTTGAGCCCAAGCCTCTCCAAGAGTCCTAACCAATCAAACCAAGTTAGTCTTCATAGTTATCAAAATAAGTGTACTTGTGCAACATAACAAATTGACCATTATGCCTGCTGTTGCAGATTTGCAACATACCAAATTGACCCCAAATTGACCATTTGCAACATACCAAATTGACCAATGCCCGCTGTTGCAAATTTGCAACATAACAAAATTTCGATTTATTTGTTGTGCAAAAGTGAAATTGATAATCTCAACATTATTTACTATCTACTTAAAGGCAAAAACACATAAAACATTTTTTTTATATATACAGCCAGTGGTGGAGGAAGTACTGAATCTCAGTACTTAAGTAAAAGTACAAATACCCAGATAAATATTTACTTTAGTAAAAGTAGAAGTAACACAAAGACAACCATACTTAAGTAAAAAGTAAAAAGTACTTTATTTTAAATGTACTTTAAGTATTAAAAGTAAAAGTACTTGCATAACAATTTATTATCTTAATGTCTATTTTCTAATGATTAATAAAACATTTAATTCTAACTCATTCAACCTAATAGCCTACTCCTATAATGATGTTCAATAATGATGGAAAAAAATTGTCACCATTTCTGAAACAAGCTTGCAATTAGGCAATATAAACATGCTTATCCTTACTAACTTATGTTAATAACTATGTTTGGCAGTAAACGAGATTAATTTATGGTGTAATTCTGAACCTCTTGGCTTGCCATAATCCTAACCAAACCAAACATATATTACACACGGTGTGTTTCCTATGCACGTAAAAACAAATTTTCGCGTATGAGTTGCACGATAAACACACTGCGTGCGAGACGCATTTAGTGTGACCGGGTTGATATACTGTATCTATGGCAACCAAACGTCACTGGTGAGACAAACGTGCAACGAACGGACGGTCAGATTACGGTTTGGCAGGGGAAAAACTGATCAGAAAATGTAACAGAAGTTGTAGAAATGTAGTGGAGTAGAAAGTATAATAATTGCTGCAAAATGTAACGAAGTAAAAGTAAAAAGTATGCACTATTTATTCTACTTAAGTAAAGTAAAGATATGTGAAAAATGTACTTAAGTAAAGTAACGAAGTATTTGTACTTCGTTACATTCCACCACTGTATACAGCTATATAAATTCAGGCGTTAAGGGGTTAAATATAGTCACTTTCTATTAGTGCACTCAGTTGGCCTTTTATTTTACTAATATTATACATTTTCTGCAAGTACAGCTTTTTAAAATTATACTTTTAAGAAGTGCGTATTCAATAAAATATAGCTTGTGTAATCATGATTTTAAGTAAGTGTTCATTTATACTAGAATTCAATTTGTTTAATATATTTAATTCTTTTCAAATGGATCTTGTTTTATATAATAAATTATATAAAAAATGTAATCCTCAACTGGATGGAAAATCTATGGAAGCATGTTTCGACCACTTTATAACACACAATTGCGAAATTGCGACTTTACTTTATAACTCACAATTGTGAGGGAAAAAAAGTCAGAATTGTAAGAAAAAAAAAGGTCCAAATTGAAAGATATAATCTCACAATTGTCAGGACAAAAAGTCAGAATTATTAAATTAAAAGTCGCAATTAAATTTTAAATTGTTTTATTCCGTGGCGTTACACTTAAAAACAGTGTCCAGTACGCAAACACCTTCAATCCTACTTCTAAATCATCCTTGTGACGTACCCTTCCTCTTGTGCTGCCATTGGGAACATGGAGAGTTTGGAAAGGTTCTTGGCATATTCCTCTTCGATTTTTATCCTGAAACACAAAGCAAAGTTAATAAATAATTATTAATATATTCCATCAGTAATACCGCTCTAATCTACAGTAATTGTAATTCTAAGAAACACCTAAAATCAATCAGTAACTTGATTTTATTGAAGAACATACAGTAGTACACTTCTTGAAACTTCTGGAATCACAGAATGAATTTTGGTTAATTTACGCATTTAACAAATCAGTTGTGTTAATAAAAAAAAAAGATAGGAAAAAAAAAGCTGTTTTGACATGATTACAGCAGAAATACCGGCTTAATGGATAACAGTGGTTGGGTCCTTTAGATATTGTGGGCAACCTTAGAGTCCAAAAGGTTGAGAACCTGTGTTTAAACTTTTAAGGATGTTTAGACATTTTTTTACAAGGCAAAAATACTGAAATCTAAATTGATAATTCCTATTTTTTTTATGGAATAGTGCCATATTTATTAAATTATTTATCTGTGCCCATTTAGTTTTTTATTCATGGTTCCTCATAATCTTTAATCAAAATAACTTCCTCTCCCTCATGCAGCAACACCTCTCTCTTCTCTGATGATGTGTTTACTGGCGTGAGGGCGGGGCTTTAACCTGTCACTCACATGAGATCCACCAATAGCAAACCACAACCATCAAATCAATTCCCCAAGGACAAAATCAAGCATGTTTCTTCTTCGAGAGAAGAAAAGACTATCTCAAATTCTTTTTCATGCCGACTTCAAGAAAATGTTTGTTTTGCAGTGTAATACAGAGTGAGCAGTGTTACATAAGGAGTCAGTGTGAGAAAGAGGCTTCCCACCTTTCTCTGATGAACTCAGCCATCTCTTTCTGCATCTGCTTTCCTTTCAGCTGTTTCTGCAGCAGAACCTCGAACCCCGACACCGTGGCCCCCTGAGGGTCCCTCTTATCGGCCTGCCGAGGACAGAGAGACGTTACACACACTACCACATCATCAGAACCAGACTGTCAACAACACGTGAGCCGCAGTGTGTGTGAGTCACAGCGTAGGTTTGCATGAATCAGAGCACGTGGGAGGGGGCGTACGGCCTTGCGGGTGTAACTGTGAGTGTGTGTTTCGGTGAAGGGTGTGTATAGGTTGTTGAGGGCATACTAATATATGTGAGGGGTCCTGATGCAATGTGTGTATGCAGCATGGTAATGGGATATGCTTTTGTGTGTGTGTGTGTGTGTGGGGGGGGGGGGTATTAGAGTCTGCTGTTGTGATGGAAGTTGATGTGCCAAGCCACACATGACAGATGTGTCATAACCTCTTCACACGCTTGACTTGAGAAACAGCTAGGAAGAATCCTCCCAACAAAACACTCATACTCTTAGCATTTGCCTGTGATTTTGCCAAGACATGTTCATGGGTCAACATATTAGAACAACATTCCTGTCTAAAAAAAAATGTGTCCTAACCCTATCCCTATCCCTACCCCGTAACCTAACCCTACCATAAGTGAAATTATAGGTGAATAACAGATGCAGAATTTTTTCATTAAAAAAAACTCTACCCTCCGTAAATTTTGCGTCTGAAAGGGAAACTCCTAGAAATGCGTATGTAATAAGGACTGCCGCAAAAATAACCCTGTCCACGCCTTTTTTAGCCTAATGTTTCACTGCGTGTCTTTAGGAAATCCTGGCATTAGTTTTTTTAAGACTAAAAAATGGTTTGTGCTGGCGCAATTGGTTAGAAAATCTGGCTCTAAAACAATTAAACTTTTTGTTCATTAAAATAAAATATTAAAAAAATGAAATTCTAAGGCAAAATTTTCTAAGGGATCATGTCTCATTTGTATTTAGTCCAACTGAAGGACTAAAAAACAAATAAAAATGTGTAGATTAACTCTCTAAATGCAATATTGATATCATAAAATATAAAAAAAAATCCTCTAAATTCAATATAGATATCATAAAATATAAAAAAAATCCTCTAAATTCGATTTAGATATCATAAAATATTAAAAAAATCCTCTAAATTCGATATAGATATAATAAAATATTTTTAAAAAATCCTCTAAATTCGATATAGATATAATAAAATATTTTTAAAAAATCCTTTAAATTCGATATAGATATAATAAAATATAAAAAAATCCTCTAAATTCAATATAGATATCATAAAATATAAAACATCCTCTAAATTCGATATAGATATCATAAAATATAAAAATCCTCTAAATTCGATATAGATATAATAAAATATGTAAAAATCCTCTAAATTCAAAATAGATATCATAAAATATAAAAAATCCTCTAAATTCGATATAGATATCATAAAATATAAAAAATCCTCTAAATTCGATATAGATATCATAAAATATAAAAAATCCTCTAAATTCGATATAGATATCATAAAATATAAAAAATCCTCTAAATTTGATATAGATATCATAAAATATAAAAAAATCCTCTAAATTCGATATAGATATAATAAAATATAAAAAATCGTCTAAATTCGATATAGATATATATTAAAATATTTTAAAAAATCCTCTAAATTCGATATAGATATCATAAAATATAAAAAATCCTCTAAATTTGATATAGATATCATAAAATATAAAAAAATCCTCTAAATTCGATATAGATATAATAAAATATAAAAAATCGTCTAAATTCGATATAGATATATATTAAAATATTTTTAAAAATCCTTTAAATTCGATATAGATATAATAAAATATGAAAAAATTCTCTAAATTCGATATAGATATCAAATATAAAAAAAAAATCTCTCAATTCGATCTAGATATAATAAAATATAAAAAAATCTCTAAATTCGATATAGATATAATAAAATATAAAAAAATCAAATTGGATGGATGGATGGATGGATTTTAATGCATCAGTCGAGCTATTTGTCACAATGCTTTTTTTTTGTCCTTCTAATGGTTTTAGATGTGACCTGTTCGATACTAATACTAGCATGGTTTTAGCACTAATATAGCATGGTATCAGTCCACCATGGATGATTGTCCTCTCTCTCTCTCTCTCTCTGTGTGTGTGTCTCTCACCCAGAAATAGTCGCAGTAGCTCCATTCATTGGGCTTGAGAAGCTGCTGCTCCGGCGTAGACATGGGCACAGGGAAGGTGACGCAGTTGATCTGTGGTGAGATAAAACAGTTCACAGTGAGTGTGTGTGTGTTTGTCAGGATAGTTTTATTTTCAGAGGAGTGAGACAGAGCTGGCTTTTGTAAGTCTCAGAGGGGAGACATACGAAAGGTCACGGTTTAGAAGAGAAAGACTGGTCATATAGACTGTGACCTATTGCTGCCTGAGAATGAACAGAGTGATGGAGAAAGAGAGAGAAAGAAAGGGTATGTTTAGAATGGCAAACTATTTTTAAAAGCCTAGTTTTTTGAGCGTGCAGAGTCTGCACTTTTCTCTATACAGGCACATACATCAAAGCACATGAAACACTGTATCACATGTGAAGAATGAAAGCTCATTAATGCATGTTCATTAATGTTTCACACATTTCTTTTTGTTAAAACTCTAGCACTTACCATTGTGCCAAAGGAGTACACTTAGCATTCTCTTTACAGAAATTATTAACTTTACCCCCCTGTTTGAGAATAAAACAAAATGTTGACCACAAAAGAAGTTACTGTGAAGAATACTATATTATGGAAGTCAATGGGGTCCATCAACTTTGCTAACCCATAACCTTCAAAATATCTTCTCTTGTGTTCAGCAGAAGACATGAATTCATACAGGCTTGAAACAACTTGAGGGTGAGTAAATTATAACAAAATTTTCATTTTTGGGGTGAACTTTCTCTTTAAGTATGTTTATGTAATTTCATAATCGCTTCTATTGTCTTTGAAATATGTGTAAAGTTTGCTTGTCAGTGCATGGTTAATGTACTGAGAAGCATTTATGGTAAACTAAAACATACGTTAATGTCATATAGAAACTCATTTGTAATAATGACGTTGCATTTTTTTTAAAAATATATTAACTTTAAAAATATCTGACTTTGATTTTCTGAAAAAAAATGTTTTGTAATATATATATATATATACACTATTAAAAAATGTTTTCAAGATTTGTTATCACAACATATTTTCTTTTGTCAAATCAACTTTATAATAATTTATTTAGTTGAGATAACTTATTATTTTGAGTTTCTGATGATGTTTTTGTGCATTTTTCATAACAATAAACTTCTATAAGTAAACTTTTCATTTCACCTCAGAAATAATCTGCCAAGCGCCCTCTTTAAAAAGAGTCCAAACTTGTTTAGAGTTTATAAACTTCATAACAGTTTAAGTTGGAAATTTCATTTTCAGGTCTATGCTCAAAAAGTGCTTAACAAGTAACACATGTATTATATCTAGTGCATAAATCTAAAACATTACCATAAAAATGCTGGACCGCCACACGGTGAGCAAGATTATGCTTTTAAGATTTGAAGTAGGCCTACAAGTGCACGTTCAATACAATCAAGCGCACTTATTTAAAGTCATTTTCAAATAAACCAGGCAAGCAAGGACCCTTAACTTAAATAAGGCCCAACACAATTAGATTAAAAGATTTTAATGATTACCTATGTAAATCTGACGCGTCTTAACATGTCCGATCCACCGCAAAATCTAAATCAATTCACGCTAGTATGTCATTGCACGCTACAGTAGTGCAATGTTGTCTGAGAGACAATAAAATGGCTGGACTCTAGCACAGTATGCAGGTATGCAAGTACACCGTTCCACTCAAAACACAGCCAGAGATCTGCTCACAACCACTAAACAAGTTGTTCAGAGTGAGATTACTGCAGTTATGTGCACTCATAAAGTGTTTGCGTATACACTCTAGGGTCCATGGCGTCTCCAATTAGCCTGTAAGCACTGCAATTATGTAATGCTCACCATCTGTACCGCCTCCCTGCCACTGCCAAACAGGATGTTCTCCCTACCGTAGCCCTTCAGTGCCTCACACACACACACATATTCATGCTCAAATACTCCACTGTAAACAAATTGGTCTTACCCTCTTGTAAGCAAGGTATTTTGCAAAGTTATGTAAATTATTAAGATATTAAATGTTACTACAGAACTTTCAAGAATACCATAAACACTGGAGGACCACCGTTTTTCAATGGCAGATTCAAAAATGTTTACCCCAGTTCAATTAAATGTGGGGTAGGTAGAATTTTCTACAAAAAAAAAAAAAAAAAAAAAAAAACTTTCTCCCAAATTTGTTTAAACTGTCTGTATATACCAATACATAATTAAAATGTAAGTATTCTGAAAAAGAAAGCATACAAATCGAGTGTCTGTAGTCCTCTCAGTGCTGCAATAAACACAGCTCATTATTTCATTCACTCCACCCCCTCCCGTCTGGGATCCTTTCACAGCCCCGCCCCCTAAACGCATGAACATGCGCTGCTGACCGCGCTCAGCTGGAGGACGCGTTTAAACAAATTTGGGAAAACGTTTTTTTGAAAATTTCTACCTACCCCACCTTTAATATGTGGTCTTGCAAACTATAGTTACGTAGCTTATTGTTAACAGCCCTATTCGCTATACTTACTTCAGCTCTGTTACAGTACATTCAATAATTTCATAGTTCCATAATTTCAATACATTTTTATAGTATCACACACTTTGTGTAATTAGGCACATTGTAATAAATAAAACAAATAATAAATGGCACGTTGTTATATATATATATATATAAAAAAATATTATCATTATTAATGTACAATTATTTACCATATTATTGTGCAAATGAAAAAAATTACTCTAAAATGCATTTCTTTCCACATGTAGGAAGAATTAAATAGAATATAAATTAAATGATATATTTAATTAAACAATTAAATATTATATAATGGTGATAAATGGTGAAGACTACCAAATGAGCTAATATTCCAATGTAAAAAATCATTTAAAAATTATACATATATACAGTATATATATATATATATATATATAATTGCAACTTTTTATCTCACAATTCTGACTTTTTAATAAAATGCAATTGCTTGTTATACAGTCAGAATTGCAAATATATATCAAGCAATTCCAAGAAAATAGTTATATAGTTATATATAGAAAAATTATAGCGATTACACTGTTTATTCTATGACAGAAACAAGCTTCCATGCATTTCAAATAAATGCTGTTCTTCTAAACTACAAACTTTTGAAAATAATTTAATATGTTTCTAATTTGGAATACACACTAATATTGATATCTACCCATTCCCTGACAATGGCTTACAGCCACAGGGACAAAACGCGCAGAATGCTGCTGGATATTTATTTTTTATTTTTTTCAGATGACTACCAGGGCAAGCCTTGATGACTTTTCTATTTTGTCTCAGCAAAGCATCTCTGAATGCTAACTCCTCGACTGCATCAGCAGCGTTTAGGTCTACATCACTACAGCACAAAAGGAAAAGATGGCGCAATGCAAATTGAGTAAACCTGAGCACAAACACACACACACACACAAAAACGCAATTACGATCAAGACAGTCAATAGATGGACCACCAATCATTATGCACAGTGATAAGACGGATAGACCATATCTCTCACCCCAGACACTTCCTAATCTGATGCCGTTTGAGCTGATTTACTCAATCGTGCCTCGTCACTTTGTTCATTTCATGCCTGGAAGATCCCTCTGATTGTCATGGCCACTAGATTTTCCCTTATAGTGCCGCCACATCTATCATTCCTGTTGTTTATCATAGCCTCTCATCCTCCACCAAATGAGACCATTCATCAGATTTAGGTCCATCTCCTCTGCTTATAACTCCTCAGCGAGGTGATACGTCATTATCAGGAGCTTATTACACCCTCTGTCCACATTGAAATACACTTTTTTTTTTCATCCGGTCAGTTCACATCCACCAAATATGAAACTTTAATCACCATTTGGGACACCACACTCTGCATCAGTGCGGGGAGGGCTGTTACTCTTGATATTGTAAACTAGTTTGGATGAGGGCCGCAGTTATTTCAATCACGGCTGTGAGAGGCAACGCTGGATTTTTCAGCAGGGTCACTCAAAACTTTATATTTTGTCCTCATTTACTCAGTCTCGCATCATCTAAACAACATTTTACGCCACTGACTTTTTCGTTGGTTGAATAAAAACAAAGCAAAACGTACAAACAAAACACAAAACATAAGAGACAAAACAAAACACGAAGTGCAAAATGTAAAATATATAACAAAACTTGTAAAACTAAACATAAGAGACAAAACAAAACACAAAGTGCAAAGTGTAAAATATACAACAAAACAAATGTAAAACAAAACATAAGAGACAAAACACAAAGTGCAAAATGTAAAATATACAACAAAACCAATGTAAAACAAAACATAAGAGACAAAACAAAACACGAAGAGCAAAATGTAAAATATATAACAAAACATGTAAAACTAAACATAAGAGACAAAACAAAACACGAAGAGCAAAATGTAAAATATATAACAAAACATGTAAAACTAAACATAAGAGACAAAACACAAAGTGCAAAATGTAAAATATATAACGAAACAAATGTGAAACAAAACAAAATATAAAATGTAAACAAACTAACAAATCAAAAGAAACGAAACACAAAGCATATGTAAAACAAATGTAAAACAATATAACAAAAAAGAACCAAAGCACAAACTGTATAATGCAAAACAAAACAAAAGAAACAAAACAAAACAACAAACAAAATGTAAAACATACAACAAAACATAAAACAAAAAAATGAATGCTGCAAAGCAAATGGAAAATCTAAAACAGAAAATGAAACAAATGTAAAACAAAACAAAAAAACCCTTCAATCACTCAAATCATTCTTCAATGTCCTTAGAAGAAAGTAAGTCATACAGGTTTGGCCGACATTAGGGTGAGTAAATGATGAGATAATTTACATTTTGGCGTGAACTATCCCTTTAAGAGTTAAATATCTCTTTGTTGAATTCCATATAAAAACCCTCTAGACAGAGCAGTAATCACTGCCTTTAAGTCAAGAGTTTAGAAATAAACAACAACACTGGCAAGATGTGTGTGTATAACTGTGTGTGTGTGTGTGTGTGCTCGGCCCATGAACCCGCTGCCCTACTCCCTTTTAATGCAGTAATGAACACGGCTT